ATATGCCGGAATCACTGTTTTGTACTGAACCAATCGATACCCTTACGCCAGATGGTATGGAAAACAGGGTCGCGATGGTGTGAAAACTTTTTTTTGTCTACGCTGGTAAAACTTCTAGCTTCAATTGCCTACCTTTAATCGACCTCAATAGTTTGCAGGCGTACGGGTCGGCTATTATCTAATGTACATACTCTTGGACTAGTGGTAGTTAGCAAAGCCCTAGCTTGAAATGTTCATTAGATTGTGTTCGTTTTCAGGTAGAATTGACTTGATTTAAGATAACTGAGGAAAACGTTTCATCATTGCAATGATGTGATATAGACTATTGATGAATATGATATCCTATAGCCATGATCACTGAATCTGAAGAAAAGAGTGGATAATTTACTCTCGCTTTGAATTTCATATGAACATTGTCTGCCAAAATAATAATGGTATTTTAATGGCTTAGTCATCAAAACGAGATTACACTATAGAATAGGCAGGAGAATATTATTATCAAATCAACAAAGAAGAAGAAAAGAAGAAGTAATATGCCATTGATATGATTAAGAAAGTTATGCAACATTTCAGTTGGCTTTAAAATTCTGTTCAAAATCCGGTCGACCAAAGATTGTTAGCCTTTAAATGTTAAACCTGATCTTAGATGAACTGTTTGTTTTGTCTGAATTTGCAATGCAACCGGAATGAAGACTGATTCAAAGACTAGTTTGCTAAAGCAGGACTAAATAAAAACATAGAAATCAACGACGCTCTTACCAGAGCAGAAACAAACTATGTTATAAAGAAATACTACATAGAGATATGGCAAAAAAGATGGAATAAAACATCATCCCCCCTACGGGAAACGCAAACTCTAGTATCAAAAACATTTGTGTATTACATGAACAACAGAAGTAACGAAACTATTCTCCATCGCCTAAGAATGAGGAACTTAGGTTTAAATGAAAATCTATTTGAGTTGAATCAACATGAGACTGGTCATTGTTCAAACTGTGACCACGAAAAAGAAACAGTTAACAATTTCGTATGCAAGTGCCCCGCTCTTTCTTATAGAGAGAGCCATGCTTATTACAGAATCTGGAATAGAAAACGAAAAATCAATCCCGATACTCCTGAAATCCACAGACATTAACCACAAGCAGGCTCTGGTCAACTTTGTAGTTAGAACTAAAAGGGTAAATCTGTGCCCCTATACTAACCACCTTGCACAGCACATAATTAGGTGAGCCCAATAGTGATACATGACGATGTTGAAGAGTGACAAAGAAAAAAACAAATGAAAAAAACAGAAGAGAGAACTGCCTATATTAACGTTTAGAATATTCATGTATATCATCTGTTTGTTATTGGTTTTCGGACAAAATGTCAAAGAAACGCGGTGAAGACGACTAGACTTATTGGTGGAGGCCGGGGGTCTAGGCTCAGCATTAGGCTGAGTTGAGAAGGTTGTCACAACGTACCGTGTCCGAGCTGGTCCTTGGACGTCCAACATAGCTGATGGGCCTTTTACTCGCCAGCCACTGAATTCTTCAACATGAACAGTTTAACTTTTTAAAATCCAATTTATCAAAATCTTTATATTAAAACAAAAGTAAATCAAATTTTAAAGGAAAAACAACTCCTAAGATAAGAGGCGTAAATATTCACTTCTGAATGACAAACGCCTATAAACTAACAGTCATACTACCGAGACCAACACGAGACCCCGGAAGGGGGGGGGGGGGGGTGCTCAGATTCGGTTTGGACGGGGTAGTGCCGCTCAAGCCTGGAACCCCCTGTCCATTTTTAAGGGTCATTTAGGGGGATTTTTCTCGAAGCAAAGCCCATTTCCCACAATTTTCGGCTGTTTGCCATGCAAACACACCAACATCTTGGAGGTTTTTTAAAAAGCGAACCCATGTTTAGGGATATTTTGGTTAAAAATAGGATCCATGTTTAGGGATTCTTTTGGTTAAAAACTGACCCATTAGAGCGGCACACGGTCGTATGTCTCAATATGTGCCCCCCCCCCTGGGCCACGAGACCGACTGATCAAATGATTACATTTCTTCGTGTAACTGATGTATTAGCACCAATTCACTGCCAACAATTCAAATAGTTTTCATCTTTTTTTAATGGATCTCACAAAACACGGTGTATAGGTAAGTTTGAATATCTATTCATTCCAGCCCTTTGGGGTGGGAGTGGTGTGCTTTAACCTACAATCACCTTCAACACTGGAATTAAACTGCTTTGTCTGACGTAGGACGAATCGATTTCATTACCATGGCCACGAAACAGGTGTGGCCATATTTTGACAAGTTTTAGATTTATTCTGGGATTGCACAACATCAGTTATTGTCTCGATCACTGCGGAAGATAGATTTGATAACAGTCCTATCGATTTATTAGATAATAACCTCTTCCACATATCAGGTATGGTGTAATAATGGACCTTAGTTTTTCTACCCGTCTATTTAACACAGCCCCATAGTATATACTGTAGTTGGTATTGTACGGAATTGTGCAAGGTGATTCCATAAATGCAGCAATTAATTCCTTGAATATGGTGAAAATACTTAAGAGGTAGGATTCCTCGAAAGTACATGAGAATTTCGATGGTTTTTTCTTTCTTTCTTTCCTTTTCTAGTTTGACCCTGTTATTCTGCAGTTTTCAACTCTCTAAGCACTATTCTGCTGTTGTTCCGCTTCTCCATTTTCGAGTACCCCTTTCAATATATCTCTATACCCTGTATCCATTCCTTTTTATTTGTTTAAACATATTCTTGTACTACCTTCTTAATTCTCTTTTCCCTCTCTCAATTTACTTTGATTTTTTTTTCTCGCCTTCTTGCTCTCTGACATCTTTTCATGTTATCAGTTTTATGCTGTCGTATTCCTTTTCAGTATTGCCCATTTCCCCCTTTTGTCCTGCACCCTCTCTCTCTCTCTCTCTCTCTCTCACAGACTTTTTAACTTTGTAATCTTCTTTCCATCCCTGTCTATCTCTCTTTCTAACGTCTTATCTATCTATAGTATCCATTACCCTATCTAGTCTCAAACATATTTAATTCTCTTCCCCGTCCTATTTCAATTTCTATTCGTATTTTCAATTCCTTTCATCTTCTATCTTTATCTCTGTCAATCCTTCTCTAACTATCTCTATCTGTCTTTAATACCTCACTTCTCTTTTCGTTTTACCCATTTCTTTCTCCTTGATTGTTGTGGTTTATTTAAGATAACATTGTTGTTTAATTAGATTTTCACTGCAAAGATCGGAAATGCAATATTGAACACGTAAATGAATATCAACAACAGCTGGATAATTGTTGTGATGCAAGCTTTATTTGTGTACCTTTTCTATTAGTTTGTATATTCTTATGAACAGAGTGGGCAAAACTAAAATAATAAAAAGATTAGATTCCCCTGGATGCTAATAAATGAGTTGAATATATGAGGTTTAAAGATACTATGTCCCTTTTGCAGCCAACATCAAGGTCTGTAGAACTTTGCAGGGATTATGAATATGTAATATATGTCCTATCTGTGAAATTTAAACGTTAGCAGTGTCCTAATATTCAAGCTATGCAAGGAAACCCGTCTACTTGCTAGACTTCACTGTCAGACACTATTGAATGTAATAACATACATAAACTGAGCTGTAAAGGGTACATGAGCATTTGTCTATAACAATAACACACTTCTTGTAATGGCCAAAATTAAACTGATATAATCTTTGTGCAGCACACAACGTACGACCATTCGGTACAATGGTTTGAAAATCCGACTATTACTTACTGACTTGGTAGCACTTAAGTCGATTTGACAACTAATAGTCGTTATTATCCCACTTAAAGACAATGTAAAGCCCCCCCCCTTTTTTAGGAAAGTTTTGAATTAGTATTATCTTTCAAATGCCGTTGGAATATAACCTTTTCTTTTTCTGGCCTGCAAATGGGACATAGTACCTTAAAGATTAAAATAGCTTCATTGAAAACAAATAGGCACACAATCTTTATTCAGCAAGTAGTATCTGATATATATAAGACTTTTTTCTGAATTGATTAATGAATGAATAGTCATCGTACAAGTTGAATTATATTTGCAATTATATTTAAAGAATAGAATGACATTAAGAAGAGTAAAAAGTTTCATTAGAATATATGACAACTCATGAAAATGATAACATTGACAAAAGAATAAGTCAAAGATGTGCGATGCACTTTGAATTTGTTATATATTATTTTAGGTCAAATGTCTATTTATCTTTATTTTGAACAGAGATATCGAGCTGATTTTTGGCAGGTTAGTTCTTTCAAATGACATCTACTGAAAACGTGATAAAAATTACAGACGTAGTCTCAATTAGGGCGGTTTTTTTTTTTTACTGAATTCATTGTTAACATGATTTTATAGTTTCAGACGAATACCAAAGATACAATCTTCATAAACTCCTTGTTAACAGGATGACCGATAATTGGATTGAGCGTTACAGTGTTGACTCCATTATCAAAACAAGCCTTTTTACAGAAAAGTCTTAAATGCTTTTTTGAAGGAAAAGGAGAATTTTTTTTTCTTCTTCTGGGTGAGATGATTTTGTTTGAAACGACTGGGGAATACATCTCACACATATGAGCGACATGACACCCTGCTTTCCCGCCTGTTTACTCTGACCCATCCGGTCCATTTCCACAGATGAGGTTGCAAAACTAGTCAATTCCGCCTCTGATTGGCCCGTACTTTTTTCTGAGACACAACCAATACGAGAAAAGCCCAATCGATACCTTCTGCATCGACGCGTTAATAATATAAAACGTTTGGAAGAGGCTGTGCATTTCCCAAGCACGCCCAGTTTATCTGCCAAACAGCTTCCGAAGTGGATGCAAGCGTTTCGCGATCCAAAGGTGATATCTCTGGCCGAAACGCGAGCGATAAACTTTTACCTACGAAGGAGTAAAACCAAGCTTCAACGCAGAAGATTTACTTCTTAACGAGGACAACCGAAGATTCAGGCGAAAATGGCGCCCCATACGCCTACGCCGCTTTTCCTTCTTGTGCTAGTGTTTCTCGCTTCAGCTCAAGTTGGAAGGTAAGTTCATTTTCATTTTACAACAGATTGTACTTCTAATGTTAGGTTCAATAAACAAGTAACGTTGACGCATACAAATTTCATTGGTCGGGGTAATATAACACGTAGTTCAGGTTTCTATCAATCTCAAAATGCAGTGGGCAAGCTTTTAGCTACTCATGTGGACTTAATCTTAAGCCAATAATTCTTCAACCCATGAAGAAAGATTTGTTACCCATTGAAAATTGTGAGTGGTTGAAAACCTACAACGATACTGGGTCCTTGTGTCTAAGCTGATTGTCCAAAATAGTCAGTGTATTTTAATTTGAGCTAGGAAAAAGTTACATAGAATAGCTGAGGCTGGGATTGAACCTCATGTTAAGTTAAGGGAACACGCTCGAAAAAGCTTTCAAGAAATCGGCTCATGGAAAGTAACGATACAACACTAGGGGTGTTCACACCTAAAGAAAAAAAAGGAGGATTTTTTTTTTTTTTTTTTTGGCGTGTGTGGACAGAAATTGTTCACTAGTCTTCGCGATTCGCATCGCGATCCAACTCTAACAATCTTTCAGAATAATGTGTGTGTGTGTGTGTGTGTGTGTGTGTGTGTGTGAATGGTATTCCAAGCGCGCATACAAAGTCGAGATTCACACATGCGCAGATCGGACGTTCTTGCCGTCGAGCGAGAATTATCCCGTGTGTCGCCCCAAAACAACAATTCTTTGCATCGCGATCCAATTTGCACTAAACTGACATGTAATAACGGTCGCAAAAAAAAAAAGAAAATCGATCTTTGCATCGCGATCCAAATCGCCCTAATTGTTAGGTGTAAAAGGGCCTGCTGTATTCCCTATAAAAGTTGCAAATTACTTAACATGCATTGTAATGTTCCCACATGTCATCGGGTGATAGACAGGGCTATTGAAATTGCCTTGTGTTGATTTGTTTTTAAGTCTTCACGATCCTGTTCTTACGGCAGTCCAATTTTTATTTATTTATTTATTTATTTATTTCGGTTTAAAAAGACATATAAATATACATGATTGTGAAAGGTCCAAGGACCAAAACTGATCATGTTTACAAATAATACAAACAAGTTATAGATACAGTAAATGTACAATAGCGAGCCCAACAGACAGGTGTAACAAGTACAAGATGGCAGTAAAGATGGAAAAAAATAAACGGAGAAACAGAATAGTTGAATGTTTGGACATAAATAATTGTTTTAAAACTATAACTTGGTAATCTCAATCTTGTAACCCGCACAGAAGTGAGTACATGCAAGAGCACTACTACGCCGAGCTAGGTTTTTAATCCGCCTTGCTGTTCATTTAGTACACACACAGAAAACGCCTTTTTTACTGCGGCATATCTGTACCGGTATAAGCCTTTAAAGGTACTATGTCCCATTTGCAGGCCAACAAATGAAAATGTTAAATTCCAACGGCATTTGAAAGATAATACTAATTTAGAACTTCCCTAAAAAAAAAGGGGGGGGGGGCTTGAAAATGTCTTTAAGTGGGAAAATAACGACTATTAGTTGTCGATTCGACTTAAGAGCTATAGAGCCAGTAAGTAAAAGTCTGATTTTCAGACCATTGTACCGAATGGTCATATGTTTTATGCTGCGCAAACATTCAATCCGTTTATTATTGGCCATTACAAGAAGTGGGTTATTGATGTAGACAAATGCTCATGTACCCTTTACAGCTTATGTTATGTATGTTATTACCAAAGAAGAAAAAAAAGCCAGTCAGTCACTCAATAGTGTCTGACAGTGAAGTCTAGCAAGTAAACGGGTTTCCTTGCATAATTTGAATATTAGGACACTGCTAACGTTTAAATTTCACAGATAGGGCATACATGACATATTCATAATTCCTGCAAAGTTCTACAGAATTTGATGTAGGCTGCAAAAGGGACATAGTACCTTTTAGGTTCGGTCAGATATTAGGACGTAAACCGCCGAAAAAAATTAATGTTTAGCAACTGCGCGAAACATAGGTCCTTTCCTTTTTCACTTAATTAGCTCTTCGTTTTAAGATACAGAATTGTATTTACGTCAAGGGAGGACAATAATGGAAACTTTGATTGAAGCTACGCAACCATTATTCTCTCATTTCTTTCGCATTGCCTTGATTTCTAAAAGAGATGCCATTGCTGTTGTACATGTTATTTCTTTACACACACACACACCTTTTTTAAAAATACAATATATATATATATATATACACACACACACATATATATATATATATATATACTAATGTAATTAAGAACCTATAAAGGCTTTATTGTCCATTACTATGTCCTACATTTTGGATTATTTGTTTGTGCAAAGGTTGAAAAAATGTCTCCGCCAGGAGTCGAAGCCGGGTCACTGACTTAGAACGCCAATGTCTTAACCAATTGACCACGGAAACTGGTCGGTGACTTCGGCCACACCAGATTTAAATCCCAAGTCCACTCCAAAAATAATTTACTTTCAATAGAAGCAGAAAAATCAGACTAACCAATCAAAAAAAGTTTGAGCAAAATCGGATAACTAATAAGAAAGTTATGAATTTTTAATGCATGGAAAATTGTGAAAATCACTAGACAAATTGGCAACTCACTCATGAGTCTGTGACGTCATGTCCTCATTATCCACTAATTATTTTTCTTATATTGATGACATAAATTTCCCATTTTCTCCTTAAAAATCTTATTTCTTCACACCAGCATCCCAGTGAGATTGATAGTAATATGCACTAATAAAGAGTAATTTTTTCCCATTTAAATCATGAAAAATGTGAATTTTGATAAACTATTTATATAAAAATCAATAATTATGAATATACACTACAATATTCAGAAAAAAGTATAAATTCTTCAAAATTCATAAAAGATTTTGTGAAATGTCATGCACGCAATATCATACAAATCATATAACCTGGGCAAAGGCATGGGGAAATCAAGTTTTGTGGAATAAAAAGGGAAATTAATGGGATTAAACTATATAAAGTAATTGATAAATAGTGAGGACATGACGTCACAAACTGATAACCATCTTGGCAATTTGTTTTGTGATTCTCATTGTTCCATAGTTTACATACTTTTTCAAAAATTCACAACTTTCTTATTAGTTATCCAATTTTGCTCAAACTTTTTTGAATGGTTTGTCTGATTGTTCTGCTTTTATTGAAAGTAAGGTATTTTTCGAGTGGACTTGTCCTTTAATTGAACGACAGATTGAAAAAAAATGTCAAAATTCAACTATTAATTCCTTTGTCGGGGGAAGATAAGACATTTTTTCAACCTTTGCAAAAAATATTAAAAAACAAATCCAAAAAGGAGATGGACATGGGGAACTTTGATTTAAGCAACAATCATTATTCATATTCTTTTACGTCCTTTCGCATTTTTCATATTTACTGTTGCCCGTTCGGAGAAGAAATGAACTTTATCTATCAAGAATAAACCATGGTGTCACAGTCCTTATATGAAAACAGGAAAAAAAATATTCCGATTTTGTTTGGGCAATAGCCTCTAATAGCCTGGAGGAATTCTCTTCGTTTCCTTTTGAAGGATTGGATTGCGAGTCAATCATTTTTGTAAATATCATGAAACAATAACTGGCTAGCTGAATGCTCTCCAATCCCCCCCAAAAATTTGGATTAGACGGATTATCAGCAGCATACGATAAAAGTGTAACTAAAATGTTATTTCAATTACCAAGAACCGTTAATTCTAAGTGCTATAATGTTCTTTACCCCATGATTAATATCACTGTAAATCTCTCTTCTTATTTCTGAAGGGGAAACCTATTTGTTGAGAAAGACGAGAGTAGGTGTACCATATCCGTACCCCAGGACCCCATCATGGAACAGAAAATGATTACAATTCGATGTGCCGAGGCAATGATAGGCGATGAGATATTAGACGAACTCAGCAATGACAACTGTATTATCATAAGGTAAATATTTATCATTAATATAACGCATATCATGATTCTAAATGTTGTTGTGTTTTTTTTTTTTGGGGGGGGCATGATGTTCAATGTTGACTGCTGTGCAGTAGTTTAGCGAAAAATATTAACTGGACATAGCTCAAATTGTGCGTAGAATTGTAAGGATATAATTATTTGATGCCTATAAAGTCAACAATGAATGGTCAGTGAAGTCGTGCGCTTCCTTCGAAGTATGATCACAAACGGCCATGCACCCAAAGCCATCCATACATAGATTTGGCCAACCCTGTTCGAGTAGGACACAGTATGGCGACTACTGCTTTGTTGGGAAAGCACAAAACAAAAGAATATACGCTACGTTGTGACCTAGTGAAACCAAGTTGGCCAAACTCTGTGTATAGATGGCTCTGCACGCTCTTCGAAAGAACGCATGACACACACGCGCCTGCAGAAGGGAGGTCTGAACATCATTCGTATTAAGATGGAAAATGAGAAAAGCACTTTAAAGCCCCACTGTCCTACTTGTAGCTACTTGCTCCCTCTATATAGAACACATCCCCAATCGGTGCCTGTTGGTCCCCCATGATCCTCTTTTTTCTTATGTTAGTTGAAGGCTCAGTTGATGAGATAGCCACCTGTCAGTGACCTGGCTGGGTGGTCTAATCCCTTCTAGCCCAGTAGTATTGACATTCTTTAAACGAAGAGTTGCGTCAAAAAAAATTGTTCGTTATGAATCCGCTTCAGAGAAAATGGTTATGCGTGAGCTAGCACTGTTGGTGTTGACATTGCACACTGGAATTATCATTGGTTTTCGTGCTTCGAAAGAGCACCGAAACAGATATTTCCTGGGGGAGGTAACTCTCGTATTTTAGATGGTTTTAACAAAAGAAAACAAAATGCACGAAACAGATCAGTGAAAGGTTGGGGCGAAATCAGATAAAACAAATAAAGTAATCAATTGTTGAACTTGTATTCAATCAGACTCAAATGAGCAATGCTGTGATATATCTTGCGAGGTCCTCTCCCCTCTGTAGATGATTTCACGAGTTTCCATTGTCCTAGCTGTTGAGAAATAAAAGGAGTTGGTTTGTTTTATGCAGGGTAGTGCTAAACATATTTATTTGCAATTAGATTATATTGAGGGTGCATGTATAATTTTGTAGTTACGGACTTGTTAATTTAATTACTCATTATTCCCATTTGGGGTGTTCACACTTGTACACGCATTGCTTTTTAGTGGACCTCTCTGTATCCAATATTTATTTCTACACTATTTTGTTGTAAATGTTTATAATTGATTTGTAATGTTTTGTTGCAAACATAAATAAATTGAAATTGAAATTGAATTGAAAATTTCATTGTAACAAACAACAAAATAATGATTTTTCTGGCACAGATGGCAAAGGTCTTCATAAGATACGTCACAGACTTGCCTATTTGTGTATGATCGACATCGAAACTTCAACATTTCAAAACTTTTTTTTTAATAGGATATTAATTAAACGGTCACTGATCTGTTTCTGTTGAAACCAGCCTATTGAAACCATCAGCGTCGACTTCGCATTTAACAATATAAATCTAGTATCAGCAATTAATAGGGTTACTGCCACAACATCTGTTGTACTTGACCTTGTGTATTGTAAAGTGTGTGACACGGTTGAGCACTCCGCAGTCCTTCCGAAGTCTGATAAATACATGCAATCGCTTTTTTGATAGTTCAAAATCTAAACAAATATTGCTCAATGCGCTCCAAAATTAGTGCTAATGAAAAAAAAAAACAATGAAGTTAGGATAAAATATTTATATAAATAAACACTCATTTATTGAAAAGGTGCGTCTTTTAGTTCTTTTCAAAAGAGTCAATCGAAGTGGAGGTGCGCACAAGAGAATAGAGTGTGTTCCTTATTTTGGGACCATAATCATAAGCGAAACTATCTCCTTATTTCAAGTTGACAGGTGGTTATTGGGGGATTGTAGGATCATTCGAGGAGCGGAGTTGATATTGTGATCGGGTTGGTGTGTTCAATAATAATTGATGGATAATTTGATGCACAGGTATTTAGACATTGGTAGAGTTTATACATGATACGCTTTTTTCACGGATTACCAATGCAATTTTCTGAGTATGTGAGATGAAATTATTGACTCCCTCTGCCCTGAGCTACACAGGCAGCATTGATTTAGGACTCTTTGAAACCTTTTAACGTTGGTCATGTTTTAATTTGCAAGAAGGGAATTTGCATAATGCCTCCGACTTATGATTAAGGATCATACAACACGTTGGCATGCACTGGAAGTCAGATATTTCTCAATCCTAGAAATATTGTAATGCTGTGACATAATTATAGACACGGATGATTCAAGATTAACACCAAATTTCTTTACATTAAGTTTCAACTTGTTATGTCCCTCTTAGTAACAAGACTCGGAAATACATTTAACTATCAAGGATATCCCTCACTTCTAAAATAAAATCAGCTTGACATTTCTTGTATCGATAGTGCAGCATATGTGTGTGTAATCGGTTTTATGTGAAGTGTAAACAAATTGGTCCAATTATTGTCCTGAATAGCATGCCCCGTGGTCCGTATAGAGTGTAGCTTGGCAAATACTGATTAACGCCTTCTACGTCTTCTTTTAGACAGCTGCACGTAGCGAATGGACTTGATGGTGGTGGTAATAGTAATAGTTTAATGGCGTTCATTCAGTATATACGCCATATCTTCAATGTTATTAGTTATACTTAAGAAAACTGAGAATAAATATTTGTAATGATATAATTAATTAATCAGTAACGCAATTTATTAGGAGTCTCTGGATGGTTTGCAACTTCGTGTTTCTGCTTTTTTAAATGGACTTGATGGACGGTAGTCAGCGACTTTTAATCTCTATATGGTCAGCGTTCGCGAAACAGACCTAAGTTCCCCTCACGCTTCAGTTTCGCGTATGTTGCAAGCACCTGATTGCTGCGGTCGCGTCGTCCGTATTCGTATTTTACCCGATTGGCCCCAAGTCAGGACCACGGGAAAGACACGTTTATAAAATGATCAGGAAATGCCTCAAAAAAGTAAAAATCTTTGACTGACCGGTTTTGCCATATATTGATATCAATATCCAATCATAAATAGCTTGATAATAAGACAGGCGATCGGTTTGCGAAAGTCATGGGGTTCGTGACTGACTAAATTTTTATAATTATGATTGCAGCATAGGCTAAATTCAGGATTTAGTTTCAGAATATGAGACAATGTTACCGAGTCACTTTAATGTTTTTCTTATCTCAACCTAGAGCGGTAGAGGTAGCACAACCTGACCTACTGGTCGAAGGATGCTGTGATGGCTACGTCGACAATCAGGGCTCTTGTGATCGTAAGTCATTATTTTGGTTGTATCCTAAACTGATGACACAGAAAGCGGACATGTGACCAGAGATACCGGCCAGAGATTCGTTGTTTCTTCTTCAAAGTACCTGTAATCGGTCACTAGAAAGTGCCAATGACATGTCATTTGGTTATTTAGTAGTATTCCTTATGACCGGCCGATGTATCGTCTAGATCTAACTTTGACGTTTTATCTAGAATTTCAGAAATTGACCTCTGTGACCTTTGACCTAATAACCCCAAATCAGATCAGAACTTTTTCCTATGGTAGTATATTTTATCACCAAGTTTGAGCCTCATATCTCTAGTTGTTCAAGAGATTTTGAAAAACGTTGCTGATAGGTGACATTTCAGAAGTTGACCACCGTGACCTTTGAATTATGACCTAGTTACTCCAAAATCTAATAAGATTATCTTCTTATAGCGATACATACTATCATCAAGTTTGAAGTTCATATCTCAAGTGGTTCTTGATTTATCACGATAACGAGAAAGCGGGACGGATGGACAGCCCGAAAACAGCCTAAAGATAGTGAGATAACAATATGTATTTCTTATGTTTCAGCTGTCTGCGACTCGTGTACAAACGGAGAATGTGCTGGTCCATCTGACTGCCAGTGCTACTCTGGTTGGTCAGGGTTTGCATGTGGTAAGCAATATTATTATTATTATCATTAATATCATTGTTTTGGAAGACCAGCAGCAACACTTTAGTTGCAGCTGAAAATGGGCTACCAGCCGTATTTTGTCCTTTTTGCTTCTTATACGGAAATAAAAACATCAACTTCATTATTATTATAATTATTATCATTCTAATTATCATATAGTTTTCATTATTCTTCTCATTATTATTAGAAGTAATAGTATTATTTTCATTGTCTATCAGTTATGGTCCTCTTTGTGGTATAGATGGTGTGCTGCCTCGATAGATGGGGAGATTGGTTTCAAGGCAGTACAACCTTTGCAATAACTTAATTTGTATGAAAGCAGAGGAATAAGAAAACGAAATGGCGAAAGTCCGAAATACATCGGGCATTGGCATTGTCAATTCGGTCAGTGTAACGTGACGGAGTAATGCATACCCCCCCCCCCGTTTGTCTTGTACGCATTTGTCATTAATTTTCTCCTTAGCTCTTTCCTTTGGGAAACTAATCTATATATATATATATATATATTGTGGATAGCAGTCCCCATAAATTTTGAAAATTTGATTTTTAAGTAATATTGTGTTTTTAGAACAAATGGGAAGGGTTGTCCGCGATGACACAATGGCATTACCGATTCGGCCAAACAAGGAATTTGCTAAGAAAGTTGGATTTGTCTTTCATACTGGCAGTGGCGGATTCAGGATTCATGGGCAGGCTAGCACAATTCAGAAAATTCTCTTACATTCAAGCATCCCCCCCCCAATAACAAAACAAAAAAAGAGCGGGAGGAAGGGGTTGCAGGGGACTAAATTGGCCACCGGAGGACAAGAATTGAAAAGAGATAATTGTCATTTTTGTACTCGATTCATACTTGGGACTACATTTGGTGGTTGTAGGGTGGGGGGGGGGGGGAGGGGTCTATATGGGTGTGTTCTTTGGACGGTGGGTGTGGGCAGTCAATGATAGGATTAATTGGGTCTATGGGAATGTGGGCTGGTTGCATTGTTGTATGGGGAGTTTAGTCGACGGGCCGGAGTAGGGTTCCTTTTTTTTTTGTCTACATATGTCTTGTTTATTCAGAAATGCGTTTGAATTGAAGAAGGCATGGAAAATGTATCACAATTAGATTGCTATATGATTTCACTGATGTCACCTTTTCTTGTAGACGTGGAGGAAGTATCCCCGGAGCCTAGAGGTACATGCCGATACTGCTGCCGGGGTCACATGACCACGTTTGATGGGTTCGAGTACAACTTCGACGATCCATGCGTCTACACATTTCTCCAAACCGGGTCCTATAGTGTACAGATCGATACAAGGACTAGCCCTTTGAAATTGAAATTCGAGTGAGTTTGATATTCCTGTTCCTCGATTATGTGAAAACATTCGTGTCCAATTCAGGAGAGGGAGCATTTAAAAAGACTTCGTCAATAGTACCCCCCCCCCTTGCCTTTTGGAGATGAAGGAGGCCCCTTAAGAAATATCTCAGTCTTGACCGCTCAAAGAGGCGGTTAGACCCGAAACATAACGTTAAAGATAAATGGTTCCTCAATCGCTCGTATGATGTTTATGTGGAAAAGGGCTTTTAAAAAACATTCGTCGTTGACGTTCACACTTCAGCGATATATGTATAATGTTAACGTCTTATTTGGATGGCTTGGAGAGCGATTTTTTTTTTTTAATTACAGAAAATCTTTGTGTGCAGTTTCAAGATTAGTTGTAATATCTTACAATACTCCGTTATGACTTAGTGGTTTATTCCCCAAACATATTAAACAGAAATACAATATCTTTCAAAAGCAACCTTAAAAAGTTATTTTTTTCCAGTTTGCTTTTAGCTGATCTGACTATTCTTCTTTTTGTGTTATATTGTATTTATGTACAAGTAGGTTTGTGTATATATTTTAATTTTTCGCACTAGTACGCCTTGAGTTATTAATCTTTAGGTGGATTTGCCGCCTTATAAATCCTATATAGTATTATCATTATCAAACGATACCTTGTACCACTTGAATTAATAAATACGAATAGAGGAAAAAGAACAAGATATATGGGACTGATAGTAGTATTAGAGTTTTATTTAGTTAATTAATAATAGAACGGGGAATGAGGTGCTTGCTAACTCAATCCTTTATTCTAATGTAGGTTGCATAATAAATCGTGACAAATGCATTTCAACTGTTTGCTTATTAGAACTGAAGACGTCAAAATCGAGTTTTTCAACGGCAACGAGGTCACATACAATAATTTGGCACACGAGGTTCCCTTCACCGTTTCGTCCGTGGCTACTGTTAGAAGATCCGGGATGCTTTTGATTATTGAAGGGCTTGATGGTAAACAACCTTAACAAAACAAAAAATCTCATCTCCAGTTTTACCTTCAACATTCCACGTGTTTGTTTGTGTTCTTTCTAAAATAAACTGATCTGTTTTTGAATTACTATACAATTATGGGCAGGCCCCAGCTATGTTCCATTACCGTACCAAGTATTACTGAATTATTGTACGGAATCGTGAACAAAAATTAATATAGAACTATCATTTAATTAGTTGTTTTGTCTAATTCAAGCATTATTAGGGCTATCAGCTTGGTATAGTCATTGCATAAACTGAAGTTATATGTGTGGTCGGTTAAGTGAGACAAAAAGCTAGGATTATCTTTAGGATACGACTTAACATAGATATATCAATAGTTAAATTGCATATCAAAAATTAGAATGCTGCCTAAAACAGTGTTTATTATTTGTACAATCATGTCTAATGCAAATCACAGGGAAAAAAAGAGGACAAAAATGGTAGTAGAGATACCAACAATTATTTCACATTCAGCTTTGTGCTGATTTGCTAAATTAATAAATAAGCTGAAGAGCTAAATTACTATTCGAACAATCCAAACATCCTATATGACGCGAAGGCGTGTATGGCAAGCCTAATTCCAATTATAAGAATATCACAGTTTATTGCCGTATACGAACAATTTTAGAGCGTAAGTCCATCGATAAACTTGGTTTTATGCGGTAATCATTGGTTGTTTTTTCTTCTCGCTCGAACAAATGACTTTATCATCAATATAAGATTGTCATAAAATGAGTTTTTCAACCGAAAAGAAGAGTTTTTACACAAAAAAATTGAGTATATAACCATTCCTAATATTATCCCCGATAAACGAGTTATTATATCGATGTGCAGAGTTCAATATTCGATACTGTAGTTGTATCACCTATAATCGATGTGATTTTCAAACTCAGTATATGGAATTATTGGGCATTTGGCTTGCAGAAGACGTGAGGTCTCATTGGTGGAGAAGTGGTACCTTGCCCATATGATTCAAGTTGCTACTTTGATGCTTCATTGGTTATGCATTAATCCTCAATTACCATTTCCCTTTGATAGAATTTGAGGCTGATTTGTTCACAATTTAGACCCCGATTGATTAAGCTTCATATCTATATTACTGTCTCATGGTGCCCGTAAGGCCGTATAATAACATCACCGAAAATGGCAGCAATTTGTGATAATAAGGCAGTTTCATTACAAATGCATGATATTATTCATGGATAACCAGTACGAAAATATGTGATTTTCAATGATCCACTGACAATCTGTTTGCTAACATATTAGGTATGCGACTGACGTACAACGAAGTGGGGTCAGTGAACATTCATCTCCCGACCAGCGCCGCCAATGATTCCGCAACAGAGGGCCTTTGCGGTGACTTCGACGGTATTAGGGATAACGATTACAACTCCGAAAAACTCACAGAACTGCAGACGATTGGCTCTTGCGCCGTCTTCCCCGACGAACTCGAAGACCATCCATGTGACATAATGTCTGCCGATGGTTTGGAGGAAGTCGAGTTTGCGTGTCGAAAGTTAGAGGATGTGTTCAGCGATTGTCTAGACGTTGTGAGCTACAACAAGTACTACGAAATATGTAGGTATGATCTATGTGCCTGTGTGCTGACAGGTGAAGAAGACGAAGAATGCCAGCCTTGTGATACATTTCATGAGTTCGCTCATCACTGTGCTCTAGAGGGCGTTGTCATCGACTGGAGAACAGCAGATTTTTGTCGTAAGTCTTCCTCCTTCTCAGCAATGATAATATGATTTGATTTGATTTAAGTACATTTGTTTGTTTCTATATCATCTTTTCAAGGATACATATCCATGCATATTAACCCCAAACAGTTCATTGTTTTCAAAAAGTTGTATTGAATCAGCTCTTCCTAGTCGAAACGTTACCAATTATTTGTATTATCCACTCTTGTATAGCTTCAAAACTATTTAAATGAACCAGTGTGAATACAAATAATAAAGAAAACAACAAGAAATTTCCCTTTGTACACGCAAATAGTGATTACAAATGTTACCCTAGAGTTTGCTAAAAGTTAGAAACTTCATTGCTTTTCAAATCTTTCCATTGCCTTACAATTCATTAATTTTATCTTCACTTTGTCAGCTTACTCGTGTGAGACGACCATGGTTTACACAGAGGGGGGCTCGCCTTGCCCGATCGTATGCTCCAACCTGGAAGTCAGTACTGGCTGTGATCCTTACCCTGTTCCTGGATGCTTCTGCCCAGCCGGTGAGTCTGAAGAGACTAGGGTACCGAGACCAATAGACTGTATTCCTTACAAAAAGAATAGAACGTTTTTAAAAGAGTAAAAAGAGCATACAAACAAATTTACCAAACATAACAAATTGACACAAAAATAATTATATTCTTGCAGATAAATTCTTCTTTTCCTAACCGCAAACATTTACTCGTCTAATAAAGCATAAATAATTGGTAAAGCCAGTTTGTCATATCTTGCCCCGGAAGGGTCACTTCATGGTGAGAGTTGTAACACACTATATTAGTAGAGTCGAAAATGACCATCTATTTGGCATAAATTAACATACTTTTAGCACAGAATATCAGCCCTCCTGCGTAAAGCAATAAGTATATACTAGTGAGGATCCTAAACATAGCCCGTTTTGACATATCGAGTGTACACTAAAACATACCAAAGTACTCAATTTTCGCAAAAACATGTGCATAAGTTCATATGTTTGCAAGCATTGGTAAAAAAAATATTAACGATCTTCTTTGCGTTATTTTGAAAACCTGACTTTATTTCCTTTCAATTTTGTTGATTTCGAAACGTTCGCGAACCTATACCGGAAAATAGACCTTCGGAAAAACGAGTGCCTCCTTTAAAGGTTAGCTCCCCATCCATCTTTACACACGGCACGGATACCCATTTTGCTGTGCAGTGCATGGAACTTCCAGAAATAACTGAGTCAATTTCTTTTCGATTAGGTGACTTAATTCCAAGACCTCACGGTATAAATTTACCAATTAGTAAATAAAAATCCTTTCTCAGTTTCTCCAGAGAGTTTCTATTACAGTGTCATCGCATGACCAGTACTCGATTTTCAACTTTGTTCGTTACCTTTAAAGGGTAGTCACAAATACGTTAGTCTCCGTACCTATCCGTAGGAGGGGGGTTATACCGTAGCCCAGACTACGCAGAAGTACATCAACATACATTTAACTAGGTTCAACTATGGACCTTCCGTAGGTCCATGGTTCAACTAGGTTAAAGAAGAGTTACGTTAAAATATGTTCAACTAGGTTAAAGTCAGTTATGCATGGAAGTATAGCCCCGGATAAGTACGTTAAAGTACGGTAAACTAGGTTGAAGTAAGTTGAACTACGTGTACTTACATTGAACTACTTACTGCTACTTTAATAAAAATGCCCTGTACCGTGGCTATCTTTTGAACATGCCCAACACATAAAGCTCCGCGCACAGTGTTCTCCCTGTATAGTACAGATAGCCATGAACGGTTACGAGTCGCTACGATGTACCACGGTAGGCTACGTTAAGCTGTGGAGGTTTCCGTTACGCTTAACTACGTTATTTAACATTCATGTGACCACCCCTTTACAAATCGTCTTTAATCATGACACAGACTTATATTGGGATGGCGAGGCTTGCGTGGAGAAAAACGAGTGCACCTGTACATGGAGGGAGTTTCCTATGCCAATTGGATCGTCGGTGAAAAAACCATGTTACGATTGGTAAGAGCATCACCAGGGGGTGTTTCACAAAGATTTTAAGTTGAACTTATCTCTAAGTTGGACTTAAAAATTATGGAAAGCCGTTAGCATCTTTGAAAATATTTTGTAAAAGTTATTTTGAAAGGCATAAAATGTTGATTCAAATCATTCATATTTTCTATCATCAAGGAGATTTCATGGTCTTGGTGTGGAATTTATAAAAAAGTCTAAAATACTTGAATTTTTGCTTTTGAATATATTTCATTTTAAGGCTCCAATGGCTGTCCATAATTTTTAAGTCCAACTTAGTGTTAAGTTCTACCTAGGATCTTTGTGAAATCCCCCCAGTACTTCATTTATTAATTAATGGATATATTGCTTAGCTTACCATTTAATCGATATATGAATTTGTTTACTCATTTATCTGTTTGATTAGTTGATTATATAATTATATTTAGGGGGAAACAATGCTATTTCTTGCGATTAACGTATTTCCCTTCATTCACCGAATGTATATTGTTATATATGTATATTTGTAAAGTTATTGTTGTTGTCATTTTGGTAATAACATTAACAACAGCAACATCAACGTTGATAATAATAATTATATTGATAATAACAAGTATAACAACAATCATAATATTAACAATAACAACAAAAGTAGTAATAATAATGATGATAATGAAATCGAGAGTAATACAAATACTGTTGTTATTATTTTTATTATTGACGTTATCATCATTATTATTGTTGATATCATCATCATTAACATTGTTAAATATCATCATCATTATCACATATTGCTGTGGTGTATCATGGTTCCATATAAATATCATTGTCCTCATCTTAAATTTCGCAAATTGTCGTTCGTTCTTAATGATGTCAAAATTAGAAATGTCTAGTATAAATGTACCGAATTCTTATTCGATTCATTTGGCCTCTGTATTAAAACAAAAAGGAACAGTAGTAAAGTTATTGATAGTAATGATTCATGTTAACTCACAGCGGCTCCTGTTTTCTTTGAGCACCTAGCCAATACAGGTATAGGCCCGTGCATGTGATAACTAGTGTCCAGCTAAACAGTACCGAGTGCCAAATTCCTTAGCTTAGATGAAGACCCTTTACATTCATTAAAGAAAACTTCAATACTTAAATACCCTTGATAGATCATAAAAGTCGAAAATATATTCGAGAATTCAAGTTGAAAGTATTGTTGAAATATTGTGTCTACATCGGCTCGCCTGACGGTTTAATAACTGCAAAACGTAAGGCAGGGGCGGTTTCAATTTTTTTCCAAAAGCATTAAACATAATAGGGGGGGGGGGGTGCATGACGATGTCTACATTCCCTGACAAGCAATGCGTTTTGGTGTGTAGCTAATAATGATTAAAAAACGGTAGCTTCTTATATTGAGCTTAGGACTGTCAAGCTCGACACTCATGGCGGTTTACATTACAAAAGCGAATACAACAACATACAACTTTAGCTTATTGAAAAAGAAAGTATTAAACTGCAATCTTGGCAGATAGTGTTTAAGGGGAAAGGGGCATAGCCTAGTACAGTTGTTTCTCATTTGATCAAGGCTGTCGTTTGTTTGAGATATATATATATATATATATATATATATATATATATATTCACGCCCTTTGCTTGTTGTTTCCGTTGTTTCCGTATCCAAACAATAGCCAGCATCCAGCCCATATGGCGCAACCTTGTCACTTTGAAACCTGTTAAAAAAGGAAATCGATCTATTGTTGTACGAAACCTTTGTTTTGTGTTTCGGTGAGCAAACTCGCAACAAATAAAGGATAATATGATCTGCTTTTAAAATTACATATTTCCAAGGCAGTGAATATAATTTCCTATCTGCTAGAGATAATTACGTACATAGAATTATGTTTTCAAATAAAGTCAGTTTCGAAGGAATTTCCATAACCTTATAAAGAGCCAAACTATGTCTTTCAAGAGAAACTAAAGAGCATGGGCAGTTTTGATACCGGAAACATAATAAATGGTGTTTTAAATGTTTTTAGAGATTTAACGATAATTCTTTCGGAGCTTCATGACATATAACTAAGTAAACAAAGTCCGGTCTTCTTTGGACGGAAAACAGTTTTCACACACACGGTTCCAGAATCAGGCACCCCAACCTAACTCCGAAATCTAAAATTTATAACAAGTAAACAAAATAAATGAATTAAAAAATGACAATTGTGATGATGATGATAATAATATTAATGATAACGGTAATAGTTATATTGATAATATACATGTAGGGGGGGGGGGGGTCAACACTTTCCGACCAACAATAACCAACAATCAATTTTTAAATCTATTTTTCTTTGATTGAAAAGATCGAGCTTTATGTCAACAAGTGTACATAACTTAATACTGTATGTTTTCAAATGTTTAACGCAAAGTCTTTGTTTTATCATTCAGTTATTGTGTCAGCGCAAAATGGAGCTGCGTCTCCGCGCCGTGTCAAGCCGAATGCAGTATATTCGGTGGTTCAGCTTACCGCACGTTCGATGGAAAAGAATACAACCTGTACACCAAGTGCAAGTACACCCTGGTCAAAGCGGAAGCGACTGTGAACACAACTGCGTTCCACGTCACCATAGATACCACAACGTGCTCGTCTGAGAAGCCATCCGATTGTCTCGGTGCAATAGCAATTGATATAGGAGAGGGAGAGGGAGCTATTACATATTCGTAAGCCACATTTGCAATATATATTGATACGAGAGATAATCGTATGCGCAAGTCATATTCACAATAGTATTTGATGTAGGAGATGTTTCGTATGCGTAAATCAAAGAAATATTTACACAAGCTATCGATACAGGAAATGATATTTCATATGACTATGAGTATGTCATATAATTAGTCTCACTAGCTTTTGATAAAGAAAACATTTCATACGCTTTAGTTATAGAAATATTCGCAAAAGCTATTTACATAGCGGATTCTTGATATTCATATTAAAGTTTTATTCATAATATACATAGATATATGAGATAATTATGCGAAGTAATATAAATATTTACAATAGCTATTGATGAAGGGGATATATCATATGGGTGAGTCGGATTTAATCAGATTACCTATTGAAGTCAGTAATATTCAGCTTATTCATTGATATAGGACATTTTTCATATGCAGAAGTCAAAGAATATTCACAATATCTAATGATAAAGGAAATTATATTTTGTATGCGTAAGTCATAGAAATATTCACAACAGCCAATACATTCCAATTTCATTTATTATTTATTTCTCAATGATCTCCCCCCACGCTAAAGTATAACATCGGGCAAGGAAATCCTCCACGGTGGAGTTCCATTAGACCCGCCGTCTACCCGGAACGGCGTGATCGTTCGCAGGATCGGTGACCTGTTCCATTTGTCTACCGATTTCGGTCTGAATATAGAGTGGAGTGTAGAAACAGCCAGTGTGTATATTTCGCTGCCATCGGACACAACTATAAAGGTAATGTGTTATTCGGTTCACAGTTGACGTGATACATGGCTATTGCTCTTACCGACCTATCAGTGAAAATGTCATTCAGCAAAGAAGTTGTTCCGTGCATCAATATAATGCAAATGTCTTTTTTTTAGAGCTATGTTTCTTAACAAAATAAAATCCTTCCGTGTGTTGACCAACATTCTTATCGTTCTCATTAAAAAAAGAAAAGTCACCGCTATTTTCCCTGTCGAGACGGCAAAAAGCACTGTAAAGATTAATATTTTCTGTCTCAAGTTTTTCAGTGTTAGCGTTTACGTAATCTATTAAAACTATACCTTTAAACTGACTCATGGTAAAATGTCAATTCCCTGGATACCATTGGTAGAATAATCGACAAACTCTAATGAGTGGAAGCATATGGCGCTTGATGTAATTGTATTCTCGTATCAATGCGTTCTTTTTCAAAATTCATCGTGAAAACTGTAGACCTATTTGTTGCTATACCTTTACGTCTTTACTTTGTACGGCTTTGCTAATAAGCGTTTGCTCCGTGTCAATTTCCTACACTAACCGATTTCTTAACTTCAATCCTGGGACCAACACTATTCCGATTCCCCTAACATTAACCCGGATCCCAACCATAAACCTACCCTTAAACCAAATAGTAAACCCTAGCTTTTTGACAAAATATAGCCCAGAGCAATTGCCGCAGAAGCATTTTGGAATCGTTCCTCTCTGTTCGGGAAACTTGTTTAAAATATTTTTAGCAATTAAAAAAAAAAAAGATCTTATAGATTCCAGAGCTATCGGCAGATTTCATAAGTTTCTTCTCTTTTCTCATGCGACAGACAATGGGGTTATGTGGAACTCTCAATGGATCACCCGCAGACGACTTTAAGTATACAGGAAGCAACTTAGAAACGGTCGCTTCCGAATTTGGCAGAATGGTCTCTATATCATCAACTTTGTGTGAAGATAAGATCCCAACGTCAGATAGTTGCACCATTTACAATACATATTCCAACATAGCCGTTAGCAGATGTAACGATCTGAAGAATTATCCCTTCGACGGATGCGACGACGTCGATGTTGACGTGTACATCAAGAAATGCAAAGAAGACGTCTGTGCCTGCTTGGGTAGGGGAGCATCGGAGGAATGCGAGTGCGATTCGTTTAGTCGATATGCCAGAGCCTGTTCCCGTTATGACACAGTGTTCGAAACTTGGAGAACCGAACTCGACAAATGTACTGCTGGTGAGTATCATTCTCCCGCCCCTCCATGTTTAAGTACAGGAAACATGGTAAAACGCGCGCGCGTGGGCGATCAAGGTCAATTCAAGGAGCTCAAATTTTTTTTTCCTTATACAATCTCTATGGGAGGGAGTTATTTGGTATCCTTGAATTTGACCTCAGAAAAAACGAACGTGCGCGCGTTTAATACAACGCTATCTTCTCTGTTATCTATTCCCCACCAATCCATCCGCCATTAACATTAAGACATTCGGATATGTCCTACTTAATAATATTGGGTAGTATCGTCCCTAGAATCATGACGATAACAGATAAAGACAAATATTAAGAGAGACATTACATTATTTGTAATCTTCTTTCGTCATCGAACAATTACTTTTTTCATCTCTGTGTACTTTTTCTTTTTTTGGAATTGGCCTGGCTGTAATCTTTTTACTGCTTCTTATTTATGTTAATGATAGGCAGCGTTTTTATTCGTCGAAAGTTATAAAGGTACCGTTAGTCATCTCGATATCAAAATCTAATCGTAAATACAAATCAGGCTATAGGTAGTAATAATATCCCAGTCTCACCGAGACCGATATCAGAATGACTCCATGCAGGCCGATAAAAGTGATATTGCCTTCTATTGCCGAAGATCGGTCAGCTTGAAGTCGATATGGAGCCGGCTTGGCGGTGTGACTTACGTACTATTCCCCTTCCTTTTAAACTTTCCCCGTTTTACATACATGCATACATACATACAGTAGCTTCTTATACAGTATATCGCGTAATCCAATGCAATATTGGTCAATGCGCGTTAATGGTAAACAAGTAAAAACAAACAAACAAACAAATATAAAGGAATAATAATTCAGCAATATTTGAGGAGCGGTAATGGCTGTTCATATTCTTTCCCTGGATTAACAGTCAACAGAAGTTAACGTACATTTGTGTATAGGATTCCTTATCATTTCCTCCTCCTCTACTTCGTCTTCTTCTTCTTCAAAAAAGTGACTTTTTAAAAAAAAATCCGCAATTGTTACTGATTTAACCATGTGTTTTATTTGCAGTTATGACGTGTACTGTGCCGCTCCAGGAGTTTCATGAGTGCCGTAACAAATGCCGTGTCTCATGCGCCGACTTGGAAAATGAGGACAACTGCATTCCCGGCTGTGTACCAGGATGTTTCTGCCCACCTAAAATGGTGAGAGGACGAAACCTCTTTGATTTCGTTTGACTTGATTTCCGTTTCAGTGAAAGCATAAACATGATTTATATCGATTTAATAATCAATTTGAAACAAAGTATGCAAGTCGTAGATCAGATAAAACCAGAAAAAGAGTATTTGAAATCCCAGCTGAGAAGATACGAGACGCGTTTGCGTCCATCGCAAGTCTACGGATTGGGAAAATGGAAAATTATTCACTAAAATCCTTAAATCAATCAATCAATTAATCGTTCTGTCAATAATTTTTCCAATCAATCTATCAATATATTTGTCAATCACTCAACCCATTAATAGATCCATCCATCCATCCATCAATCTGTCAATCATTAAACATTCGTTCCTTCATGATGTCTTGTATTGTAGGTCTTTGACGACCGCTCGCAGACATGCGTACTTCCAGAAAACTGCCCGTGCCAGTATAATCAGTATAACGAGCGTTTTTACGAAGCCGGCCAACGAAGGTTAACTCAGTGTGGCTACGTGTAAGTAAAGAATCTGTGTACCTTCTTAAAGATAAAGTTGAGTTCTGGGCATGCGATTGCAGTGTGAAAGAAACGGTGTGGAATTGATCAGATAAAAGTTGATCATGTAGCATATATAAAGTATTGATGTGTACTGCAAGGTTCTGGAGTCATGAGAATGATAAGAAATAATTTTGGCCCAGTTTTGGTAAAGTAATTAAAGCACTTTACACATTTTAAAATTTGCTTAAATGACCTTCATATCCTAATGATCAGGTTGTGTATGTGAAGTAGGTTATTAATGCTAACGTTTGTACACAAACGGCAAATGTTGAACTTTAAACGAAGGCAGTGTGATATCATGATATTTTCAACCATTTCATACCTTGTAAAGTTCGCAACCAATCATCATTTTACTTTAATTGTTTTAACGTTTGTTTACCAATGTCTTTCCCCCTTGTAGTCAATGTGAAAGAGGCCAATGGGACGAAAGTCAATTGGATTGCTCAGGTATGGTTGCTGGTCGATGATTTTTTAAAATATTATTATACAAATAATGCACTGTTGCGAGTAAAGCATGGCCAGTGCACGAACTTAAGTCAGTGCCATTAATGATTATGCACGCGTCCGCAGGGCAAGTGCATTATCGATATCGCACTGGCTAACCTGAGTGCTCTGGAGCTGCCCTATAACAAACGATTATGTAATCTTTGAAATTACAAAGATCAAGACTGTAAAGCTACTGGGTACACCACTTAACAAAGTAATTTAATAATAGTGGAGGTATCATGGTTCACTGGTTGATTTACTTGACTCTCAATCGAAGGGGTTTAGGGTTCGAATCCAAGCCCGGCACTAACGTCCTTCGGCAAGACATTAATCCACATTTGCCACTCTTCACCCATGTGTAAATTGATTTTTCGATTTTGTTTTGTTTATCATGTGTATTGGGCCCCGTCTTAAAATATTAGCAATTGGAATCCTAACTCTATATCAATTATAAAGAAGTGTCTAAGTTTGTAATTGATTAAAGGTCTATCGATCAATCCGGACTAATATAATGGGGCCGCTGGTGTCTATAACACTATCCTAAACAAATCAACTTAACCATATGTGCGGTTTTTTCACAAATCCATAGGCAAAGATTTAGACAATGATTGCTTTGTGCAACACAAAAGAGTAACGAAGCTGTGACGTCATACAAATCTATTTATAGAATTTCTTAATTTTTTGTCTTCATTTTCCGAAAGAGCATCAAAATTCAGAAATTCTGAAAATAGAATTTTGATGACGTCACACTTCACGACTCTATAGCCTAGCAAACTTACTGATTTCCGGTCTTTTAACATCGGCAAGGATTAATCTTGCACTGCAAGCAGTTAAATAACCTTCAAAGCTTTGGTATATACCTGGAATTACCTATCACCAGATATACACGCAAGAAGAGCCCCATCCGTTACCGTCTTCAAAGTTTTGATAAAGACCCACTTTTTCAGAAGCTCTTGAATAAGTGTTGGTAGCACATTTGGGAGCATTTTCTTTTTTTTTTGTCACTGCGCAGAAGGGTATATTTATTTATATTTTACTTGCGCTATATCAATCGAACTCATTATTGTTTTGATTGAAACTGGGGAATCTGACATTACACTGAACTTGATTATTGCAGTGGCCGTGTGTCCCAGCGACAAAATCTGGGCAGACTGCGCTGCCCTCAAGACATGTGAACATGTGAATCCCTCAAAGAGCTTGGAGATATGCGAGGGAGGATGTGTGTGCCCCGAAGGCATGGCTGATTTTGAAGGCACATGTATCGACACCCAAGAATGTCCCTGCTACAGCCAAGGCGTCAAGTTCGAACACGGCATGCAGACACGAATGGACTGCAACGATTGGTGAGTCTGATAATAATAATATTAATGATGATAATAATAATAACAATAATAATATTACTAATTATTATTATTATTATCGTTATTATGATACTACTGCTACTAATGATGGTGGTGATATTCACAAATCCCTTTGAAATCAAATACTCCATGGGCAGTTGTGCAAAAAGAATTAAATCACTTAAAAATATTTGCGTTATAAATAAAGAACATGAGTATGATAAAACATAGTGAAATGAAAGAGAACAAAAAATCATATGCCGAATCAGACAGATATGTTTAAGATTACTTTTTAACGTTTCGACTGATCTTCTAGCACGAATCTCACAGGGGAGGGCATTTCACAGCAAATGCCTTGCATGAGCTTTATATCACACATTGTACTTCCTAAAGAATACAAATTAGCTCCATAATATCTAGCAAGTTCGGCGGATGAGCTGGGGTGAATGGATTTCCCCCTGTGCCAACCCGGCTACAGTAATGTTCAGGTGCCCTCACATTTCGGTTTAAAAAAAAAAATGCCTTTATGTTTGAAACAGGCTCGAGCATATCTTGAATCAAACGCCAATATGAGAATTGTTAATTTTATTTTGACCATCAGCTGTAAGTAAATATTCAGAATATTAGCCAGATTGCTGGCAATCGGGTGATGGTAAAAAAACTAAATTATATCTACTTCAATATTACCCTTAATTTTGTTTTTAAAAATCCTTTTACATTTGAAAGTTTTAAAACTCCAGATTCTATTATTGTTGTGATAACAAACCAAGCAATCGATTTGCCACGACTGATATCGTGGAGAATAACCTGGAAAATATCATTTTTTTAAATATTTATATCATGGCAAAATATACAAAAAATAAAACGACTACAACCTTAAAATATTATTTATGTATTTAAACGTTGTTAAATTATTTCGGTTAACTGTGAGATAATAATCAAATTTAAACATAAAAGGATAAATTAATACCACCCTTTCTATAATTACTTTCATATTAATTACGTTTCGTGTTATTCCCGTCATACCCGACTTTAAGCTATTGATTTATCAAAGAACTTGCTGTGTTTTTTTTTCTTTTTTTAGTTTATGCCAGAGAGACGGATGGCTTTGCACAGAACATGCTTGCCCAGGTAAGAAACCTAGCGAATTGTAAAGAATATTTAAATATATATATGTTGTAATATTTGTTTTTCAGATCCCCTGATCTATTTCATAACTTGAATTTCACTCACTTCATTTAGGGTTTTCTTTTAATTCTATTTTTTATGAAAGACATAATGTCTTTGAATAAAAGATAAAAACTTGCTGAATTTTCGTTCAGCAACCTGTTAGATTAAGACTTGTTTGCTATTTCTCGGACATGTTCCTCCTGGGCCTATAATTTTTACAAAAAGATGTTACTTGCATTACATGTAACAAAAAAGGGAGAATACTGTACCATAAACGTCAGTTAAGTACATCCTGATACAAAAACAGACTAGTTTATCATATTTGGTTTTCTTTTTCGCCCGCTTTGTTTTTTTACCCTCTAGTTCCTCGTTTGATTTTGGCTCTCTGGTCATTTTACATTGTACTTTGCAAGACGAAATAAATGCCTAAACGTGTCTCTATTTCAAACTATTCCGAAAGCTTTAGTACTTATCATCTTGTTAAGATACTTATTTATTCCTTTAGTGCTGACTTCGTTTTATTCTTTTATTTGTAAGGGGCAGGGGGTGATTTCTAATTCGTCGAACAAAAAACAAAAATAGTGAATACATCGTGTCTGTTTGGTACTGTTCAGCTAACGGTGAGATTGAATTCGGAGAGGTGAAAGTCGGGTCACATCGCTACTTTTGTTTTGTTTTGTTTTGTTTTTTGTTAATCTTTTGGGTATATATGCTTGTACAATGTACTTACTCTTCAATCTTCAATCTGGTCTTGTCATACTCTCTTCTTATCCTAATTTCAAATTTTCAGTTTTTTGTAGGTGGCAGCACCAATAAGGTATTTCCTTTCTAGCTGCCTCCATATTCACATAAATATTCACTCTTCTCTATGTTTTTGCCCAGATCACCTTTATATTGTACTATTATGTTATGTAATGTTTGTTTATTTTGAATATATATCTTGTGATTTTGTATGTTATTGTATCTAATTGTTTTTGTTATGATGAATGGAATAAATTTGATTATCTTATCTTATCTCATCTTACTGAAGGCTGTAACTGACCAGCTGATAAGTTGAACTTTACAGTTTAACTTTCACAAATAATGCTTCACCACGGTGACACAGGATATAAACAAACTTCCAGATTAATATTTTAAATTTTGAGCTATTGTAGTCTAGTGTATATGTCGCCATATTGTAGACCACATGGTTTATGGTTGGCGTCCCACCACGGCATTAACATCCTTTGGAGAGGCATTAATCTATATTTTCCCCTCTCCATCCACATGACCAAGGTCATGTAAATGAGTACACGGTAGGAAGAAATTCCTTAATGCCAGAGCGTCTTATCAAGATAGCCCGGCTAAAGCCCTGCTAATAATAGTAAAATGCTGTAGATATGGGACTGTAAAGCTCTATATAAATGCTACTATTATTTTTTTCTAGGTATTGTTACAGGTAACAATGCCGCATTTCCGTTGTTTGTTTATTGTATCACTACATCATTGTTTCATTCAGGAACCTGCCATGCGTATGGCGATCCTCACTACAAATCATTCGACGGAAGGGAATTTGCCTTCATGGGTAAGTTCTTTTTGTTTAATGCATCAACCGTGCCAACAAAATGTGGGTTAAGTGACAATTTTTGTGTGTGAGCTGTGACACGCTGCATGACGAATGCCAACGAGAGGGACTTGGTAGAAGTCAACGACGTGTCTAATTTTATGCAAATATTAGGAAATGGTATCGTCACAGTAATGAATCGAAATGATGATGATGATGATAATATTTATAATGATGATAATGATGATAATAATGAAGACCTACATTAAATAAAGAAAGGCATTATTCACATTAGTTAGTCATACAGGATTCGAGTTTGCAGGGATTGGAAAAAAACGAAAGCAAAACTGTTTTCAGTATGGATCAATTGATTTGGAAGACAAAAATCGTTTAAAAGTCGGTCCTTAAGACATTTTCTTTTACATTGAATTAGTAGTTGCATGGTAATAATCATTATTGTATTACCGATACGAATATGTCTCGATTCCGAAGGTTTCACTTTAGGGCTATATTGCATATTTTGTCTGATACACGATGAGAAAAGAAAGCTATATGGAGAAAGGCTTGCAGTTACGATTGTCCTATGTACTGACATCTCAACTGTGGTTGGTACGTCGCAGACAAATGTACTTTAGTCATGCCCATATATAGAGAAATCCTCATTACTACATCGTATATTTTACAAAAGAAAGATAGCAATAGAGAATTGTCAATACGAATAAAACATTTTGGATAGAGGCATTACAATTACAATTGATTTTAAATTCGATTTGCAGGTGATTGTAGCTACGTTCTTGCCCAAGACTCCTGTGACGATCAGGAGGGAACCTTCCGAATCACCGTAGAGAACGAACCATGTGGTGAGGAGGGCTTCACCTGTACCAAGCTGATCAACATGACGATCAAAGCTCGCATCACGATAACCTTACTACGAGGGCGCGACCCCATCATTACACCGGCGAGCAAGGCTAAAAAGTTTAACGTCCGATTTGTGGGGATCTACCTCTTCGTGACATGGAAAGGTGTTGATGGAAAAAGTAGGTGACTGTTATGCATTCACCCCCAAAAATAATAAATGCATAATTCCAGTGCCTACTTGACCCCTGTTATATGCCTATGAAAATAAGAGAATTCATTATTCAAAGGGTTAACCCAATGCTCTACTGTCTTCCTATGTGGCGCCCGTGGTTTAACGATACATGATTTCTTTTAAAAGAAAGGTTTGCTATGTTGTTCTATGAAATGAATAATTTTTAAAATGAAGCGTTACCAACAAATTCAACGTTCCTTTTCTATTTTCTATATTTTGTTGACGTTCCTATTAGATTAGAGTCACTGCACTCATGGGACCAAACCTATGTCACACTGTGCAATGACTTCACTGCTACACTAATTAAAAATAAACACCGATATCAGTGGGAAGGGGATTTCATTTACTTGCATTAACTAGTTTACCTGATTCGGTTACCATTCCATGGTTACTCTGATACAAACTTGAAAGGCTGAAGATGAAATTGTAAATAATTGCATTTCTTCTCTCCTGTATGATCTAGCCTGGAATCTATGCTAACACACACAAAACCTGTTGGAGCCTCAATTCTACACAATATAGCTTTTAAAGGGAACAAGTTTACATGTCTACGTGTTTACATGTTGTAATTTTATGTGGACAAAGTGTGATCTCCTCTTTTCAATCTCTTCTGTTCCATTATGTAGGTGTTGAACTCCGGTGGGATTTAGGGACCAGCATATACGTGACTGTCCATCCAGCTTACAAAGGAACGCTATGTGGGTTGTGCGGTAACTTCGATGGCAACAGCGAAAATGATCTCCTCATGCCCAGAGGAAACTTTGTGGAGACGAGTGTGATTTCGTTCGCTGAAAGCTGGAAGGTCACAGCTTCTTGTCCAGCCACAACTGCTTCGGAAGATCCATGTGTCACCAATCCGTCCCGCAAGACATGGTCAGAATATTCATGTGCCCTCATCAAGCAGTCTCTATTTGCTGCTTGCCACAACGTGGTAAGTGAATAATGACAATAAGATTTATTATAATTGTATATCTTTAGAAGGTCACCAAAGTGGTTCTTATTCTACATTAAAACAACACCATCTTTTAGATACAAAGCCCAGACTTTGTGCTCTGAAATCCAAAGTTCCATGGCACAAAAATGTTAGAAGGCAAGGTTGTTTCTTCAATAAAACATAATGCATAGTCTTCTTATTTGAGGGGAGGTTCGGTCGTAGCCCCCTGGAACAAATGGATCGATACTGGCTCCCTTTATTCTACACATTACATCCTCTGGTTAGGGCCCCAGAAGGGCGTTCATTCCTATAGTGTTTTTTTAAGTGTACCAATTGCTTATAAGATAATTAGAATTGATGAAAATTAATGATAACATAAAAACCATGCGTACGGAACCCAAGTCAATTAGTCTACTGACAAATCCCTTTTATGTTCAATAGGGGCGTATTTATTTTAGGTTCATGTCTTTGCATATTTAGTAAAGGGAAGAGGAGCTCCCAAAATCAGGAAAAGAATAGTGTTTGGTGTCTTGTTAACGGTAATACAGGTTTAACCCCCTTTTGCCTCATATCAAACAGACGTTGTTTTCTCTTTCTTTTGTGTGTGTATGTATTAGGTCGATCCACAAAGTTACTATGAAAACTGTGTCATGGACACATGTGCCTGCAATCGAGGAGATGATTGTGAATGTCTGTGTACAGCCATCACCGCATACGCCAAAGAATGTAACGATCAGCGAGTCTCTATCCCATGGAGAGCTTCAGATACCTGCGGTGAGTTAATACTTGCGTCAGTTACACATGCGTCAATGTCATTGCGCCGGCATTACATGCGCTAATCATACTTGCGTCAGTTACATATGCGTCAATGTCATTGCGCCGGCATTACATGCGCTAATCAAGCACGGGCAGTTAGTGCCCCTGAATATCCAGCACTGTTACTGGTGATATTAAAGCTTATCAACACTAGTGTGGCTAGGAGGGATTAGACCACACAGCGAGGTCACTGACAGGTGGCTAGCTCGTCAACTCAGCTCTCAAATAACATAAGAAATAGAGGATCATGGGGGACCAACAGACACCGATTGGGGAAGTTTTCTATATAGAGGGAGCAAGTAGCTACAAGTAGGACAATGGGGCTTTAAGTGGCGCGACGTGTTTAGATAAGTAGAAGTATTGAGTATAGAAGTCAAATGTTTCTCCTCCTCAATGAAGATATTTGCAGGTCTGTTTAGAAATGTAAAGTGCTGTAAAAATAATATCACTGATAAAAAATTATGTTCGAGAACTTTTCGGCTCAGAGTTGTTTTTTGTCTCCAAATTATTCACGAATGAAAGATAAACAATTTCATCTTGTTCTTTTTAATGATGTATCATTGGTATGGACAAATTAATTTTCGGTATTCGCTTGAAATATTCATTAATCTTATGACGACTCTATATGATCTATTCATGTAACTACGTGAGGCATGTTACCACTTACATGAATGATTGCACAAGGATGAGCATGCGTACCTTATCTTTGTGTTTAAAGTGTAGAATGTACATTTTCTTCCTCATATAAACATGATCTGCAAATGCATCTACTTCATTATATGTACATTATACTACTTGAGTATTTTGTTGATGAAAAACGCAGAAATGGAAGAAAATCAATGTTGTTTTGAAAATGACTCGATTTCAACTTTGACAGGTCTCCAGTGTGAAGGAGGGCAGGTGTACACATCGTGTGGAGAGAAGTGTCCTCTGCGCTGCTGGAGCGAAACACAAATACAGGACGATGGAACCGGGTGCAACGACACGTGTATTGAAGGCTGTTTCTGCCCAAAGGGTACTATTCAGGATGACGAATCCGGACAGTGCGTTGCGCCTTCAGCGTGCCCGTGTATCGTCGATGGAAAGAAGATAGAGGCTGGCAATTACTTCATAAGAGACTGTCAAACATGGTACGGCACGGTCCTTACGAAGTCGATTTTACTGAGACAATCCAACCAAACTTTGTGGTTTGGCTTAACAACATTTGAGTCAGAGACCTAGAAATATAGCAAAATGCATGGTAGAAATAAACAACTAATTCTGCACACGCTTCATCAAAAGGAAATAAGCCTTTCACATGCTTATTAGTTAAAAACCATTATTCAGAATAAAAATGGGAATTTTTAAATTTTCTTGCAAGGTTTCTAGACATATTTCTTTTTAAATATATACATTGCATTTTATTAGAACAACGCTTGTCTCTCCCGACACGGGGGTATTACATTGATACCAGGTGGTTGGTTACAACCAGTACTGATGCAAATGTGGCATTGCTGTGTAAGGGAGCCCAAATTATAATTATGATTCATTATCTTCGAAGTTCAATCTGCCTGTAAGGCTAACATATGTGTATTTGATTTAAATTTTATTTTGCCTTGATGACTTATTATCTTAATGTTCGTGATGCACGCGCAGGCTCACTAATATCTCAGAACTGTTCTTTGTTTTGCGTGAACATTTTTGAGTGGTGGGCATCATTGTCTGAATAATATGTATTTTATCGTGTCCGGACACCTACCCCCTGGACATCCACCCCGGATAACCACCCCCAGTCAACTACCTCTAGGGCAACCACCCTAGGACAACTACCCCCAAGGGCAACCACCCTCTAGGACGACTACCCCCCGGGACAACTACCCCCGGACAACTACCCCCAGACATCTACCCCCTAGAACAATCACCCCGTAGGACAACTAACCCCGGACAACTACCCCCGGAAAACTACCCCCATGGACAACTACTCCCCGGACAACTACACCCATTAAAGTACCCCCTTAGATAGTTGTCCGGGGTAGTTATCCTAGAGGATGGTTGTCGTAGGGGGTAGTTGACCGGGGGGGGGGGGTAGTTGACCCAGGGGGTAGTCGTCCTAGAGGGTGGTTGCCCTAGGGGGTAGTTGTTCAAGTGGGTGGTAGTTGACTGGGGTGGTTATCCGGAGGTGGATGTCTAGGGGGTAGGTGTCAAAATGAGTTCCTTTTACAACACTATCTAAACATGGCCGAGCATGTTTACATGTTCGTTATCCTTCAGTATTCTAATTTTCAATGATCATTTTTCTTTCAAAGCTCATGCGATTCTGGAGGCTATTTCTCATGTTCTGGCAAGAATTGCTCCGAATACACAGGCACAGGTATTTATTCAATGTTCTTAATTTGATTTAAAGTGCATTACTTTTTTTTGTCTCAAACAGATTTGATACATGAATTTCTGTTTATATACTTTCAATGTATTATACGAATCTGTGTATATTATGTTAATACAGATTTTAACGAATAATAACAAAAGCAAATATTAAAAATACTCCAATATCTATTAAGCATATGATCAGCCAATTAATTTTTCTATGCGCTCTAAAAGCAAAATGTGAAACGTACTACTTATTTACAAAGTACTGAATCTAACACGCTACAACTATCAATGACACATTGAAAATGGCGTTTCAACTAAAACCCCCAAGTTGTGTATACTTCTTTGATGCACACGGAACCGTTTTTCTCTGTTGTCTTCTGGAAGTTGTGTACATGTACACTTAATCATGTCTGTATGTGTGTATGTTTATATGTTTCATTATTTATGGATTCACGACTGTAGGACGTAGCTGCAAACACCATTGTTTATTACATCTCACATTAAATTGTTCGTTATTTGTCACAGTACCACCTCCAGATAATTGCACCTGTGTGGAAGGCTACGTTGCGTGTGCAGATTGTTCACGTTGTATCCCCGAAGAACAATGGTGCGATAATGAATACAATTGTCCGAGTGGTGACGATGAACAGTCCTGCAGTTGTCAGTACGGGCCGGAGGGGACAATATATCCAGTGAGTTTATTTCATTTAAAACTCGTCAAGATATGACGCTGCAAAATAGCGTCGGTTTGAATTTTTTAATTTTTACGACGACGTAAAGTGAAATTTGCGCCGTATTTCTATATCTAATAACTCGGAGCTCTGTAAAAACGCGCAAGTACTTTGTTGTGCAGACTCACCGAGTTCTGTTTTAAAAGATACATCAAAATTAATGTGAACCGTATTACAATTTACGTCATCGTAATAAAATATGTAATATGCATTATTATTCCTACATAAGATTTGAGAGACATAGTACAAGTGCTTTTGTGTCGAGACACTCTATTATCAAGCATTTACCTAATATAACTGTTTATAAAACACGACCCATATCTCTCGAGAAAGCATGATAATTATAATAAAAATGTTCGGCTTCCCAGGGGTAATGTCTTTACACGAATATTGAGCTTTTTTCAAACTCGTCCAATATGTTGGCATATCTCGTCCAATATTTACTACCATTAACCTCAAGGCCTTTCAATACCCACATCATATATCGCAAATGGATGTCTTTAATAACTTTCTTTATTTAAACCTTCATTATCAACTGAAAGAGTCACCATTTACTCATTAATATTCTGTTATCTTTTCATTTTTTTTTAGGATGGTGATACATGGACCGGTGGCCTATCCTGTGTGAAGTGCTATTGTGAGCGAGGGGATGTTTCTTGTGTAAAAGAATGCAATCTGGAATGCTCCGAGGTAAAAAAAAACAAAATCAAAAACAAAATAAATGAAAGAAAGAAAAAGAAAGAAAAAAAAAAAACAGTGTCAATGTTGAGCTCGAGTCAGGAGGACCCGGGATCAACACGAAGGGAGTTTTTCACGAAACCTTCTTTAAAAATAAACCCAGGTTTCGATCACGCATGTGCTTACATTGTAAAATGAACTGTCTGAAATCAATTTGGGAAATAGGAATGGTTTAGGACATCAGAAATGATGAAAACAAAAATGTTTACTCTGAAAAACAGTATTCTATATAACCACCTCTGTATAAAGACTGCATTTTTTCTTTTCCCAGTTTCTCATTGAAACGCGTGCCATAGGCTAAATAAAGGACCTGGCAATAATTCTGGCGGTCGAGGTACACATATCTATCCGTATTGATTTTCTTTGATATTTTTCGCCAGTAATTATTGATTGATTAATCAATGTTTTTAATGTGTGTACGTTTTTTCCTTATTTTTTCTCACCAGGGTATGGTAATGCTGTATAATGATATAGTAGAGTCGTGTTGCGACTGCGTTCCGGGTAAGCTCATATCAAACCACAATCCTTCACCTTCTGGGGGTGTTTCACAAAGATCCTAAGTTGAACTTATCTCTAAGTTGGACTGAACAATTCTTGATTTTTTTTCCTCAAAGTTATTTTAAAAGGCATAAAATGTTGATTCGAATCATTCATATTTTCTATTATCATGGGTGATTTCATGTTCTTAATGTGGAATTTATGAAAAGTCTAACATACTTGAATTTTCGCTTTTGAATATATTTCATTATAATGCTACAAATGGTTCTCCATAATATTTCAGTCCAACTTAGAGTTAAGTTCGACTTGGAATCTTTGTAAAACATCCCCCTGGTACCTGATTTATATATTTTGTTTCGGGCAGATATAGTATCACGGTTATGGGAAGCGAAAGAGAGAGAGAGAGAGTAAAAATAATTACACATACAAAGCAACTTCCAGATCTTGTAAGAAAAAAGTAAAAATAGATTAAATATGAATACTTTATAAATACTATTATAATACGTTCAAATAATAGTATTGTGTTAAGGGCATAATAGATGCTTAACATTTCGAGTGACTCATCTAATTCGATTCTTTCCCCTTATTTACAGTTAACGCAACAGAGCCAACAGAAAAGCCTTGTCAGGTGAGCTTACCATTTGTTATATATAAAGTTACAGGTAGCGATTGTCAATAAGTGTACATATACTTATATACAGATGTGTCATATATATATATATATATATTTACGATTAAATGCATATATATAAATATATATTAGAAAGCTTAGACAGATACCGAGATGTGATTGGTCCAGAGCTTGTCACGTGGTATCACTTACGAGGATCCAAATACACCAGTTTAGGTAATTTTTGTTTCAATATTTTTTTTTCACAATTTTTTTTTCTTCCACAATTTTTTTTTACAAGGTTTTTTTCTTCATAAATTATCTCAAAATATTATTTTTCAGTCATTTTTTTGTTTGCACTTCTTTTTCTAAAATTTGAATTGCCCCCGAAAAAAAAATTCGGTCACCAAAAAAAATGGACCCACCCCCCCCCCCCCCCCGAAAAAAAAATCAAACCAAGGCTATCTAATATAACAGTTATTGACTGGCAGGGGGTATATTTAACATTCTTTGGACCTGAAGGGAGTTATATTTTCCCTCGTGACCATATTTTTCCTCAGCGCTGCGCGCTTTGGGAAAATATAACTACTTGGGAAATATAACTCCCTTCAGCAGTCCAAAAAATGTTATATGACACCCCTGCCAGTCAATAACTGTATAATATTTATTAAATGCAAATTAAATACATATATATAAATATATACAACACGATCGCATCTATATCCCCAAATAAATTCAAGGCACACAGAGACTAGACCAAAATCAATAGGGACTCATTTTGGGATAATCGGTCTCTAAGCATACACCCAATTCTTCCCTGTATTGTTATGGTATATTTCAAAAGGAAAAAAATAGTCAAGCGTAATGAATAATAAGGCATTAAACAACCAAGCTTTCTTTTCCCGATTATCAAGGAAAATTATGAATTTTGTAACCTTCTAATTTATTAGAGTTCTATCATTTCTTTTTTTACTTTTTTCTCTTAAACTGTTTGAATACTTCGTTAAAGTTCAATTTTGTTTAATACTAAACCATTTACTTTGTTTATATTTAACTGTTTGAATTATGCCATAATATGCATTACAATCGGAGTTGCGTTAATTTTTCATATATTAACTTGATTGTTAGATATATATTGAGCTTCCTATTCCATGAATTTTACTCAGTATCCCTTTTTTCTCTTCAGATCTCTGTTAGACAATATATGGCCTTGATTTTAAGAAATGCCACAGATCATCTAACTAAATTATATTTAAAATAATCTAATCTATAATTCATTTATTTTACGGTAACCCAGTATGACCGGCTTGCGGTTGCCGAAGATTGCTCCACGTGTTACAAGCAAAACGAGGAAGACGACTTTTTCTACAAGATATGTGCTCATAAACCATCTGATTGTGCAGAGGTAAGAAAGGAACTAACCTTTTATTCACCATCCGTGCTGATTGGCACATTGGTTGGTGTGCCATGAGTGCCAATCGGCACAACACAATAGAACAACTGTTAGTCCCGTACATGACACTAACATTACGCACATTTTTGTCGTAAAGAGCTACATCACAAACCACTTTTATCACCAGTATCACGTGTAGATATTGGTATTGATAGTGTAGAAGCCATTGATACAAACTACCTTCTTGAAGACTGCAGGGTGGCACCAGGACCTGTCATGAATGATACATAAAGGGTTACAAAGAATAGACAGCAAATTCTAAAGTATCTTATTCATTCCATTTGATTCATTTGATCCATTTGATTAAAGAGGCAATGAAATTACAATTAATGGCATTAGCAGCAACAAGAACAAAACTAAAATGTGTAAGTGACTCTTATCTTTCAATCTGTTTTAATGTATTTCACTTCATACATGTCTCTCTCCATATCCCAAAGTTACTTGATATGTTTAATATCACCTGCTATTTACAACGAGACATCGATATAGACGGATTCCAATGTTTGCAAACGTTAGTTGTTGCTTTGCCAGACAAGCATCTTGCTAAAAATCCACAGACCAAATTTAAAATTTGCGATTCACATACATTTACTTATCTCATATTTCAAACACTAATAACATTATCATTATTGGTACCCTTTATTTCAAACTTTCTCCCTCCTTACGAATGAATTTAATACATCAGTTGGATTGCCGTTTAAATTTAGAGTCTCGCCTTCTAGAATCAGACCTAATAACCCCCCCCCCCCTCCCCCCAAAGGTCGACTTTTGTTTGCTTTTTTGGTGCCTATAGTCACAAATGTATATTCCTTGTTGAATTACACAGAATGAACGATTAACATATCAGGATGACCATTGCTGTGAATGCCTGCCTGCTAATGGTAAGTTGCATTATATCTTAGACCCCCCTTGTTTTTATTAATGGCAACCCAATGGGCCAGTAGAGGTGTCGTGGTCGAGTGGATACGTCGCCGGACTTTCGATCACAAGGTCCGCGGTTCGAGTCCCGCCGCGGCACTAATGCCTTTGGCAAGACATTGATCTACAGTTGCCACATTCAACCCAGGTGATGTAAATGTATATGGATACACGGCAGGAATTAATTCCCCGAAATGCTGGAGCGCTGTATTAATGGCAGCTAGGCTAAAGCCGGGGTTATAATAAATGCGCCTCGGAATAGAATTTCTAGATATAGACGGCGATATAGAAATGCCTATTATTATTATTATCATTATTAATGCGCCCCGCAAGGCGCAAGATGTCTTGATGCGACCTACCAAAAATACATTCCTGAATATGGTATGATTAAAAGACTTGCTATTCTGACCGCTTGTCTCGCTTGCTCGCACAAGGTAAACCGCAAGTCCTATTACGCTATTAAGTTCAAGTACAATTTGACAAAAGTTCAATAATGACATTCAGGATTACCAAATGTCATGATGATGAATGAAGCGGGAGGGTAGGGGTATTATGTTGTTTTCTTTAATAATCATCATTATCATTTATATATGCTGCCATTGTCTATACTTTGGTTCCTGTAAATTGAATAAATAAGTAAACGAACAAACAATTTGGTACGTATGTGTAATACTCAGTAGCACGCATCGTTATTTTAGGAATATAACTGGCCCGTCTGCCGACATAATCAATGGTCCCTGCCTTCGACATTGCCTCATATGGAATACGGACCAAGAATTCAGTAGCCCCATTTTTCGACTTGAAAAGTATGATGACATATATAGATCGTTCAAAAATCAAGAGATAATTATTAAATCAGTAAAAGTATGGTCTTTTCTTTACTTTTGCAGACGTATGGCGGTATCAATCACTTTTTGTCAGTCGTCGTTTGCTAGTAAAAGCATGCATGGTGAAATATAATATAATTCCTATAATCTAACTTTCTTATACTTTTTTCTCTTTGTTTTGTTAGAGACGAGCACTCATGTTATGACCACAAAAGGTGATGTATTGATATCTTTAATATATACATTTATTATTATTATCTTATGTATATATATTTAATAAACATTCTAAAGTTTCTCATAAAAACTGTTTTAAACGTGTTATTGGGTTCGCAATGATAACTAGTACATGTTTACAAAGTGAATAACGAATGTGTAAACATTACGTTGGCTTAGTTCGGCTACATATAAAATCATGTTGTAGTGCGGATCGGAGGAGCATTTCAACCGTATCGTTTATCAAGAATAATGGATATCATATGAGCTAGAGTTGGCGAGGACAAATTGCAATGGCAAATATGCCTATCGAACGTGGTATTGATTATAATCATAATAATATACTAAACGGTTTTAATGCATTTTTTATGGGAATATCTTGCGTAACCTTATTCTAAGCACAGCTGTCAAGTACATTCGATCAAAGGATACAATATATTTTCTCACCCTCATGTACCCCGAAACTACAGTAAGGGCCAGAAAGACTTGACATAAACAACCAAGCTATGAACTGGACTATAACATTTGTGATAGAGTTTCCAGTGAATTATTCCCGATTTCGCCTCCACTATGTTTTTCACTGATGATCGTTCTCATTCTGCAAGTTTCTATCTAAATACGCTCTCCTTTTAGTGTACCTATCACCTGAACAAACAGGAAAACTACTTGTGTACGGCTAGAGTGTATACAAAACAACCTCAAAACGCTTTGCCTGGCCTTCTACGGGATAAAAGTTCAGGAATATGAAGACAAAAATATTAATAATATTCAATGCCGCGGCTAGCGACTACGCGTGCGTGTAATATAATCTACTTAACAAGTCGTTTTTAGGTTTACTGAGAATGTATACAAAACTGCATCATTCCTTGTAAAGTAATATTGAAGCTCGTATTTTTAAGACAGAAAAGCGTCATTTAACCCCTTATACCGAAAACCAAACACGTGCTGTTGATCATTGGTACGCTTTAACTAACCTAATCTGTGAATGTGCACCAACGATCCATACATTTTGCTCTGGTTCTTTGCGGTTTTATCGCTATATTTAGTGTGATATAGTAAAAATATTATATTTAAACATTATTTATGTAAAAATATATTGCACTGTTTAGATACTCATAACATAATTCGTCTGTTGAGAGCCAAAGTGGCATTATCTCTGTGTTATAGGCATCGTTTAACAATGTTAAATCTGAGATACACGGCTCTACGTGTTATCAGTGTCTTGATATGGTGTAATATTAAAGCCCTACAAAATGATTATGAAGTGGCCCAAAAAATTAGAAATCTTTGAGTGACCGGTTTTACCATACTCATTTCCCCTAATAGGCTGTAGTGTTATAAAAACCGTTCGAAAATTGAAAAATGGAATTTCGATTTCCAATCATAGATATCTTGATAATCAGACAGGGGATCAGATTGTAAAAGTCATGGGATTCCTGACTGACCTAAGGTCTATAATTGCAGCATGAGTTAAATCCAGGATTTTGTTTCAGAATCTGAGGCAATGTTACCGCGTCACTTTAAGGTATCTGAGTTAAACCCCTCCTGTCTCAAAACTGACAAATATTACATTTTGAGGGATCTATTCGATTCGCATGCCTGCACGAGCTGTGAGTGGGTTTTATCTTTTATTTTTCTTGCTTTATTCATATTCCTCAACTGTTAGTGAAAAGATTGATGGGCACCATGTTTTATAGGGGTTGATTCTATACGTTCTAGCGGTACATTTCTTTTTCTCTCTGCAGACGATTGGTACTCTTTTAAAGTTTTAGGTTCATACCATAATTGCGAACTGATATTTTTGGTATGTTGCAGAATGTAAAGATAATTATGTCCACGGATCTCCCAAGTGCTGTTCATACCTAGACGAATGTATAATCAACGAAGCAGTCTCCGGCTCAACTTCCTGCAATGCATGTAAAGATCCTATGGTCTTTGATGGCTCGTCTTGCATCTTGGTAGGCGAATGCCCATGCAAAGATCAAGACAACGTCCTTCGGGATGTGAGTACAACCCTTCGCCTTAAAGCCCATGTACAATTCTTTAAGTAGGATCTCATGTTTATAAGCTCTCTATTTTATCGTGTTCTGTATCTTTCCCCCTTGTCTTTGCACCGCTCTATTTTGATTTTGCGTGTATTTAAGCTTGATAAAGAAAAAATAGAATAAATCAAACTGATATCAACGATTGCAAATTATAAAGATATAAAGGGTATTACAAACGCCAAGTCCAGGGAAGGATACCCTACATGCATATTTTACAAAAAATCAACAAACATAACTTTTCCCCTGAATTTTGGCCTATTTGACTCTTTGAGTGCGTCACGTGCGTCACTCGCCTCAGCGAAAGTACCATTTTCGCGCGTGTGTGCATAATATATTTAATTTCACCTCCCCCCCCCCCCCCAGATACCACTTAACCATCCTCAGCTCCGTGGTCTAGTGGTTGAGGCATTCGTGTGTACGACCTAAGACCCTGGTTTTGTTGCAACATTTCCAAATATTGTCATGTAAGCGGAAGGTGGGTAAGGAGGAGGAAGGAATTTAAAGGTAGTTCTTGCCCATTTGCAAGTTAACTTGAATGAATATAGATCGAAACATAAGGGTAGAAGTTTCATCAAAATCGGCTGAGAATTGTTTTGTAATGTTAAAGTTTCATATCGTTTCATCAAACAGTATTACTCTATGTATCACACAGGCTGTTTGCAAATTAGCGAGCTGATGTCACTTCTCGCATTTTTTAAATTTATCCGTTTAGTACAACAAATTCACAAAAATATATAACTTTCTGCCCTGGGGATGTAAAGAAAGACTTGAGACTCATGGAATATGTGCAAAATCACCTTACTTAAAAGAACATGAAATTTCATAAACAAAGGGATGGGATGACATCATAAACTCGCTCATTTGCACAACCACTACTACTACTCCTTCCATTACTTATCCTAATAATAATAACTATAACGAATGAATGTTTGAATAACGGAATATTTAAAAGGAATTTTTGATAAGAAAACGATTCGTTTTCTTCCTTAACAGCCGTTTGACGAGTGGCAGGATCCATATGATCCGTGCATATTAAATGTTTGCTATGAAGGAAACACAGAAGCCACGAATACAAGTAACACTTGTGAAGTTCTGAGTTGTCTTGAGGTAAGTCTGATACTAATCTACTTCAGTGTCTCATTTTAAAGAAGTTTTATTGTTTTCTTTTTTTAATGCAGAATGCTCTGAATTACAAATTGTATATTGGCAAAAAGTGCACAAAACCGCGGAAAATTTGAGTCCATTTTTGTTGCAGTGCATTGTACCCTTCTTCAATAAGAGCCATTTAATTGAAATTATTCATTGAACTCTCTAAATCAGCGAAACATAATGAAATTTATTATCACTTTTTTTCATGTGTAAATTGACTATTTTTTTTTCTCATCCAAACTGTTTAATGTAATTTTGTGTTAAACTTTGAGGGAGTAGAAAATACAAATAATGGTTGCCAAAGTTGAGGAGGAAAAGCTAATTTAATTAGAAAACTCCGAACTGCTGAAATAATACTCATGATTCAGTTAAACCCGATGTTGGGTTAATAGAGGAAAACCTCAGACGAACGTTCTTTGTTCAACCTGGTTCGGAAGAAAAATCAAATTGTTTTATCACTGGATAAATGGACTTATGTACAACTGATGTAACCTTGTTTGAGTTTGCCCGATATGTTACAACATGTATTTGTTCGAATTCATTTTGTTGCTTTTGTTTATGAATGGTTAACTAAAATCTTCCATTTATATCTTTATTTCTAATGACATATGCCGTATTCTTGAAATATTTTCGTGCTGTACAACTGAAGGGCGTCGTACATCATACTGCTATTTTAATGTATATCTTTCGAAAATCCATCAAAAACTTTTCTTGCAGTCACAACAAGAAACGCCGGATGGAGAGTGTTGTGCCATTTGTGGAGGTAAATATGATATGATGGAAATATAGAGCAATACATACAAACTGAATTTAAATGTCATATATACACTGTCGCTCATATAGTTGGAGTATTTTTTGTTTACCCCAATTTATGGAATTATTTTGACAATGATTTATTCCTCATTGATCTAGAAAATAGAATACATTCTCAGATTTTACTGAATATTATTTTGCCAGCGTTTGTTTTGCGTGACTGCTAAAGCATGTGTATGCTACTATGCTTATAACTAGGGGGCTTACGACCTTAAGTCATAAATGGCAGTAAAGAGGATTAATGCCTTACAAAAGGGCACTAATATGGCACATCGCCACGGTTTTAATCCTGGGGCCTGACAGTTACGAGGCCATTGCTTTGCCACTGAACCATGACTGTACGCAGCGGGGTCTAGGGTAGGGGGCAGTTCCCACAAATTGTTTTAAAAAAAGAAAGAAAATGCAATAAATTTGCAATAATTCATTAAATTTTACCCTGGTCCCCAACATTGAAAATCCTCTTTACGACCATGCATTATGGCTCAAGGCATGGGCACACAGAAGTAACAAATAAAGGAAGTAAATACCATACGACAGCCCTATATAGATATTTGTGTTCACAACGTACATCTTTCAGCATGTCAATCTATATATATAGAGTAGAGCTCTCAGAGATTTCTGGTGCGTGCTTAATAGGCTATCCCAATGTTCCGTAAACGGCAACCTCAGCCGAAAATCGATGGCCATCAATCTGTTTGACATATCTATTGTTTCATATTTAATTGATAGATAAAAAGTTGTCTTCTCGGACAAAACACACACACACACACACGCACACGCACACCATTTTACATTTTTCTTTTTTTTTCTTCTGGGTCAGGTGGTGATCCATGAGATAGATATAGCTCCTCACTTGAATATAAACAAATAGGGAAATTAAAACTTTGAGCTTTCAATTGCTATTGAAAAAGCTGTGTAATTTCAATCTTTTGATTTTATAATCCGATAAGACTACAAAACGCAGTCACATTTAACAACATGAAAAGAAAACACTGAATTTGATGACAAAAAACCTCAAGTTTTCTTAATTGACTTTATATGGGTTCAACGTGCCCTTAATATGCAGAGTTCAAACAAAAGCGTGAGCGAAAAATTGGTGCCGACTTGCATTAACATTCATTACTGCGATATTCAATTTTAATATTCACATTTTTATTATAGAATGTCTTTGCAGTAATATGAGTGACAAAATATAACATAGGTAAAACCTAAACCCTTTGCATGATCGAATGTCAAATTAAAACCACGCTCTTTTCTTTCTCATTCACCACTAGAAACAACTGACCGAGGTGACACGGGTAAGTTTTAGTATTTTTTAATCTTTGAAACTATTTGTTTCGGCTTGCTATACATTCAAAGGAGTATGAAACAAAATGAGCCGGAAAATAGTTTTAGCTGTCTTTTTCAAGATTTATTGTTAGAAGTTATGTTCTCCTCTAGAATTGATACAGAACGCTCAGTACATTTTTTTTCATCAATTACTCCAAGGAAAATGCTAATGATATCGTAGGAATTGAATTGATTTTTTTTTCTGGATTGGACGACGATCCCATCAGGAAATTACGTCACAATATGAACGACTTTGGTGCATCAACAGGGACGAAAGTTTGGGACAAACAATCAAATGGTTGTACTACAAATTGTCATACATGGAACTTCAGGATCTTACGCCGTCACAAAACCTAGAGGGATCAATTGCCATATTCACAATCCTTGCTCAAACATGTCAAGCGCGTGTTTCAATTTGCAATTGATTTGTTGTATTCCTATTCCTTTGGTATCATAGATACGACAACTGCACGCACAAGGCGTCCACCCGTGCCTACCACCGCGTCTACGACAACGGTCGCAACATCACCCACGGAGACTACCTCCATATCTACAACGCCTGGTAAGATTCGAGATGTTGGTGTTAACAATATCTTTTAACATTTTACATGATTTATTGGTTCAAAGTGTTTCAATCGCCTGGATTTTGTTTGGAGCAAACGTGTGTTAAATCAACCTAGGGGCTTAGGTCAAATTACACATATAATGTTCAATATACGACTATCAAATTTGTTTTGAGGTTTAGTTGATATTTATGTGATTGGTAGGCCCTAGCTTGAAGACGAATAAAAAGAGGCATGTAAAACTTCGAGCTCACAAATGCTATTTAAGGAGAAGTGTATTTTCTATCTTTTGAATTCCTCGCCTGATAAGGCTACAAATAAAATCACATCCAAAGAAGGAAAATAAAGAATTTTGATGTATCTCCCTTTTCAAGTTTCCTTTGTTTGACCTTATACGAAGTTTCAATCGGCGAAAATGACAGCAATTTTATTACTTCCCCAAATCAGAGTGTAGAGAACAATTGGGGTTTAAAACGCACGACAAAGAACAGGTTAATCCCAACAAGATAGAAACATGTATGACGCCTTTTGAGAAAGCCTTCCTCTAACTTAGTATTTGCCAACGAAAATCCCGGTTTAATTTTACAGGGTGCTATGATGAGTTGAAGAGCTATGTTCCCAACAACGTCACCACTTACACTACAAGCGTCACCTCAGAGATAGCGGATTTGACGGAAATCCAAATTACTTTTGCATCAGACATCGAGACGTTTCTCAGAGTTAGAATGACAACAGACGGTCAGAGTTACACAGATGTAACAACGAGGACGAGTCTTCCTACCGGAACATTCAATGACACTATTACTGGCGAAGAAGTAATCAATATTTACATTACCTTAGATTGTTCTGAATCTTAAACGTCCTCTTTTTCCTCCTTAATTTCGTTAGTCAAGAAGAATTTTCCATTTGAAAGTGATCACTTCCTCATAAAGATCAAAGGACTTGTCTGACCACTCATTACCTTAATACCCTATAATACTAGAATCAAATGTCTTTTCTGTTTGCTTTTAAGAGAAAGCTGTGTACCATCTAAGAAATAGATAATCAGAAGTTATTGTGATATTCATTTTCTTATGAGCAACTAATCATGAATCCTAACGCTTTGTGTGTTTGTTTCCTTGATCTTTCTTTGTTCAACCAGATGACGGGAGCGCAATTGGACTTATTTACAAATGAGGTTCTGAAAATCGCCTTTAATCCTGCTCTTGAATCCGTCCGAGGTATAGAGGTGATTTTCGCGGAAACTGTAGATGTCGCATCCTTGACACTGCATGGATGCAACCCAGGTAATTACAAATGATAGGATATTGATAGTTGGTCTGTACGATAACATAATTTGCCACTGTTCTTGCTATTATACAGTTGACTTAAGTGATGATGGTATTTTTTGCACTCAATACTGTAAACGTAGGGATCATATTAAGCGAATTTGGAAGACTACTACTACTAGCAAAAACATAACATTCTAGACATTTCCATGATTTAAAAAAAAGAATATTGTTCTTGTGTTGTTGTTTTTTTTCGTATCGTACCAGTCCGAAGACTTTCTTAAGGCACAATTCCTCAAAGAATTCAGATAGACCCCTGAAATGCCTTTGAAAACATCTAACGTGATGTACAAATCTATGAAGAAGAAAACATGGTTATTCTCGTATCAATATATTTTCTTTGTTTCTTGTTTACCGCTTAGGTACCGTCTCAACAACTACCACATCAGCCCCAGAGACTACCTCCGTGTCTACAACGCCTGGTAGGGTTCGGGATGTTGGTTAAAAAACAAGAAGAAAATCTTTCATTGTTTGTAATGATTTGATTACCAATCACCTGGAAAAATAATTAGCAAGAATGTGTTAAATCAACATTAGTGACTTAGGTCAGATAACACTTATGATGTGTCATATTCGACCATAACAAATAAAGAAAGTTAATAGGTCATGTTAATGTTCCATAAATGGTAAGCGCCTTCGGATTTCGAGGGCCATCATTCTGGTTGATTATTCTAATGTTTAAATGATTATTAGAAAGGTAGAAATTTGTATCCCGGACAAAATATACATGCACCGTTTGACCTGAAAAACAAATTTCCCTGCAAGTTTAATTGAAATTCATGAGATCGGTAGGACCTAGCTTGAATATGAATAAAAAGCGGGATTTAAACCTTTTAGCTCACAATTGCTATTTAAGGAAAAGTAGAAATTCTACTTTTTGATTTTCTTGCATGATAAGGCTACAAATAAAGTCACATCCAAATGAGGAAAACAAAGAATTTCGATGTATCCCCCACATCAAGTTTTCTTTGTTTGACGTTATACGACGTTTCAATCGGTGAAAATGACAGCAACTTTTTACCTCCCCGAATCAGAGTGTAGAGAACAATTGGGGTTTAAAACGCATAATAAAGAACAGGTCAATCCCAACAAGATAGAAACATGTATGACGCCTTTTTTTGAGGACTCCTTCCTCTTACTTTGTATTTGCCAATGGAAATCCCGGTTTAACTTTACAGGGTGCTATGATGAGTTGCAGAGCTATGTTCCCAACAACGTCACCACTTACACTACAAGCGTCACCTCAGAGATAGCGGATTTGACGGGAATCCAAATTACTTTTGCATCAGACATCGAGACGTTTCTCAGAGTTAGAATGACAACAGACGGTCAGAGTTACACAGATGTAACAACGAGGACGAGTCTTCCTACCGGAACATTCAATGACACTATTACTGGCGAAGAAGTAATCAATATTTACATTACCTTAGATTGTTCTGAATCTTAAACGTCCTCTTTTTCCTCCTTAATTTCGTAAATCAAGAAGAATTTTCCATTTGAAAGTGATCACTTCCTCATAAAGATCAAAGGACTTGTCTGACCACTCACTATACCCTATAATACTTTTCTCTTTAAACGTGCTCGAGGAAAGGGAAATCGTTTTCTACATCACACGTTGTATTTGAGACCAACTACACAATTCCTTAAAGGTAAAGACCAGTTATGGTCATGCGATTGCATTGTGAAAGAAGTGTTGTGGAATCGATCAGAAAAGGTTGATCATCTAGCATCTCGCATCTGCAAGGTTCTGGAATCATCAAAATGATAAGAAATTTGGCCCATTCTTCGTAAAGTTACAAGCACTATACACAGAAAGATGTATATGGGACTACCCTATATCTCTCACAGACCGTGAGAGAAACAAATTTACCAAATATATGAATTAGTAGGCGGTTTCCCGGCACATTTTTTATCATCATGTATTAGTCAAAACATATTCTTTCACATGATTGGTAATGAGAGCTTCCATTTCATTTTTTGAAATTGGGGCGTTTCCAATACTGGTCTTTACCTTTAATGTTATTGTTCATCAATACAGACTAACAAATGATCAAGTATGCAGTCTCCTAATGGAAAATAAGTCCCTTTGAGCTTGAAAACAGTATGAGTAGAATCAAATGTCTTTTCTGTTTGCTTTTAAGAGAAAGTTGTGTACCATCTAAGAAATAGATAATCAGAAGTTATTGTGATATTCATTTTCTTATGAGCAACTTATCATGAATCCTAACGCTTTGTGTGTTTGTTTCCTTGATCTTTCTTTGTTCAACCAGATGACGGGAGCGCAATTGGACTTATTTACAAATGAGGTTCTGAAAATCGCCTTTAATCCTGCTCTTGAATCCGTCCGAGGTATAGAGGTGATTTTCGCGGAAACTGTAGATGTCGCATCCTTGACACTGCATGGATGCAACCCAGGTAATGAAAAATGATAGGATATTGATAGTTGGTCTGTACGATAACATAATTTGCCACTGTTCTTGCTATTATACAGTTGACTTAAGTGATAATGGTATATTTTGCACTCAATACTGTAAACGTAGGGATCATATTAAGCGAATTTGGAAGACTACTACTACTAGCAAAAACATAACATTCTAGACATTTCCATGATTTAAAAAAAGAATATTGTTCTTGTGTTGTTGTTTTTTTTCGTATCGTACCAGTCCGAAGACTTTCTTAAGGCACAATTCCTCAAAGAATTCAGATAGACCCCTGAAATGCCTTTGAAAACATCTAACGTGATGTACAAATCTATGAAGAAGAAAACATGGTTATTCTCGTATCAATATATTTTCTTTGTTTCGTGTTTACCGCTTAGGTACCGTCTCAACAACTACCACATCAGCCCCAGAGACTACCTCCGTGTCTACAACGCCTGGTAGGGTTCGGGATGTTGGTTAAAAAACAAGAAGAAAATCTTTCATTGTTTGTAATGATTTGATTACCAATCACCTGGAAAAATAATTAGCAAGAATGTGTTAAATCAACATTAGTGACTTAGGTCAGATAACACTTTAATGATGTGTCATATTCGACCATAACAAATAAAGAAAGTTAATAGGTCATGTTAATGTTCCATAAATGGTAACCGCCTTCGGATTTCGAGGGCCATCATTCTGGTTGATTATTCTAATGTTTAAATGATTATTAGAAAGGTAGAAATTTGTATCCCGGACAAAATATACATGCACCGTTTGACCTGAAAAACAAATTTCCCTGCAAGTTTAATTGAAATTCATGAGATCGGTAGGACCTAGCTTGAATATGAATAAAAAGCGGGATTTAAACCTTTTAGCTCACAATTGCTATTTAAGGAAAAGTAGAAATTCTACCTTTCGATTTCCTTGCATGATAAGGCTACAAATAAAGTCACATCCAAATGAGGAAAACAAAGAATTTCGATGTATTCCCCCACATCAAGTTGTCTTTGTTTGACGTTATACGACGTTTCAATCGGTGAAAACGACAGCAACTTTTTAGCTCCCCGAATTAGAGTGTAGAGAACAATTGGGGTTTAAAACGCATAATAAAGAACAGGTTAGTCCCAACAAGATAGAAACATGTATGACGCCTTTTTTGAGGACTCCTTCCTCTAACTTTGTATTTACCGATGAAAATCCCGGTTTAACTTTACAGGGTGCTATGATGAGTTGCAGAGCTATGTTCCCAACAACGTCACCACTTACACTACAAGCGTCACCTCAGAGATAGCGGATTTGACGGGAATCCAAATTACTTTTGCATCAGACATCGAGACGTTTCTCAGAGTTAGAATGACAACAGACGGTCAGAGTTACACAGATGTTACAACGAGGACGAGTCTTCCTATCGGAACATTCATTGACACCAATACTGGCGAAGAAGTAAACAATATTTAAATTACCTTAGATTGTTCTGAATCTTAAACGTCCTCTTTTTCCTCCTTAATTTCGTAAATCAAGAAGAATTTTCCATTTGAAAGTGATCACCTCCTTACAATGATCAATGGATTTGTCTCACCACTCACTGCCTGTACCCTATAATACTTTTCTCTTTAAACGTGCTCGAGGAAAGGGAAATCGTTTTCTACCTCACACGTTGTATTTGAGACCAACTACACAATTCCTTAAAGGTAAAGACCAGTTATGGTCATGCGATTGCATTGTGAAAGAAATGTTGTGGAATCGATCAGAAAAGGTTGATCATCTAGCATCTCGCATCTGCAAGGTTCTGGAATCATCAAAATGATAAGAAATTTGGCCCATTCTTCGTAAAGTTACAAGCACTATACACAGAAAGATGTATATGGGACTACCCTATATCTCTCACAGACCATGAGAGAAACAAATTTACCAAATATATGAATTAGTAGGCGGTTTCCCGGCACATTTTGTATCATCATGTATTAGTCAAAACATATTCTTTCACATGATTGGTAATGAGAGCTTCCATTTCATTTTTTGAAATTGGGGCGTTTCCAATACTGGTCTTTACCTTTAATGTTATTGTTCATCAATACAGACTAACAAATGATCAAGTATGCAGTCTCCTAATGGAAAATAAGTCCCTTTGAGCTTGAAAACAGTATGAGTAGAATCAAATGTCTTTTCTGTTTGCTTTTAAGAGAAAGTTGTGTACCATCTAAGAAATAGATAATCAGAAGTTATTGTGATATTCATTTTCTTATGAGCAACTTATCATGAATCCTAACGCTTTGTGTGTTTGTTTCCTTGATCTTTCTTTGTTCAACCAGATGACGGGAGCGCAATTGGACTTATTTACAAATGAGGTTCTGAAAATCGCCTTTAATCCTGCTCTTGAATCCGTCCGAGGTATAGAGGTGATTTTCGCGGAAACTGTAGATGTCGCATCCTTGACACTGCATGGATGCAACCCAGGTAATGAAAAATGATAGGATATTGATAGTTGGTCTGTACGATAACATAATTTGCCACTGTTCTTGCTATTATACAGTTGACTTAAGTGATAATGGTATATTTTGCACTCAATACTGTAAACGTAGGGATCATATTAAGCGAATTTGGAAGACTACTACTACCAGCAAAAACATAACATTCTAGACATTTCCATGATTTAAAAAAAGAATATTGTTCTTGTGTTGTTGTTTTTTTTTCGTATCGTACCAGTCCGAAGACTTTCTTAAGGCACAATTCCTCAAACAATTCAGATAGACCCCTGAAATGCCTTTGAAAACATCTAACGTGATGTACAAATCTATGAAGAAGAAAACATGGTTATTCTCGTATCAATATATTTTCTTTGTTTCGTGTTTACCGCTTAGGTACCGTCTCAACAACTACCACATCAGCCCCAGAGACTACCTCCGTGTCTACAACGCCTGGTAGGGTTCGGGATGTTGGTTAAAAAACAAGAAGAAAATCTTTCATCGTTTGTAATGATTTGATTACCAATCACCTGGAAAAATAATTAGCAAGAATGTGTTAAATCAACATTAGGGACTTAGGTCAGATAACACTTATGATGGGTCATATTTGACCATAACAAATAAAGGAAGTAAATAGGTCATATTAATGTTTCATAAATGGTAACCGCCTTCGGATTTTGAGGGCCATCATTCTGGATGATAATTCTAGTGTTCAAATGATTATTAGAAAGGTAGAAATTTGTATCCCGGACAAAATATACATGCACCGTTTGACCTGAAAAACAAATTCCCCTGCAAGTTTAATTGAAATTCATGAGATCGGTAGGACCTAGCTTGAATATGAATAAAAAGCGGGATTTAAACCTTTTAGCTCACAATTGCTATTTAAGGAAAAGTAGAATTTCTATCTTTTGATTTCCTTGCATGATAAGGCTACAAATAAAGTCACATCCAAATGAGGAAAACAAAGAATTTCGATGTATCCCCCCACATCAAGTTTTCTTTGTTTGACGTTATACGACGTTTCAATCGCTGAAAACGACAGCAACTTTTTACCTCCCCGAATCAGAGTGCAGAGAACAATTGGGGTTTAAAACGCATAAAAAAGAACAGGTCAATCCCAACAAGATAGAAACATGTATGACGCCTTTTTGAGGACTCCTTCCCCTAACTTTGTATTTGCCAATGAAAATCCCGGTTTAACTTTACAGGGTGCTATGATGAGTTGCAGAGCTATGTTCCCAACAACGTCACCACTTACACTACAAGCGTCACCTCAGAGATAGCGGATTTGACGGGAATCCAAATTACTTTTGCATCAGACATCGAGACGTTTCTCAGAGTTAGAATGACAACAGACGGTCAGAGTTACACAGATGTTACAACGAGGACGAGTCTTCCTACCGGAACATTCATTGACACCAATACTGGAGAAGAAGTAAACAATTTTTTACATAACCTTAGATTGTTCTGAATCTTAAACGTCCTCTTTTTCCTCCTTAATTTCGTTAGTCAAGAAGAATTTTCCATTTGAAAGTGATCACTTCCTCATAAAGATCAAAGGACTTGTCTGACCACTCACTACCTTAATACCCTATAATACTTTTCTCTTTAAACGTGCTCGAGGAAAGGGAAATCGTTTTCTACATCACACGTTGTATTTGCAGACCAACTACACAATTCCTTAATGTTATTGTTCATCAATACAGACTAACAAATGATCAAGTATGCAGTCTCCTAATGGAAAATAAGTCCCTTTGAGCTTGAAAACAGTATGAGTAGAATCAAATGTCTTTTCTGTTTGCTTTTAAGAGAAAGCTGTGTACCATCTAAGAAATAGATAATCAGAAGTTATTGTGATATTCATTTTCTTATGAGCAACTTATCATGAATCCTAACGCTTTGTGTGTTTGTTTCCTTGATATTTCTTTGTTCAACCAGATGACGGGAGCGCAATTGGACTTATTTACAAATGAGGTTCTGAAAATCGCCTTTAATCCTGCTCTTGAATCCGTCCGAGGTATAGAGGTGATTTTCGCGGAAACTGTAGATGTCGCGTCCTTGACACTGCATGGATGCAACCCAGGTAATTACAAATGATAGGATATTGATAGTTGGTATGTACGATAACATAATTTGCCACTGTTCTTGCTATTATACAGTTGACTTAAAGTGATGATGGTATATTTTGCACTCAATACTGTCAACATAGGGATCATATTCAGCGAATTTGGAAGACTACTACTACTAGCAAAAACATAACATTCTAGACATTTCCATGATTTAAAAAAAGAATATCGTTCTTGTGTTGTTCTTTTCTTTTCGTATCGTACCAGTCCGAAGACTTTCTTAAGGCATAATGCCTCAAAGAATTCAGATAGACCCCTGAAATGCCTTTGAAAACATCTAACGTGATGTTCAAATCTATGAAGAAGAAAACATGGTTATTCTCGTATCAATATATTTTCTTTGTTTCGTGTTTACCGCTTAGGTACCGTCTCAACAACTACCACATCAGCCCCAGAGACTACCTCCGAGTCTACAACGCCTGGTAGGGTTCGGGATGTTTGTTTAAAAAAAAACAAGAAGAAAGTCTTTCATAATTTTAAAGATTTGATTTTCTGATTTTTAGTGTTCCAATCACCTGAAAAAATATTTGGCAAGAATGTGCAAAATCAACTTTAGGGACTTCAGGTCAGATTACACGTATAATGTGTCATATTCGACCATAACAATAAAGAAAGTAAATACCTTTCCATAGCCTTGTGGTTTTGTGTTCACAGACATCTTTCAGCATATCAATCTATAGGTCTTAGGTAGAGCTCTCAAAGATTTCTGGTGTGTGCTTAATAGGCCATCCCAATGTTTCGTAAATGGCAACCGCAGTCGAAATTCGAGAGCCATCAATCTGTTTGGCATATCAAATGTTGCATATTCATTTGAAAGATAAGAAGTTGTCTTGTCGGACAAAATATACATGCACCATTTAAAAATAAGAACAAATTTCTATACATACAAATAATAATAGAGAGGTGGCAATCCATGAGATCGATAGCAAGAATATGAACAAATAGGGGGAATTAGAATTTTGAGCTTACAACTGCTATGGAAGGAGCAGTGTAATTTCAATCTTTTGTTGATTTCCTTGCACGATAAGACAACAGAACACAGACACGTCTGAAGAAGAGAAAAAGTATACAATGAATTTGATGACAAGAAACCTCCTCAAAATGTCCTTAATTGACATAATATAAATTCAAAGTGTCCCTAAGAGGCATAAACATATATTACTTCGATATTTACTTTGAATTATCACATTCTTATTATAGAATTCATTCCACGGCAACATGTTAGTCAATATCAATGCAATAATATGAGTGACAAAATAAGACCTGGGTAAAACCTAAACTCTTTCTATGTTTGAATGTCAAATTATTAATCCACCTTTTTCTTTCTCGTTCACCACTAGAAACAACTAACCGAGGTGACACGGGTACGTACGAGTTTTGTTAAAACTTTGAAAGTAATTGTTTAGGCTTGCTATACATTCAAAGGAGTCGGTAACAAAATGAGCCGGAAAATACTTTTGATTAGTCATTTTTCCACATTTATTATTAGAATATATGTTCTCCTCTCGAATTGATACAAAATGCTCAGTGAATGTCACGTCTTAAAAACGTTTTATTCCCATTTATTCGAAGCAGAATGTTTATGATATTGTAGGAATCAAAGTGATATAACTTCTGGATAGAAACTTCTGGTTGCAGAGTCTAAAGGTTAATCGTCACATTCAAATCCCATTCTCAATCGTGTCTAGTGTATTTTTCAATAAGCAATCGTCTTTTTGTATTTCTACTCATTTGTTGTCATAGACACGACAACTGCACGCACACGGCCTACCCCGGAGTCAACTCCAACTACTCAATCGAGTAAGTACCCATCCTATATCTTCTCCATTATGTCCATATTGAAACGTATTTGCTAGCCAAAAAAGTCTTTGATGTAACGTAATTATTCGGAGTAAACTGTTTAGTAACGTGAAATTACATAATCTGTATGTGAATATCACAGTCACTATATGGATGACTATCGCGATATGAAAATATATGTGATTCACTTGATACTTCAGAATACACATGTGAAACGTGTTCATCAATCGGCGGATTCCCAAGCAAATATTTGTTTTCTTAGTTTGGAGTTTTCTATTGCATTTCAACCTCGCTAAATAAGTCAAATAATGCATTTCAATGGAGACATGCTTTAAATTTGATCAACTAATTAAAATCGAACGATACTTCTCCCTCTTATACGAGACACTTAAAGTTTACATTTTTCTTCAAGTGACATTGTTCAGCACGAACAATTATTATTATTTTTATCTCGAATTTTTGTTATCTCGAAATGCAAACTGTTTTAATTTGTTAACCGTGATCTTAGACCCAAGTTCGTGCTTAACTGAACAAGCTGAATACGGATCAATGATTTTAAGCACTGTAAACAATATAAAGATGTATATGTTATCATGATAATTTTTCATGCGTGACTCTGTACATAATTCTTTGTGTATTTTTGTTTGCAGGCACTACAACACCATATGTGTGCTACGATAACATCACATCTGCAAACTATCCAGTACGTATCATAATCTTGTCAAAAGCTGTAGATTGACATTCTCCGCATTATCTATTAAATATGAAATCAGAAAAGTTATAAATATGAATATTATTATGCATAGTCAGTTTTTGCAATCCCTAATCCTGGATGTGTCCCTCGAATGATATGCCTATTTCCCGCAATAAATAGCACCTACATGCAGGTTATAAAACAGTTCGTCATTCGGGTAATTAAGGCTAGAGGAGGGTTTTTAAGCCAAGCTTTCGTACTCAATACAAATTTCCTGCCGATCGACTTCCATGTCAAGCCGGCGAACTTGCGAATCGCTACCTGCGGCAGATGAAAGGTTCAAACAGATTTTTAGTTATTACCAGCTCACACACACAATGTGACTGATATCATCAGTTCCGACTTACAAATAAATTTGTGATGTGATGGTTATTTCACCTGACTGCTATAAAGAAAGCATACATGCTTGTAAGAAAGCAACCATACGGTCGACGGATTTAGGTCCTCTTCGAGGGACCTGGTAGTGAGGATTAATTCTTTACCAAAGGGCACTAGCGCATCGACTTGGTTTCGAACCCGGGTCACCGGATTACGAGACCACTGCTCTACCACCTGAGCTATCGCTGATAAATGATCAGTTAAGATATATTAACGAGCAATACCAGAAGGAAATATTGTGAAAAATTAGAGATATTCCTAATCTCTCTTTCCTACTGCAACAATTCATTATGGCTCTATTTCATATTGGGCGTTACACAGAAAATGTGCACGTGCACTTTAAAAGTGACGCCATTCGTATATATGGGATAAAGGGGGCCGTAGTCGGAGCTTTCACATCGCAGTCCCTGTCAGGCTCGGTCTGCCAATACCTTGCGCGTTCTTCGACCACATTTCACACAATTTTCACCATTTTAGCTGATATTTAAAGATAGTTAAAAAGTGCCCTATGCCTTGCCCAGCCGATATTGGAATCAACCTTCAAAATATGTTATTAATGATGGGTTGGCTGATTCGGGAACTGCGGTTACTTGTTTTTATGTATTTAAAAAAAAGAATTACTAACGCCATAACGGTCCAGTGTAAACAAAAGAAAATTAACTCTACACCAAAGCTCAGACTGTTTTGTCTCTTCTCATTCTCTCACTCTCTTTTTCTGTCCTTGTTATCTTTGCAGATCGGTGACTCTGTGACAAGACCTTGCGAAAGATGCATGTGTGTCCAAAATTTTGGCTTGATGTGCACACGGACATTCTGCAACCTTCAACCTAGTGACTGCGAACAGGTATTTGCGAGTTGGAACAGATCGATACAGACTTAACTAGATCCATCATGATTCTACAAATCATTTTAAGTTCCCGTAGTCATCTTTGTCAGTCATATTCAAAAACTTTTCACATGTAATGCAGACAAATTTAAAACAGTTAAACAATGAACATGAATAAATGGGAAAATATCGACCAAAATAAGAGGGAGATTTCCTATTCTCTTAGTTCCATTCACTATACATATATGCGGTGTCTGAACGGTTTTCATAGGCAGTGGTATGTATATAGCAGCGTCTTAACAATTCGTTAAAACATTGGTCACTTTCCTCGACATTAATTCAAATTAGGGCAGCTTTTTGCCACTTTATGCAATTTTTAACTCAGTTTTATTTTGTGTCACTAAAATCTCTAATTTTATAATCCAATCACAGCGAATTTCATTTAAATTCGAAATGCATAATCGGCAGTCTAGACCACGCTCACATATTAGTCATTCCATTTTAAAACAGCTTCTACTAAAGAAATACAAAAACAAAAAAACAATCCGCTCACTTTTTACCAATAAATTCTAATTTCGTGTATAGTATTTCTTTCGTTTCATGATGCACTATTTTTCTCAAACATATTCTTCTGTAAATGTTCATTTATTCATGATTTCATTTTATTCTTTGAAGGGTGAATCAGTGGTCAACACTGATGACGGATGCTGTGAGTGCCGCGAACTTACTACTACCCCGGGGACAACAACCCCAGGTAGGGCTATTTACTAGCACAACAGTGTAATGAGGTACCCGAGTACACTCCCAGGCTCACAGGCGAATACTCGAGTATTCGGAAGCCATGTTTTTTTATAATTTTTTTGAATTTTTTTGAATTTTTTTGAATTTTTTTGAATTTTTTTGATTTTTTTTGATTTTTTTGATTTTTGGATTTTTTTCCTTTTTTTTCTTTTTTTGCCACTACCATACCACTCGGCAGTTTCTCAGGTCCCTCGCGCAGCTCGCTGAAAACGCATGCAACTTTACTTTGAGTTGCAGTTGAAGGCACCGATTTAATAAGAATAATAACAGTAAACAATGCTGTTTTAAAAACCAAAGATGGCAGAATAATCATTGTCCTCCAAGTCCAAACAGAAATCTGGACATTTGGTCCCAGTTTCTGAAAGGTGAGTTTGACAGTGCTTGAGTTTGGAAACATTTTTACCGACGGTACCATGCCAGCGGATGCTGCTCTCCCTGGCACGGGTAAGCGTGGGCCTGGACATTTTTTTTTTTTTTTTTTTTTTTTTTTTTTTTTTTTGTTTGCGGCCGAATATTCGGGTACAAGAAATCGTACCAGAGTAGTTGTCAACCGTGCGGGTACTCGAGCATTCGACTACCCGTCGCAGCCTTACTATTTACGTACCAATCAGAGGACGCATCCTTATTATATTTGATAATGGAAATATGGATGTAATGTTATATTGATATGTAAAGCACGGCTACTATACAAATAATCTCTACTGGTATTTATCACATTAGCCCATTGATGGCTGGATTCTCTCACTGTGCTTACTGCGATAAGTCTAATACAGGGACCACCCGGTTCCCGTAGTCAAGTGGGTTATACATTGTATCGTGTTATTACCACGGGTGAAGCTGAGCCGTCATGACAAGTTGCAAAGTCACTCACGAAATTGCTTCCTGAATTTACTTCACCTGGTTGAAGAGTGGCAAATGTAGATTAATATCTTGAAAAGGACATTAGTGACCCACCAGTATCCACAACCATGTGACGTATCCACTGCAGTAGACCAATACACCAGGGGCCCGTTTCATAAAACTTGTTATCTATAACAACTGCTACATTTCTACAACACATTTGCCACATTTGCTCTCAGCCAATCAGATGCCATGATTTCAGTAGCTTATAACAGTAGCTTGTAACTTGTTATTGGTAACAAGTTTTACGAAACTGGGCCCTGTACCCTTACTACATGACCAAAGTAAGCCAAGATGTGTACTGACCGTTATTTACATCTTAACCATTCTACACCAATGTATGACAGCTACTCTGATGTTTCTGAGCAACACTAATAATATCGAGTATATCTTAGCACTCTTTCCACCACACAAGGTGCTCAAGGAACTCCAATCACGAAAATATGACACCGGTTTTAGGTAGTCTAACGTTCCGGTGGTATCATCATTCACTGAAATCCTTACATCGACACCCTTGGACACCAGGGTGAATAGTTGCAAATGTAGATTTATGTTTTGCAAAAGAGACTCATCGGGGTTTTGAACCCGTGACCTTCACATCTCCAGTCAAGTATTCAAACCTATGATAAAGACTTGAATATAGCAGAGCAAAATAAGTTGTAGTGAACAATGTGCTGCTAATTTTATGAATATCATGTAATTGCAGCTTGCCTGGCACCTAAGATTTACCGAGATAACTGCGACTGCCAGCGAACCTGTGAAGACATGATAACACCATGCACAACGCCTTCACCTGATGCGGAGTGCGATTTCGGTTGCTTCTGCCGAGAAGGGATGGTGATGGCTTCGGTGAACGACACGGAATGTGTTCTGGAAGAGGACTGCTTTCCAGTCTGTGAATTCAATAACCAAACATATCAGGTGAAAATTACTTTTTGTGGAATCTCTATCAATATTCAAGATTACTTGAAATATATCTTTGCAGGTGGATGGCTAAATTGTGACATTTTATAATTTAAGATGATACTTTAAAAATACAATTTCGATATCCTAAAACACAAATACAATGAATATACATATACATAGATATAAGCATACATACACATAAATATAATTATATGTACATATTGTTATATACATATATATATTTATATATATATAATAAAGGATAAAAATACAAATGTAAATGTAATCATAACCAATTTAAATTGTAAATATGTTTCCTGATTTGACAGAGTGGAGAGAAATACCAGGATGTGGACGATCCATGTACTGAGTATACATGCCTAGGAGAAGGTTTTGCAACTAGCAAGTACGAGTGCAGGCTGCCATGTGAGGTAACGAAGTCTCTTTCTTAAATGTGTGCGCGTGTAGAAGGGTGTGTGTGTGTGAGTGTGTTAGTGCTTTACGTGTGTTTGTTCTGGTTGTCTCCTTTTAAGTTATTTTTATAGTCATCAAAACTAGTTTGTTCTGCGATTTAGGGGCTTCATGCTGGCTTCCAATATTACTTCTAGAAAGAGAAATGTTTGAATACAATCGCATTTAACGAAAAGCGACTAATGAGTAGACAACTCAATGAGCTAAAATGAGACCCCTACGTAAAAGTTTTGAGGTTGATTTTATACGATTCACACTTTATTAATTTTTTTATCTTAATAGGTGATTGTTAAGCTTTTAGCAAATGGTGTAATTGTTAGCAGGACAGGAATGATAGTGAAGGTGGGATACACTAAAAAAAAAAAAAAAAAAAAAAAAAAACTGTTTTTCTGTCGGCATCAGGAGTTGTTCTTTAAACATAATAACTAATAAGAATATGGTAAATTAAAAAATGAAAATGAATAAAGAAGAATGACCTTGTTGTAATATTCTCTATCTAAGGCACTACCCCGGACATTTACCATCAGAGACAAATATCTACCCAGTAGTTGTCTTAGAATAATGATAAGGAGTCACTTTCTGGGGGGGGGGGGGTAGCATTTGTCCGGGGGGTTATTAGCCGAAAATAAGCCATATTTATGTAATGTATCTATGCAAATGTGTTAATTTATTACACATGTTCATATTGGAAGCCTCTAATTTAAACCAAAGCTGTCATTCAGTTTTTACTATCCTCCATCCGACTCCAATTTAAGACATTCAGACAAGATCTACTATCACGTGACTTGAGCATTAAACAAATTAAATTATTAAACACCAGCTGGCCTCGTACCTTCACAACAGTATCCACAAATAGGCAATTTTTAATGTTTTTGAAAAAGTGTAACGAATATTAAGCTTTAGCGTTATATAATTTCCAAATGCCTTCATGATATTCAGAGTTCTCAAGATTACATACAAACTGGGCTAGCAATGACCTTTCCAAAAAAAAAAAAATCGAAAGAGATAATGGTTGTAGCAGTAACTGAAACGACATAAGTGGGACTTTCACATTGTTCAAGTTTTAGAGTACAGGTTACTTCCAATTTTAATAGTATACATTTTTTCTATAAAACTTAATTTGTTGTCTAAATCGTAATGTCACTCTCAAAAGAATCCATTTTCTATAACATGTTACATACGTTTAGAATGGAGTTATATTTTGAATGTACATTTAATATATATTTTTCATTTAATATATACAGCCAAGCAACTTTCCTCCCGGCTGCTGTACTGGTTGTGGTAAGTCAAAGTCACAGGATAATAACTGTAGCGTCTAATAGAAATTCACTCAGTTAAAAAAGAAATTGCACTCTTTATTGTTCACACTTTTCATATAAACCCCCAATCTCATATTAATAATAAAATGTGTATTAAAATTAAAGAAAAAATCCTACCAACAATTGCACATTTTATTATCATACAGTGCGTCCCAGAAAAAACGTAACCGAGAATTATCGATGTTTTATCATAACTAAATCACAATTATAATTAATAAATGACACATATTTGTAAAGCTTGGATCCTCCTCTTTAATTTGATGCAACTCTTACGAGGCTTATGAATCTTATGATGATCAGCCATGCATCAAGTCTTTCGTCTTCTTTGTGCATAGCTGATCGTCTTTCGTCTTCTTTGCGCATTGCTGATCGTCAACGAAACGGAGTTAAGTCTTTTGTCAACTCCGTTTGTTGCTACGGCAGGCAGCCAGTGAGAACGAACTCGTTTAATCAAATTATGGAAATGAAAGCGTTACTTTAAACAAACATAAATTTGTTATTCCTGGTTCATTTTTTCCTAATTGAGGTGTCATAAGAAAGGGCAGAAATTGAACTTTCTGGAAATGTGATTTTCTCTTTGAAATTCAGATACCGCTCGCCAAATGACTTTTTGGTTTCCTCTCTTCAAATTGAGTAACTTATGCATGAAATATGCATCATATGAGTTGCATTAAATGAAAAAAGAGGATTTTAGCTTTACAAATATGTGTCATTTATTAATTATGATTGTGATTAAGTTATGATAAAACATCGGGACGCACTGTTTACCGCACGAGATCGCAGGCTTGCCACGAGAGCGGATGAGCACAAATAAGTCAATTTACAGAAGATTCGCGCTGACAATTCCATATGCTTCTTTATATTATAATGTCCCATTTCAGGTATTGATGGACCATAAGACAACCATGGTCTCCAGTAGATTTATAATAGAAACATAAAAATTAAGTAAAGGCCGTTCGTAAAAAAAAAAAAAAAAAAAAAAAAGAAGAAAGAATAGTACCACTTTTGAGTGTGGCGCATGTAAATTATTTAGATAGCACTTAACGAGATAATTTTTGTGTTGGGAAACGAAAGTTTATCCATATTATCCTATTCTGCTCTTTTCTGTTCTAGTTACCACACCTAAAGGATTTGAGGAAAAGGGTAAGTCAACATTCGAAATCATGACGAAAGAGGATGTCCACCCTGATATTCAATAACAGCGTAAAAAATAGAAAAAAAAACACAGTTGGTATTGTTTAAGCAACATCTGATTGAAAATATGACAGTTGTTATCACTGAAACAAACATTGTCAACACTGGGACGTATCTTTCGAAGTCCGCTTCCATTTGCGCGGTAAAAAATTCAATATAAATCAATTTTCCTACAGTAGTTATCAATGAGGAAATAGATTCGTTTCCTGCAATGATTATATCCAGGGTGTGTTTGAGTAAAAACTGAAAAGAAAAAGAAAACTAATTTTCTGTTTTTACTATAAAGTAAATTGGAGGCGACCTCGCGGCAATATACATATCCTTCTAGATCAAAGAGTTGTCATTTTGTGTTTGATCGATTACATCTTCAAACTTCAACATTGATTATTTTGTAATCTAATGAGTCATTTTTAATATGCCAACACGTGGAATCAATATTTATACCTTATTTTCATTTGTTTTTCTTTATCAATATTCGTAGCCTGTGTATACCTCGGCACAAAGTATCCGGTGAGTTGAATATTTTCGTTTGAATTTATAATACTTTGTTGTGTGTGGGGGGGGGGGGCGAAACAAAAAGAAGGGTTAGTGATCGAGACATTAAAAAAGGAGCTCTATAATAAGTTAACACGGCACAATTTATTTTTCACTTCTGTGACATCTCCCATATTTCAAGTATGTGATGCAGTTTTGTTTAATGTGAGTTCCAGATCAAAGTGATAACATTTTTCCAATGTATGAAATTCTGTGAAAATAGATGACGAAATCAAGTTTAACGGGCTACATATTTGCATACAACATCACTACTTATCATATCAATTAATACGCTTAAATCGATTTGAGAAATTGTATTTAAACTGATTATTTTTCAGGTGGGTACTGTTATCCGGCTGGAAATGGCGATACCATGCATGGTCCTGCTGTGTCAAGATGATGGCGTTCTTATATTCAAACCTGAGGAATATAACTGTTCCGTGGGATGTGAGGTATTTTATTTTTCCTTATTCCCCCTTTAAGTAGAGTACACATATTTTACAAAGAGCTTAAAGGTGTTTTATCTGGGACTTTGGTAATCTTTGCCTTGCTTTTTTTCTCATTCGGTAATAACATACACAAAATAAGCTGTAAAGGGTACATGAGCATTTGTCTACATCAATAACCCACTTCTTGTAATAGCCAAAATTAAACTGATTGAATCTTTGCGCAACATAAAACGTACGACCATTCGGTACAATGGTCTTAAAATCAGACTATTAATTACTGGCTCTATAGCTCTTAAGTCGATTATCTTCCCACTTTATCTTCCCACTTTTAAAGACATTTTCAACCCCACCTTTTTTAGGGAAGTTCTAAATTAGTGTTATCTTTCAAATGCCGTTGGAATTTAACCATTTCATTTTTTGGGGCTGCAGATTGGACATAGTACGTTTAACCTTACCTAAAACACAATTTCAACTCAGACCTAAACCTGGTTGCTGTAGTTTCTGGGAATATAGTGTTGTTCATATGATGGTAATCATTAATATCGACGCACTCTTTTTTATGTTTTTTGGTAATATCATTATTAACAATAAATACATTTATTGTAGCTACTTTGGGACCTAAAAGAAGAACTGATCAACTTTGTTTGTTGATCTGAAGCGGGTGATCACTCGATCTTTATTTTAATTCAAATATTTTATAGATTTAGAATTAATAATAATAATAATAATACTTATTTTTGTATATAGCGCTTAACACAAATGTCTTTAGGCGCTTTACAAATATATTATTATAGTCCATGTAAAATATTTCAGTGTTTTGTCTCTTTATGTGTTATGATGTTTGTATGTCATATTTTATGATTGTAAATAAAACCTAATACAAACTATTATCTACGACGAAAAAAGAATCCCGGAGCTCATTGTTGCTGGAGCAAAATTTAGATAGTTCATGAATGACAGTCAATAACATACATTGCGAAGCGACTGTGTCAATAGAGTTTGTGCCTCGTATTAACCATACATCTGTCAACCCTAAACAGTATGATGTATCGTGTGTGTAAGTGGGTAATAAACGCTGTTGCCCAATAAATTGGATTTTTTGTTTTCTTCTTCATCCCTCTTTTCATGAAGTGATAGTGACGATACAGTGTAACATTACTCGGTTTTCTTGCAATAGAGTTTATATTTGCTGAATACAGTACCCTGTAATAAAAAGAAAAGAGAATGATTAAATTAATATTTCAATAGGATTTCTTCTTAATGTATACCGTTTATTGATCAATCCCTACGGCTTTTCAGATCTGATAACAAATATAAATATTAGCTTTCAAGAAAGAAAAATCATATTCTGACAATCACTTGGTGAATACAGGTACAAGGGTTATGCCCAACTTTATTGGAACAGTGTAGTTCCGAGCTGTGCTAGATGTTCAAATGTTGTATAACCTTCTTAACTTCTCTCTCTAGGCTGGTGTTGACTACCCAAGCGACTGCTGCGACGAGTGCAGTGAGTATTTCCTATGCTCGAAATAATATAATAATGATAGTGATGATGGTATTGAAAATATTATTGAACAAGGATATAAAGAGAGTGATAATAGTGATGGTGATGATGATCATCATCATGATGACACCAACAAATAGCAATTGTGATAATAATACAAGATATAATTATAACGAATATTGATATATCTGTAAAAAATATATATACAGTTAACAACTAAATTATTCAAACCCCTTGTACATGTTCTTTCTGCGAAACTAAAGAATGAAAGGCGTACTGGTTGAATTAGTGCCTTTGTCGAATACTTTTAGATTTAAGCTTTACTATGTCACATTCTCAAGAAATATAAGTCAGGACAAATCAATTTTATACATACTTCAAAAGCTACAAAACTTGGTAGGGGTATGAATAATTTATTCGTGAACGGTATATAAATATATATAAATATTTCCACTATGTCAGTAGTGTGATCTCTGTATTTAGGTCACTTCAAAACGTATCATTATAACAGTTGATAAAGTAATGCAATTTGTGTGGGAAGGCAATGATTTAAAATAAAAGTATTAATTGTCTGCCAGTCTTTAAGAGGTTTGGTTAAATGTTACTATATTATTACCTTTTTTAAAGGCACACTGTCCTACTTGTAGCTACTTGCTCCCTCTATGTAGAAAACTTCCCCAATCGGTGCCTGTTGGTCCCCCATGATCCTCTTTTTCTTATGTTAAATGAGAGCTGAGTTAATGAGATAGCCACCTGTCACAGTGACCTCGCTGGCTCGCTGGGTGGTCTAATCCCTTCTAGCTGAAGTAGTAAAACATGCCTTCAATTCCAAAGTCGGAATTTTAACCCATTGGAAAATTAGATAACTTCTCGTCAGATGGACTAGTGCAACGGGACACAAATCCTGATCCGAGCTCCGCAGAAAAATAAACGGCTAGAGTGGAAAGTTTATAATAAAATCAGATTCTGGAGGCATAACATTTTGTCATATTGTTCAACTACTCGCTAATCGAATCCACTTTAAATGTATTATATTAAACAGAAACGGTGGAAACAACTGCTTCTCCTACAACAACAGGTGAGTTCAAGCTATTATACAAATGTTATAGGTACAATTATACACTTGTATAAGGGACCTGATTTATATTTTAGAAAATAACTAAGCTCTTCGCGAGTGATTTCAGTGTTTCACAATTGATATTTTAATGCACGCCTTTGACGAGTGTGCACTCTGCACCACGTTTCCATAGGCAAGAACTAGATGGCCATTATTTCATTGTTACATCATACCACTTGGGCATAGGTATCATGAATCTTTCCCTTGGAAAATGGCTAATCTCGAATCGAAAAAAATTGTTATTTAGTGTAACTGAGACATGCTCGTTTATATAATCCATCATTGTGTCCCTAAGAAAAAAAAACCTTCATTTCATCTAATGAAAACTGCTAGAATGTGGGAATGGATCACTTAAAATTGAAAGATTTAGACGTTCGTTATTATTATTGAGGATGTTAATGAAATAACTCCAATAATAGCTTGCAATATTATGACTTATTGTGATATTTGTTTATATCGAATCAACTTTGGGACTTTAGGTCAGATTACACGTATGATGTGTCATATTCGACCATAACAATAAAGAAAGTAAATACCTTTCCATAGCCCTGTGGTTTAGTGTTCACAGTCATCTTTCAGCATATCCATCCATAGGTCTTAAGTAGAGCTTTCAAAGATTGCTGGTGCGTGCTTAATAGGCCATCCAAATGTTCCGTAAATGGCAACCGCAGTCGAAATTCGAGGGCCATCAATCTGTTTCACATTTCCATTGTTTCATATTTGATTGAAAGGTAAAAAGTTGTCTTCTCGGACAAAATATACATAAACCATTTAATCACAAGAACGAATTTCTATTTTTTCTTCTTTTTAGACATTTGGCAATCCATGAGATCGATAGAAACTAGCTTGAATATGAACCAATAGGGAAATTAAAACTTTGAGGTTACGATTGCTATTGAAGAAGCAGTGTTTTTCTAGCCCGATAAGACAACAAAACGCAGTCACATTTTAAAATATCAAAATAAAACAATGAATTTGATGAGAAGAAACCTTCTCATGTTTTCTTAGTTGACCTTATATGAGTTCAACGTGCCCTTAATATACAATTTTCAAACAAAGGCGCGAGCGAAAAATGAGTGCCAACTCGCTTTAACATCCATTACCGCGATATTCAATTTTGACAAACACATTTTTATTATAGAATGTCTATGCGGTAATATGAGTGATAAAATATAACCTAGGTAAAAGCTAAACTGTTTGCATGATCGAATGTCAAATTAAAACCACGCCCTTTTCTTTCTCATTCACCACTAGAAACAACTAACCGAGGTGACACGGGTAAGTTTTAGTATTTTTTAATCTTTGAAACTATTTGTTTCGGCTTGCTATACATTCAAAGGAGTCTGAAACAAAATGAGCCGGAAAATAGTTTTAGCTGTTTTTTTTCAAGATTAATTGTTAGAAGTTATGTTCTCCTCTAGAATTGATACAGAACGCTCAGTACATTTGTTTTCCATCAATTACTCCAAGGAAAATGCTAATGATATCGTAGGAATTGAAGTAATATTTTCTTAATTGGATGACGACCCCATCGGGAAATATAATACGTCATGATATGAACGACTTTGGTGCATCAACAGGGACGACAGTCTGGGACAAACAATCAAATGGTTGTACTACAAATTGTCATACATGGAACTTCAGGATCTTACGCCGTCACAAAGTCTAGAGGGATCAATTGTCATATTCAAAATCCTTGCTCAAACATGTCAAGCGCGTGTTTCAATTTGCAATTGATTTGTTGTATTCCTATTCCTTTGGTATCATAGATACGACAACTGCACGCACAAGGCGTCCACCCGTGCCTACCACCGCGTCTACAACGTCTGGTAGGATTCGAGATGTTGGTGTTAACAATATCTTTTAACATTTTACATGATTTATTGGTTCATGGTGTTGCAATCACCTGGATTTTGTATGGAGCAAAAGTGTGATAAATCAACCTAGGAGCTTAGGTCATATTACACATATAATGTTCCATATACGACTATAGAAAATATCTGATTTTATTATAAACTTTCCACTCTAGACGTTTATTCTTCGGCGGAGCTCAGATCAGGCTTTTTATTTTCCCCTTTGTACTTACTATTAACTGTATGTCACGTTTTAATAGTAACACCATGTAATTCTTTTTTTTAAAAATAGTCGTAAATGGTATGATGAGCTCCGCTAAGATCTATTGATTATTCGGATGATATTTATTTTTTAACCTTTTTTAGAGGATGATTTTACACATTTTAGCTGTATGTAAATCATTGATCATTTTTTAAGCTGATTGTTCACTTGTTATCTCCGCCCTATGGTTAATTTAAATGAATGCGACTCCGTCTAAAGTAGAAATTCACATCATTTCATTTTCAAATTGTTTCACAAAATTGTGAGGAACTTTGACAATGCTTTACGTGAATTCGCAAATTTGGGGAGGAGAGGGGGGGGGGGGCAGGGGACTTTTAGTTGTTTTGAGACGGGTGTTAGTTTCTTGATTAGATGTTCCATATACGGTTGCAAAATCAAGAATTATTCTGATTATTGATTGTATTTATTATTTCATGTAGAAGGCACTACCACCACTACTTCTACGACAAGGCCCGCCACCACCGCAGGTAAGACTACGTTGATGTTTTTCTACACTACAATGATTCTTTATATTACGAGTTTCGCGAGTTCCTTGTTTCATTCTTCCGGACACGTAACGTTCATATAAATAATAATAATAATAACAGGCTTTTGCATAACGCCGTCTTTCTAGACAATGCTATTCCGAGGCGCACAAGAAAAATAGAAAGAATGAGAAAGTTTTTGAAGGATAGGAGAGAGGAATTTTATTCGCAAATCATTATCTGATTGTGCAAATGCAAATAACTAAGTAATTGACCTTTTTTCTTCTCTTCCGCAGCTCCTACAACTACAGTCACCGGGGAAGGTAATTCCGATTCCGTTTTCCCATGCAGTTGAAATGGTTTCACGTTTGATTTTATCATGCCTACCGTAAATATCTGAATTATTCACGTATTACAATACAACTGCTCTCAAAGAATGTAATGTAAAAGATGTATTGGTTTTACGAGAGACAAATCCGTGAAGACCGCGAGCGATCTCCTTCGCTGAGACTTGCAGTTCAGGGGCGTAATAACGGCAAGAACAAAGGTAGGTTCACATTTAATTGTTTAACTAATATATTATATACGTGTATGAAAGAAGAAACTTCAGTCATTTTTGTATGCTCGAAGCCGCGTATATTTAGGTCACTTCTGTGCTGACAGAAATGGTTCGTGTTCAGGCTCTCGTGTTATAAGCTGGCATTGCTGTCTTTAGCTTCCTCATGTATGGTTCAATTTCGGCGTCAAGACGAAAAGAGTATAATAAGTCTGTGTGTTCGTTGCTATTCTTCGTATTTTTTAGTACCAATCATCTCTTTTATAGAGAAGAACTTTTTCATGTAACAGAATACCTTCAATAAATTATGTCGGGGAACTTGCTGTCATTGTTTGAAAAATCTAGTTACTCTTTTGGCGTTTGTGGAGCTGCAAAAGTGTAACGCTAAAGTGTAATGGCCGGGAGCGGTTAATTTTTCATAACTAAACGAGGCAGAAAAAGAAGAAGATTGGCATCACAAATATTTATGATTGAGTGGACGGAAAACGTAGATGAAGGCTTATGTTCCTTAAAAATTATGAAAAGACGCAAAAAGCGTATAAACATGTTGGAGACAGTCATTCCACCTTTTGTGCTTTGACTCAATACATGCATACGTAGAAAGGGTGTTTGATGCCGGGAATTGTGCGTAGGAAGAAAGGTTATAAAACTTTAAATTGGCAACAAATTGAGAGGCTCAAAATCATCGTTTTTCTATCAAATTTGGCCACATGCTGTTTTCAGAGACGTAGCATAATTACCTCTGTGTATTGTTTTCAGTTACATCTTATTTTAATGTAACATTAAAAGAAAATATTGTTGCCAAATTGTAGAACAACATGACCAACTTAGCCCTTAAAATATCCCTGTCCTTACAGGATTAAAGGTGTTTATAGGTATCTCATCTACACATTCACCCCACCCCTCGCATTCTTTCACTTACATCCCTTATAGTTCCATTATTCTATGAATCTAAATCAACGAATAAGAGTATTCGAAACTGCTGTATCACCAGTGCCAGATGAGAACACAAATATCTTCAGCAATTTTTTTCCTTGAAAAAAGCGTTCATCTATATTCTGGTCATTTTAGTATTTTCAAATTTCACACTCTTTAAGCACTGATAGCGTTACTATTAGCAAATAACAAATTAGAATTCACTTTTAGATTTAATATCCCTACTGCATTTCTATGCCAAATGTATTTGTGATGATTATCAAACATATTCGGGTATATTTCGATTAACAACCTGTTATGTGTGATATTATGTGGATATAGGCCTACCAAAATTTGTCAACCGGCACGCAATATAGACTAGTAAAGAAAATTAGATATAGTCTTTAATAATAATAGTACATTTATAAAGCGCAGAAACTATCCAACATTAGGTATATATTCTACTGCGCTACAAGAGCTCCTGATATGCTTAGATTTACGGTACAGTTAATTAAAAAGAAGTGTTTTCAGTTTTGACTTAAAGACGTTTACAGATGGTGATTTCCTGACTTCAAATGGCAAGTTATTCCAGAGTTTTGGGGCTGCACAAGCAAATGCTCGATCACCTAGCGTTATTTTTGTTTTGATAGATGGGATCTGTAGCAACAAAGTATCTCGGGAACTGCGCAAGTTGCGATTGTGTTGATTAGGTTTGAAATTCAACAGTTCTTTGATATAAGTGGGAGCTTGACCAAGAAGTGCTTTATATACAATCAGCAAGATTTTGAATGTTATTCTCTGGCGTACTGGTAACCAATGTAGATTTCTCAAAATTGGGGTGATCCGTGTGAATTTAGAACAACCACAGATCAGCCTTGCACAGGTGTTTTGAACCCGTTGCAATCTCACTATTTGAGAGTCAGGGATCCCATACAGTAGACCATTACAATAGTCCAGCTTATTGGTAATACATGCATGTACAATGTCTTTCGTAATGTCCTTATCTAAATATTTACGAATACGTCTGAGATTATAGATCATGTAGTATGCTGATTTACAGACATTTGTGATGTGCTCTCTCATATTCAAATTCGAATCGAACTGTACTCCAAGATTTCTTGCACTAACAGATGGTTCTATTACAGAGTCTCCAATTGATACACTGTTCAAGTTGATTTTGGATGTCTGTTTAGGTGTGCCAATGATCATTAATTCAGTTTTACCATCATTAAGCATGAGCCTATTTTGCAACATCCATCCACGTACATAGTCAACACATGTTTCTAGGAGTGAGACACATCGCTCTTTAGCATGTTCATCAGGTCTGAATGATACGTACAGCTGTGTGTCATCTGCATAGCAGTGGCATGATATCTCGGGGAAATTTGTTCGAACATTTGAAATGAGATTAGCAGTGTACAGAGTAAATAACAAAGGACCCAGCCGAGAACCTTGTGGAACTCCGAAAGGCACTGGCAAATCATCAGAGATCACATCGTCTATTTTGACCTTCTGATATCTATTCGCCAAATACGACTCTATCCATTCAAGAACACTACCATCTATACCAAAACAGGTCTTTAAAGTTTCTAATAAGCAAGAATGATCTATGGTGTCGAATGCACTACTTAGATCTAATAACAGTAAAAGAGAGACTTTCTGGGAATCCATAGCCATCAATAAATCACTCTTTATTCTTAGCAGTGCGGTTTCAGTACTATGGAATTGTCTATATGCAGACTGAGTACATGGCAAAAGTGAGTTGTTATTGAGGTGATCCATAATTTGCTGGGTAGCAGCACCCTCAACCAACTTCGATATATATTTCAGATTGCTGATAGGTCTTAAGTTCTTAAAATCTGCGTCAAGACCAGGTTTTTTCAATAAAGGTGTGATGAGGGCATTTTTCCATTGCATGGGAAAATGACCAGTCGAGAGAGAAAGATTAATCAATGATGTGAACACAGGAATTAATATGTCGATACATTGTAGAAGAAGTTTCGTGGGCATAGGATCTAAAGAGCATGACTTCTTACTGAGGTTAAGTATAAGTTTTTCAACTTGGTGCTCAGAAAGAGGTTTGAAATTGCTCAAAACATCGACATCATGGTAAGTTGCTAATGGAGAATAGGTCCTGGGTTCATTCATTGCATCTAATCTAGTTTCAATATTCTTGTGGATTTTAACGACTTTGTCACGAAAATAATCACCTAGGTCATTCACAAACTTATGTTTATCAGTACTACAAGGTATCAGGGGTTGTTTATTAGACATGTTCAATAGAGACTTGACAACATTGAATAACTTGTTTTGATTATCCTTATTTTCCATGATCAGATCTCTGTGATATTTTCCACGAGCTTTGTTCAAAAGTTTCAATGTTGCATTTCGAACAGACTTATAGTTGTCCCAATCACTATCGGCCCTGGTTTTCAACCAGCGCTTTTCAGCCTTTCTCTTTTTCCTTTTTTCTGTCCTGACACAGTCAGTATACCACGGTACTTGGGGACGTAACACTATCTGTTTAGTAACAACAGGGGCATGTTTCTCTAAGATATCACTAAGCGTAGTATCATACAACAAAGCTAGTTCAGTGAGGGTACTAGGTGTGTGCATACAGAGCTCGCTTTCAGCGATGTCTAACTTCAATCTATTCACATCAATAGCAGACAGCTTTCGAAATGATATCAGTTTAGAAGGCAATGGAGGTTTAGAAGAGTTTAGTAGATATAGAAAACATGAAATTAGTAGAGTTAGGAGAGAAGAAAATCCAAACCTTAGCCTAGAATTATCGTGCTTTCATCGTGATGAAGAAGACAGCGATATCATAGTTCGTGAATATGAGATGAGGTGCGGTCTTTAGAAATAACAGAATTACCATATATCATCATGTATGAGCTTATTGGTTATCTCCCATGTTAATAAAATACTGTCGAAATTCTTTCGAACGGATCAGCATATTGTAAAGCATAGGCCTATGGGCCTTCTGAAACGAAACGTTTGGGAGATTTACCATAAAATATACATGTACATTTACCGTATTTGCAAGTACTCGAACAATTTGAAGTCTTACAGCACCAACATTTACTCCAGTAGTGACCCTTCTGATCTTGGGTTTTTGGCGCCAATCAAGTATTATGTTGACGGAACATTGCCAATTCCTATTTTCTTTTGTCGACAGTTTGTCCTGACCTATGTCACGTGACGTACACGTGTGAGGATCAGTGGAAGAGCGATGGTGATATGCCTTGGACAGTCCCATTTGATTGCAATTCTCTCTTTTCGCCGGCTTTCAATCCACAATGCCGATGCAACCAGGGTTATGTGAAGGACAACAGCAACTATGTTGGCGCCAGGCAGCAGGAGCTTGGTCAATACTTTAACTCGGATGTGTGTGTTAAGCCGCTTGAAGGGAGATGTGTATTCTGTGAACACAATTCCATCCCTTATACTGTGAGTTGTATAACAAACTGTTTTCTCCTCCCTTATTTGTCTGATATGTCTCCATCTTTTCTGTTACGATTCAACATTTTGTAGGATTAGATTAGACCAAGGAACTTGGTTTTCGAAACCTCCAGAGAGACCTATTATAATTATCATTCATATTCTAGAACAATTTTCTAATGTATTCAAAGTCTACAAATTGATAGCAATATCAAGTTTGAACGTCATTGTATTATGTTCGTTTTATTCATTCCTTACCAGCCGGAGGGATACTACAGGGAGAATTGTGAGAAATGCATATGCACGAAGAATATCTCTAGCAGTGAATACTACTTCGAATGTATACCTAGTGAAGACCCTAACTGCTCTATAAAAACAACGGTTCCTACAGAAACATCAAGTCATCACTCAAGTCCAACACCAAGTACCACCCCGTCTAGTGAGTCTCTCCCGACATATACTGTGTTTTGCTTGTAACAGGGGAATGACAATCTTGATCCCTAAAATAATTTGTACCAATGAAATTACTCACATTGCCGTCCTTTCGGGTAGTTTGTACCAGATATACATAAACAGATGCAGAAATATAAAGTTCTGTTCACTGGCATTTATTTAGACAAGGCGGCTTTTAATTTTGCATGTCTCTGAGAACGTGGTCCTGACTATTAAACTACAGCCATTAAGCATCATTAATAAGAAGTAATAGTCATTAAAAATCATTTCTTAAAATGTTGTCGTGATAGCATACATGGAGTCATCATAATGTTAGGATTAGAACTATATACTACTAGAAAATCGTTATATCGTGGTGCCGATTCGTTTTGCTGTTTGTCGTGTTAGGTGTAAAGAGCCCATTCAAACATTCCAAAATCAGACTCCTTTAGTTTATAAGAGAAATGTATGGAATGTCTACGCCTCCTTTATTTTAAATTATATCGGCCGATAAGTATTCTGCATCGATTTTCTCAAATTAGGGGCATTCCAACAACGTTATCCAATATCTTTTCAAAATTAGCTTTAGGTACGGATTTAAGACCCTACATCCTTTTTTCCAAATATATCATTTGCCCTAATATTCACATGCATGTCTTGTAAATATACATTTTCTCTTCGTAATCTATTTATATTGCAATGCGAAATCACTCTTTGTATGCAAGTTTATTGCATAATAAAACATTTAAGTTCATGCATGGATTATGTGAATGCAACTTGTAGTTCAGTTTAAGAATTTTGCCTCATTATTTTCTTGCCAGATTATCTTTGAAATTGTCATTAACATCACATTGTTTGTAATACGTTGTGCATATGTGTTACCCTCCAAGCAATATTCCCTTTTCAACCATTTATCATGCTTATCAAGAATGCATACTTGAATTTTGTAAACATCCATTTTTATACGTGTTTAGTAACCTGGTTGTTTTCATAGCCTCTTGATTACTTTTAATCAAAACCGTTATCCTTTTATACACATTGAAAATGTATGGCGGTTTTTATCCTGAATTTCCTTTTATATTTCAAGATATAGTTCAATCATTGGGGGGGGGGGGCATTAAACAAAAATATATATAAATAATCTATAATTGGCACGATCGCTCCTTGCCACAGTTGCAGACCGGCATAAAAAGGGCACCACATGATGGAAGGATTGCTGTGGATTTCATTTATATGAATTCATTTATAATCAATCCTTTTCCATTAAGATCATTATCATGTTTCATAATTATGTAGGCTTCCTGTCAAGATAATCATCACCATCATTATCATTTTAGATGTAGAGGCTTTCGTGCTATATTTCATGAACCTAGAAATCATATCAACCTTTCCTATTATGAAAATCATTCTGTTTCTTTGTTCTGAAATAAAAATATAAACATGATGATCCATCTTTTATCACTTTTCTTCTTGTCATTATTCTTGTTATCTCTTTTTTTTCCTTCATTATCACAGTCCATTTGTACTTTCATTATCATGCACGCAATTTCATGTATTTGTATGGTGTTTCAGGTATGTCGAAATTTGTATCATGGCGTTTTATTCATAATTATCCATCATTATTCTATTCGGTTTAATTTTTGCCAAGTTCGCAATAGTCGGTTCCGTTTAACATTGCACAATCCCTTTTACTCATTTCATTCCTTAAAAATAACAAAATAATATTCTTGTTTGTCTTTGTTTCAAAATGAAAATACGGATTTGACGATCCTCATTTCATCATTTTTCTTCTTGACATTTTTCGGATCAGTGTTTTTTCCTTCTCCACTATGCATTCGCACGTTCATCATCATTCTTCCAACTTTATGTTTTTGTATCGTGTTTCATGTAGGCTGTGTCACTTTTTATGTCATGAGGTTTCATACATTGTCATCAATAATCTATCTATTTATTTCAAGTATAGGCCAAGAACCTGTCGCGAAATAGGCAGCTCATTCTACCCATATGATTTTAACCCTCAAAGTTACTTAAACCATCTTATACTCATCGTCAATAATTAAATTGTCAGCCTGACCATAACCCTTGGGTTATTCCCCCCCCCCCCTTGATCCCTCTCCCCCTGCTCCCCTCCTCACACAAAAGACCTCTCGGTCGGTCTATTTCAACCTATGTACCCCATACACCAAATGTTGCCAGTAGTATGACTGGATATTGCATAACACAAACAACCTGACAAAAATGTCCAATTAACAGTTCTCTTAATACCAGAGATACATTAAAACAGAAAGTGATGTTATCCCGCTGTTTTGAGGTTATACGAGAGGCACTGCAAAGAAGTTTTGTGTGCTCTACTAATTTCCACATCCTGAAACACAAATGTTCCCCTTGCTTTCTGAAACCTGGAGGACGTGCTCGATTTTAATACACCATTGTGTCCCCATGAAAAAACAATCTTCATTTCATTTCATTTAATGACAAAGCGTTTGAGACGTATCGAATATCACAAGCATAACGGAATGCTCCACTAGAATTTAAAAGATCTGGACGCTCGGTTATTGATAATGAGGATTTTCATTAAACAATTCCGATTTTGCCTGCAAGATTAAGACTTATTATGATTCTTTGTTCAAGAATTCATTATTTCATATAGAACCTACCACACGGTACAGACCACAGTCACTCCACATGTTTTAAGGCTTTTCATTTTCCACTTTGTACTTACTAAATTCGAGGTCAAGTTTGCAGGGTTACACCATGTAATACTTTAAAAGGAATAATAGTCGGAAATTGGTTATCGATGTTCGATGTGCTCTGATCATTGCATGGCGTTTCATGTCATTTAGTTAATACCATTTTAGAAGGTTGATTTTACACATTTCAGCTGTATGTACATCATTTTTAAAGGTAATTTTACACTTGAGATCTTGGCCCTATCGTTGAATTAAATGAAAGTGACTCCATGAAAATGTGATATTCATATCATTTCATAATTCAAGGTCAGACGAATCACAATCCATGAGGACTTTTGACAATTCTCTACTTTTATTCGGAATATTCGGGGGTCGGTTGTTTCGAGACAGTTGTTACTTTTTTAATTAAATGTTCCATATGAGGTTGCAAAATCAAGAAAGATTATGATAATTAATTTTGCTCATAATTATATTTATTGTTACATGTAGAAGGCACGACTACTAGTGCAGCGCCCCCCACAACCGCAGGTAAGACTACGTTGTTGTTCTCATGTGTGCACGCCTTTCCTCGATACATCGCTTCTGTAAAGGCCCGGTCACACAGGGAGGACGCATGGGGAACGCACGGCCAGCGCATTGGAAATTTGCAATTTTGGCCAGTGCGTTGTCGTTCGCTAGGCGTGCGTCATCATTCGTTACTCGTTCGTCGAGCGCGCTGGACCAACGCTGGACCAGCGCTATGCATGCGTCGTCATTCGCTGTGTGCGTCGGGATTTTTTGAGCATGCTCAAAACGTGCGCCGAGCTCGACGCATGAATATACACGCCAAAGGCACGCTAGACATGCGCCGGAGCGCGCTAGACCAGCGCCAGACATGCGTGGAGCGCGCTAGACCAGCGCCAGACAAACGCGGAGCACACGCCCTGTATACGCACAGCGCGCTAGCTACACGCCGTGCATTTTGTGTCAGCTCGCTAGCTTTTCCAAAATTATGACAAAAGTTAGGCACACGTTCTTTTCCGATTTCCAATGCGCTGGCCGTGCGTCGTAGAACGCGGTGCATGCGTGGACCATTCGTCCAGCGCGCTAGCAACACGCTGTGCATTCGTGGAAGTTGTTTTCATGTGCGCTCTGTGTGCGCCCTGTGTGCGCCCTGTATACGCCATGTATGCGTCCAGCGCGCTATGCATTTGGTGTCAGCTAGCTGTATAGCTTCGACAAAAGTTGGGCGCACGACAACGCACTGGCCAAAATTGCAAATTTTCCATGCGCCGGCCGTGCGTCCCCCATGCGTCCCCTCTGTGTGACCGGCCTTAAACGAGTTTTGCATAACTTTCCTTTAGTGTAACAGCGTGACCGCACAAACAACACAGACATCCCAAAACTTAACGTATTACTTGATTTGTAGGGAGTGAGAAATTCACCAGGATCGCAATCTGTGCACAGTCGTATACTCTTAGCAGAACCAAAAAGTTTTAAGAGATGGAGTCCCATCTAGCTCATTCCCTTTGTACTACCTTCAATGCCGCCAGGAGAAAATCTGTCAGGCATGTGCTTATTAACTTGATCTTCATGCAGACGCGTATAAACAAATCAAAAATCCTGTCTAGCTGCAAACTATAAACGGGCCACATTTAAAGGAAAATATGCTTGTGTAATGGCAATTACTTTTCGCTACCACTCGTCTGATAATACAAGCATTATTAGCATCATTAGTCATTTGGCGGGCGGTATCTGAATTTCAAGGAGAAAATCACATTTCTAGAAAGTTCAAGTTCTTCTCGTTCATATGACACCTCAATCAGGCAAAATAAGCCAGGAATAAAAAAGTTCTGTTTCTTTAAATTAATGCTTGCATTTCCATAATTTGATCAAACGAGTTCGTTTTCACTGGCTGCCTGTCGTAGCAAATAACAGAGTTGACAAAAGACTTAACTCCGTTGACGATCAGCCATGCACAAAGAAGACGAAAGACCTGATGCATGGCTGATCTTCAACGAAATGGAGTTAAGTCTTTTGACAAAGCCCCACAAAATGATCATAAAGTGCATCAAAAAAAGTAGAGATCTTTGAGTGACTGGTTTTACCATACTCATTTTCCCCACTATAACGTAGTGTAATAAAAACCGTTGAGAAAACGGTTTTTGAAATTTCGAATTCCAATCATAAATATCTTGATAATCAGGCATGCGATCGGCTTTTAAACGTCATTGGATTCCTGACTGACCTAAAGGTTTATATAAATTATGATTGCAACATGAGCTAAATCCAGGATTTTGTTTAGCATCTGAGACAAAGATGCCCAATCCCTTAAATGTCCATGAGTCGGTCCGTTTGTAATAGGTATGGAGTCGGTTGGGCGTTGTGACTGCTGAGGTATTAGTCTCACCGACAAACCGACTGACTGTTGATCATTGAGGGTAACGTAATTGTTTGGTTGTCTGTTGTCGGTCTGATTTCGGTCTCATAGACTTGACGGGGGGTATAAGGCACTTGAATTTAAACCAAAACATTAATACCCTATCCTGTGAACGTGGAATTTAGAGTTTTTCAAAAAAAAACTTTTGTTCTCATAACCTTGGATCCTCCGTTTAATCAATGTCTCCCATTGTCGTTTGTTGTTTTCCTTCTGCCATTTTCCGGACACGTAACGTTCATATTGAAGGAAAGAGAGAGAGGAATTGTATTCGTAAATCATTGCCTGATTTGCAAATGCAAATAACTAAGTAATTAGCCATTTTCTCTCTTTCGCAGCTCCTACAACTACAGTCACCGGGGAAGGTAATTCTGATTGCGTTTTCCCAGTTGAAATGGTTTCACGTTTAAATGTATCATGCCCACCGTAAATATCTGAAGTATTCACGTATTACAATACAACTGTTCTCAAAGAATGTTATTTAAAAAGTGTACTGGTATTACGAGAGACCAAACGGTACAACGTTTTCCGTAAAGAACGCGAGCGATCTCCTTCGCTGTAAACAGTGACTTGCAGTTCTGGGGCGTAATAACGGCAAGAATAAAGGTAGGTTCACATTTAATTGTTTAACTTATATATTATATACATGTATGAAAGAAGAAACTTCAGTCATTTTCTCATGCTGGAAACCAAGCGACGCAGAAAAAAAAGATTGCATCATAAATATTCAAGATTGATTGGCCGGAAAACTGAAATAAAGGCTAATATTTTCCTTAAAAATTCGCTTATGAAGATACGCGTACGCATCCTTATACGCAAGAAGCGCCGTATAAACGTGTTCGAGAAAGTCATTCCACATTTTGTTGTTTGACTCAATTCCTTTATTCAGAGATTTACATGTATGCGTAGAAAGTCAAACATTTATGCACACACTATTGTCACCTTTGTTGCATGGCCCTAATGTATTTGATGTCAGGAATGTTAGAAAGGTAGAAAAGTTTAAAAACTTTAGATTGGCAACAAGTTGAGAATCTCAAATCATTGACATTGGTTTTATATCAAAGTTGGGCTAGTATGTAGTTTTTAAAGACGTTAGCATGATAACCCATGTGTATTATGTGCAATTACCTTAAATCTTATTTTAACTATCAACGTAACATTAACAGAAAATATTGTTGCAAATTTGAAGAAAGACATTACCAAATTAGCCCTTAAAATACCCATGTCCTTACAGAATTTTAGGAATCTGTAGGAATCTCATCTACATATTCACCCCGCCCCATCTCATCTATTCATATTTCTTCCCATATAGTTCTATTTATCTATGAATCTAAATTATTAACGAATACGAGTATTATACGAAACCGCTTTATCACCGGTGCCAGATGAGAACACAAATCTGTTCAGCAATTTTTTTCTCCAGGAAATAAAACGTTCATCTATGACATATTCTGGTCATTTTAGTATTTTAAAATGTTACACTCTTTAAGCACCGCTAGCGTTCCTTTTAGCAAGTAACAAATTATACTTTACCTTCAGATTTAATATCCGTACCGCATTTCTATGCCAAGTTTATTGATGATTATTAAACATTGGCCTATTCTTATTTATATCGATTAACAACTTGTTATGTGTGTTTTTATAAAAGTGTAGGCCAACCAATTTTACCAATCACGATTTGTTTTCTTCTCCAGATGTTAGCGGCATGCAATAACACCAGTAATGAAAATTAGATATAGTCTTTAGTAGATATAGAAAACATGATATCAGTAGAGTTAGGAGAGAAGAAAATCCAAACCTTAGCCTGGAATTATCGTGCTTTCATCGTGATGAGGAAGAGAGCGATATCATAGTTTGTGAATATGAAATGAAGTGCGGTCTTTAGAAATAACAAATTTACCATATATCATAATGTATGAGCTTATTTATTATCCCCCATGTTGATAAAATACTGTCGAAATTCTTTCGAACTGATCAGCATATTGCATTGCACTGGCCTATGGGCCTTCTGAAAAGAAACGTTTCTGGAGATTTACCATAACATATACATATACATGTACCGTATTTGCAAGTACTCGAACAGTTGGAAGTCGTACAGCACCGACATTTACTCCAGCAGTGACTCTTCTAAACATGGTGTTTGGCGCCAATCGAGTATTATGTTGACGGAACATTGCCAATTCTTATTTTCTTTTGTCGACAGTTTGTCCTGACCTATGTCACGTGACGTACACGTGTGAGGATCAGTGGGAGAGCGATGGTGATATGCCTTGGACAGTCCCATTTGATTGCAATCCTCTCTTTTCGCCGGCTTTCAATCCACAATGCCGATGCAACCAGGGTTATGTGAAGGACAACGGCAACTATGTTGGCGCCAGGCAGCAGGAGCTTGGTCAATACTTTAACTCGGATGTGTGTGTTAAGCCGCTTGAAGGGAGATGTGTATTCTGTGAACACAATTCCATCCCATATACTGTGAGTTGTATAACAAACTGTTTTCTTCTCCCTTATTTGTCCGATATGTCTCTATCTTTTCTGTTACGATTCAACATTTTGTAGGATTAGATTAGACCAAGGAACTTGGTTTTCGAAACCTCCAGAGAGATCTATTATAATTATCATTCATATTCTAGAACAATTTTTCTAATGTATTCAACGTCTACAAATTGATAGCAATATCAAGTTTGAACGTCATTGTATTATGTTCGTTTTATTCATTCCTTACCAGCCGGAGGGATACTACAGGGAGAATTGTGAGAAATGCATATGCACGAAGAATATCTCTAGCAGTGAATACTACTTCGAATGTGTACCTAGTGAAGACCCTAACTGCTCTATAAAAACAACGGTTCCTACAGAAACATCAAGTCATAACTCAAGTCCAACACCAAGTACCACCCCGTCTAGTGAGTCTCTCCCGACATATACTGTGTTTTGCTTGTAACAGGGGAATGACAATCTTGATCCCTAAAATAATTTGTACCAATGAAATTACTCACATTGCCGTCCTTTCGGGTAGTTTGTACCAGATATACATAAACAGATGCAGAAATATAAAGTTCTGTTCACTGGCATTTATTTAGACAAGGCGGTTTTTAATTTTGCATGTCTCTGAGAACGTGGTCCTGACTATTAAACTACAGCCATTAAGCATCATTAATAAGAAGTAATAGTCATTAAAAATCATTTCTTAAAATGTTGTCGTGATAGCATACATGGAGTCATCATAATGTTAGAATTAGAACTATATACTACTAGAAAATCGTTATATCGTGGTGCCGATTCGTTTTGTTGTTTGTCGTGTTAGGTGTAAAGAGCCCAGTCAAACATTCCAAAATCAGACTCCTTTAGTTTATAAGAGAAATGTATGGAATGTCTACGCCTCCTTTATTTTAAATTATATCGGCCAATAAGTATTCTGCATCGATTTTCTCAAATTAGGGGCATTCCAACAACGTTATCCAATATCTTTTCAAAATTAGCTTTAGGTACGGATTTAAGACCCTACATCCTATTTTCCAAATATATCATTTGCCCTAATATTCACATGCATGTCTTGTAAATAGACATTTTCTCTTCGTAATCTATTTATATTGCAATGCGAAATCACTCTTTGTATGCAAGTTTATTGCATAATAAAACATTTAAGTTCATGCATGGATTATGTGAATGCAACTTGTAGTTCAGTTTAAGAATTTTGCCTCATTATTTTCTTGCCAGATTATCTTTGAAATTGTCATTAACATCACATTGTTTGTTACGTTGTGCATATGTGTTACCCTCCAAGCAATATTCTCTTTTCAACCATTTATCATGCTTATCAAGAATGCATACTTGAATTTTGTAAACATCCATTTTTATACGTGTTTAGTAACCTGGTTGTTTTTATAGCCTCTTGATTACTTTTAATCAAAACCGTTATCCTTTTATACACGTTGAAAATGTATGGCGGTTTTTATCCTAAATTTCCTTTTATATTTCAAGGTATAGTTCAATCATTGGGGGGGGGGGGGGACATTTAAAAATATATATATATATATATATATATATATATATCAATAATCTATAATTGGCACGATCGCTCCTTGCCACACTTGCAGACCGGCATAAAAAGGGCACTACATGATGGAAGGATTGCTGTGGATTTCATTTATATGAATTCATTTATAATCAATCCTTTTTCATTAAGATAATTATCATGTTTTATATGTAGGCTTCCTGTCAAGATAATCATCACCATCATTATCATTTTAGATGTAGAGGCTTTCGTGCTATATTTCATGAACCTAGAAATCATATCAATCTTTCCTACTATGAAAATCATTCTGTTTCTTTGTTCTGAAATAAAAATATAAACATGATGATCCATCTTTTATCACTTTTCTTCTTGTCATTATTCTTGTTATCTCTTTTTTTTCCTTCATTATCACAGTCCATTTGTACTTTCATTATCATGCACGCAATTTCATGTATTTGTATGGTGTTTCAGGTATGTCAAAATTTGTATCATGGCGTTTTATTCATAATTATCCATCATTATTCTATTCGGTTTAATTAATGTTAAATTTGCGATAGGTAGGCACCTCTTAAGTTCGCAATAGTCCGTTCCGTTTAACATTTCACAATCCCTTTTACTCATTTCATTCCCTAAAAATAACAAAATAATATTCTTGTTTGTCTTCGTTTCAAAATGAAAATACGGATTTGACGATCCTCATTTCATAATTTTTCTTGACATTTTTCGGATCAGTGTTTTTTTCTTCACTATGCATTTGCACGTTCATCATCATTTTTCCAACTTTATGTTTTTGTATAGGGTAGGCTGTGTCACTTTTTATGTCATGAGGTTTCATACATTGTCATCAATAATCTATCTATTTATTTCAAGTATAGGCCAAGAACCTGTCGCGAAATAGGCACCTCATTCTACCCATATCATTTTACCCCTCAAAGTTGCTTAAACCATCTTATACTCATCGTCAATAATTAAATTGTCAGCCTGACCATAACCCTTGGGTCATTCCCCACCCCCTTGATCCCCCTCCCCCTGCTCCCCTCATCCCCCAAAAGACCTCTCAGTCGGTCTATTTCAACCTATGTACCCCATACACCAAATGTTGCCAGTAGTATGACTGGATATTGCATAACACAAACAACCTGACAAAATGTCCAATTAACAGTTCTCTTAAGACCAGAGATACATTAAAACAGAAAGTGATGTTATCCCGCTGTTTTGAGGTTATACGAGAGGCACTGCAAAGCAGTTTTGTGTGCTCTACTAATTTCCACATCCTGAAACACAAATGTTCCCCCTTGCTTTTTGAAACCTGGAGGACGTGCTCGATTTTAATACACCATTGTGTGCCCATGAAAAAAACCAATCTTCATTTCATTTCATTTAATGACAAAGCGTTTGAGACGTATCGAATATCACGAGCATAACGGAATGCTCCACTAGAATTCGAAAGATTTGGACGCTCGGTTATTGATCATGAGGATTTTCATTAAACAATTCCGATTTTGCCTGCAAGATTAAGACTTATTATGATTCTTTGTTCAATAATTCATTATTTCATATAGAACCTACCACACGGAACAGACCACAGTCACTCCACATGTATTAAGGCTTTTCATTTTCCACTTTGTGCTTACTAAATTCGAGGTCAAGTTTGCAGGGTTACACCATGTAATACTTTAAAAGGAATAATAGTCGCAAATTGGTTATCGATGTTCGATGTGCTCTGATTATTGCATGGCGTTTCATGTTATTTAGTTAATACGTTTTTAGAAGGTTGATTTTACACATTTCAGCTGTATGTACATCATTTTTAAAGGTAATTTTACACTTGAGATCTTGGCCCTATCGTTGAATTAAATGAAAGTGACTCCATGAAAATGTGATATTCATATCATTTCATAATTCAAGGTCAGACGAATCACAATCCATGAGGACTTTTGACAATTCTCTACTTTTATTCGGAATATTCGGGGGTCGGTTGTTTCGAGACAGTTGATACTTTTTTAATTAGATGTTCCATATTAGGTTGCAAGACAAAGAAAGATTATGATCATTAATTTTGTTCATAATTATATTTATTGTTACATGTAGAAGGCACGACTACTAGTGCAGCGCCCCCGACAACCGCAGGTAAGACTACGTTGTTGTTCTCATGTGTGCACGCCTTTCCTCGATACGTCGCTTCTGTAAACGAATTTTGCATAACTTTCCTTTAGTGTAACAGCTTGACAGCACAAACAACACAGAAATCCCGAAACTTAACATATTACTTGATTTGTAGGGAGTGAGAAATTCACCAGGATCGCAACTGTGCACAGTCGTTTACTCTTAGCAGAACCAAAAAGTTTTAAGAGATGGAGTCCCATCTAGCTCATTCCTTTTGTACCACCTTCAATGCCGCCAGGAGAAAATCTGTCAGGCATGTGCTTATTAACTTGATCTTCATGCAGATACGTATAAACAAATCAAAAATCCTGTCTAGCTGCAAACTATAAACGGGCCACATTTAAAGGAAAATATGCTTGTGTAATGGCAATTACTTTTCGCTACCACTCGTCTGATAATACGAGTAATACACAGTGCTTACCTTTACGGGAGGCAAGCGAAAGGAAATGGAGCAAAAGTTCCTAAAATATTAATCAAAACTACTCGGCTGGGCATGTGTAGGCAATAATCTGACATACAAAAAGCATTAAAAAACTGTACCTGAACAAATTCACTTTTTATTTTCGTGAGCCGGAAGTAATCGGAAAAGTGTCAAATTGCTGGCTTTATGATTGTAAAATTGCACTATTCTTTACAAATTAAAACTATAATACAGTGCGTCCCTGAAAAATCGAAACCGAGAACTATTAAGGTTTTATCATAACTTAATCACAATAATGCATATTCCAAGCATGAGTAATTAAAAGGAATTTGAAGGGAGGAAACCAAAAAGTCATTTGGCGGGCGGTATCTGCATTTCAAGGAGAAAAACATATTTCTAGAAAGCTCAATTTCTTGTCTTTCATATGACACCTCAATCTGGTAAAATAAGCCAGGAATAACAAAGTTCTGTTTCTTTAAATTAATGCTTGCATTTCCATAATTTGATTAAACGAGTTCGTTTTCACTGGCTGCCTGTCGTAGCAACTAACAGAGTTGACAAAAGACTTAACTCCGTTGACGATCAGCCATGCACAAAGAAGACGAAAGACCTGATGCATGGCTGATCTTCAATGAAACGGAGTTAAGTCTTTTGACAAAGCCCCACAAAATGATCATAAAGTGCATCAAAAAAAGTAGAGATCTTTGAGTGACTGGTTTTACCATACTCATTTTCCCCATTATAATGTAGTGTAATAAAAACCGTTGGGAAAACGGTTTTTGAAATTTCGAATTCCAATCATAAATATCTTGATAATCAGACATGCGATCGGCTTTTAAACGTCATGGAATTCCTGACTGACCTTAATGTTTATATAAATTATGATTGCAACATGAGCTAAATCAAGGATTATGTTTAGAATCTGAGACAAAGATGCCCAATCCCTTAAATGTCGATGAGTCGGTCGGTTTGTAATAGGTATGGAGTCGGTTGGGCGTTGTGACTGCTGAGGTATTAGTCTCACCGACAAACCGACTGACTGTTGATCTTTGCGGGTAACGTAATTGTTTGGTTGTCTGTTGTCGGTCTGGTTTCGGTCTCATCGACATGACTGGGGGGTATAAGGCACTTGAATTTAAACCAAAACATTAATACCCTATCCTGTGAACGTGGAATTTAGAGTTTTTCCAAAAAAAACTTTTGTTCTCATAACCTTGGATCCTCCGTTTAATCAATGTCTCCCATTGTCGTTTGTTGTTTTCCTTCTGCCATTTTCCGGACACGTAACGTTCATATTGAAGGATAAGAGAGAGGAATTGTATTCGTAAATCATTGCCTGATTTGCAAATGCAAATAACTAAGTAATTAGCCATTTTCTCTCTTTTGCAGCTCCTACAACTACAGTCACCGGGGAAGGTAATTCTGATTGCGTTTTCCCAGTTGAAATGATTTCACGTTTAAATGTATCATGCCTACCGTAAATATCTGAATTATTCACGTATTACAATACAACCGCTCTCAAAGAATGTAATTTAAAAAGTGTACTGGTATTACAAGAGACAAAACGGTAAAACGTTTTCTGTGAAGAACGCGAGCGATCTCCTTCGCTGTTGACAGTGACTTGCAGTTCAGGGGCGTAATAAAGGCAAGACTAAAGGTAGGTTCACATTTAATTGTTTAAATAATATATTATATACATTTATGAAAGATGAAACTTCAGTCATTTTCCCATGCTGGAAACTAAGCGACGCAGAAAAAAAAGATTGCATCATAAATATTCATGATTGATTGGCCGGAAAACTGAAATAAAGGCTAATATTTTCCTTAAAAATTCGCTTATGAAGATACGCGTACGCATTCTTATACGCAAGAAGCGCCGTAAAAACGTGTTCGAGAAAGTCATTCCACATTTTGTTGTTTGACTCAATTTCTTTATTCAGAGATTTACATGTATGAGTAGAAAGTCAAACATTTATGCACACACTATTGTCACCTTTGTTGCATGGCCCTAATGCATTTGATGCCAGGAATGTTAGAAAGGTAGAAAAGCTTTAAAAACTTTAGATTGGCAACAAGTTGAGAATCTCAAATCATTGACATTGGTTTTCTATCAAAGTTGGCCACGTATGTAGTTTTTAGAGACGTTAGCATGATTACCCATGTGTATTATGTGCAATTACCTTAAATCTTATTTTAACTAAATCAACGTAACATTAACAGAAAATATTGTTGCAAATTTGAAGAACAACATTACCAAATTAGCCCTTAAAGTACCCATGTCCTTACAGAGTTTTAGGAATTTGTAGGAATCTCATCTACATATTCACACCGCCCCATCTCATCCATTCATATTACTACCCATATAGTTCTATTTATCTATGAATCTAAATTATTAACGAATACGAGTATTATACGAAACCGCTTTATCACCGGTGCCAGATGAGAACACAAATCTGTTCAGCAATTTTTTTCTCCAGGAAATAAAACGTTCATCTATGACATATTCTGGTCATTTTAGTATTTTAAAATGTTACACTCTTTAAGCACCGCTAGCGTTCCTTTTAGCAAGTAACAAATTATACTTTACCTTCAGATTTAATATCCGTACCGCATTTCTATGCCAAGTTTATTGATGATTATTAAACATTGGCCTATTCTTATTTATATCGATTAACAACTTGTTATGTGTGTTTTTATAAAAGTGTAGGCCAACCAATTTTACCAATCACGATTTGTTTTCTTCTCCAGATGTTAGCGGCATGCAATAACACCAGTAATGAAAATTAGATATAGTCTTTAGTAGATATAGAAAACATGATATCAGTAGAGTTAGGAGAGAAGAAAATCCAAACCTTAGCCTGGAATTATCGTGCTTTCATCGTGATGAGGAAGAGAGCGATATCATAGTTCGTGAATATGAAATGAAGTGCGGTCTTTAGAAATAACAAATTTACCATATATCATAATGTATGAGCTTATTTATTATCCCCCATGTTGATAAAATACTGTCGAAATTCTTTCGAACTGATCAGCATATTGCATTGCACTGGCCTATGGGCCTTCTTAAAAGAAACGTTTCTGGAGATTTACCATAACATATACATATACATGTACCGTATTTGCAAGTACTCGAACAGTTGGAAGTCGTACAGCACCGACATTTACTCCAGCAGTGACTCTTCTAAACATGGTGTTTGGCGCCAATCGAGTATTATGTTGACGGAACATTGCCAATTCTTATTTTCTTTTGTCGACAGTTTGTCCTGACCTATGTCACGTGACGTACACGTGTGAGGATCAGTGGGAGAGCGATGGTGATATGCCTTGGACAGTCCCATTTGATTGCAATCCTCTCTTTTCGCCGGCTTTCAATCCACAATGCCGATGCAACCAGGGTTATGTGAAGGACAACAGCAACTATGTTGGCGCCAGGCAGGAGGAGCTTGGTCAATACTTTAACTCGGATGCGTGTGTTAAGCCGCTTGAAGGGAGATGTGTATTCTGTGAACACAATTCCATCCCATATACTGTGAGTTGTATAACAAACTGTTTTCTCCTCCCTTATATTTCTGATATGTCTCCATCTTTTCTGTTACGATTCAACATTTTGTAAGATTTGATTAGACCAAGAAACTTGATTTTCGAAACCTCCAGAGAGATCCATTATCATTATCATTCATATTTTAGAACAAATCACCAATGTATTCAAAGTCTATAGATTAATACAAATATCGTGTTTGAACGTCATTATATTATCTGCATTTTATTCCTTCCTTACCAGCCGGAGGGATACTACAGGGAAAATTGTGAGAAATGCACATGCACGAAGAATATCTCTAGCAGTGAATACTACTTCGACTGTGTACCTAGTGAAGACACTAACTGCTCTATAAGAACAACGGTTCCAACAGTAACATCAATGCATAACTGGAACGCTTCTACCACGTTTGGTCCAACACCAAGTACCACCCCGTCTAGTGAGTCTCTTCCGACATATACAATGTTTGGATGTAACAGGGGAAGAACAATCTTGATCCCTAAAATAATTTTTATCAAGGAAATTACTCACATTTCCGTCCTTTCGGGTAGTTTGTACCCCACATACATGTATTCCTAAGGTTCTATGAATACAGTCATGATGCAGAAATATAAAGTTATGTTCACTGGCATTTATTCAGACAAGGCGGTTTCTAATCGTGCATGTCCGTGAGAACGTGCTCCTGACTATCCGCAAACTACAGCCATTAATCACCTTTTATATTCGCACGCATGTCTTGTAAATAGACATTTTCTTTTCGTAATCTATTTATATTGCAATACGAAATCAATCACTCTTTGTATGCAAGTATATTGTATAATTAAACATCTTAGCTCATGCATGGATATCTTTTAATGCAACTTGTATTACAGTTTAAGAATTTTGCCTCATTATTTTCTTGTCAGATTATCTTTGAAATTGTCATCAACCTCACATTGTTTGTTACGTTGTGCATAGGTGCTACCTTCCTAGCAATATTTCCTTTTCAACCATTTATCATGCTTATCAAGAATGTAATACATCAATACTCGAATGTTTTAAACATCCATGTTTATACGTGTAAAGTAAACGGGTTGTTTTTATAGCCTTTTGATTACTTTCAATCAAGGCCATCATCCTTTTATACACATTAAAAATGAATGACGGTTTTTATCCTGACTTTCCTTTTTATATTTCAAAGTATAGTTCAATCATTGGAAGGGAGATTAATAAAATTAATTGATTAATAATCTATAATTGGCATGATCGCTCCTTGCCACACATGCAGACCGGCATAAAAAAAGACACCACATGGTGGAAGGATTGCTGTGGATTTCATTTATATGAAATTCATTTATAATCAATCCTTTTCCATTAAGATCATTATCATGTTTCATATGTAGGCTTCCTCTCAAGCTAATCATCACCATCATTATCATTTTAGATGTAGAGGCTTTCGTGCTATATTTCATAAACCTAGAAATCACTCCACTCTTTCCTACTGAGAAAATCATTCTGTTTTATTGTTCTGAAAAAAAAAAAAAAAGATTTATACATGATGATCCATTATTTATCACATTTCTTCTTGTCATTATTCGTGTTATCTCTTTTTTTTTTACTTCATTATCACAGTCCATTTGTACTTTCATTATCATGCACGCAATTTCATGTATTTGTATGGTGTTTCAGGTATGTCGAAATTTGTTTCATTGAGTTTCATTCATATTTATCTATCATTTAATCTATTCAGTTCAATTAATGTTAAATTTGCGATAGGTAGGCTCCTCTTAACATTTCACAATCCTTTTTGCTCATTTTATTCTTTAAAAAAAATACTATTGTTTTCTTTGTTTTAAAATGAAAATACGGATTTGACGATCCTCATTTCATCATTTTTCTTCTTGGAATTATTTGCATCAGTGTTTTTTTTCTTCATTATCCATTCGCACATTCATCCTCATTATTGCAATGTTATTTGTTTGTATGATGTTTCAGGTAGGCTATGTATGTCACTTTTTATGCCATGTAGTTTCATGTATAGCCACCATTAATCTCTCGATCTTTTTCAAGTATCGGCAAGGAACCTGTCATAAAATAGGCACCTCATTCCCCCTTAAGATTTCACCCCTCATCGTCAGCCTGACCGTGACTGTTGGGTTTACCACCAACAGACCCCCCTATTAATATCGGGTCCAAGTCAACCCATGAACCCCATACACAAACAAATGTCAGTAAAAATTAGTATGACTGGACACTGCATAACACGAACAAATTACCAATCAAATGTTCCCTTCAGACCAGAGAGATATTAGAAAAGAAAGTGGTGCTATCCAACTCCTTTGCAGTCACGAGAGGCATTTCCAAGAAGTTTATGTTGTCTAATATTTTCACCTGCTGAAACACAAATGTTTACCCATTTTTTTTCTGCAACCGGGTGGCTCTCAATTAAACCTATGAGAAATATGAGAATTCAGTAGTCAATGGGTTAAATGAGCAGTGGAAATCAAGAACAAGAAATTTGCTTCAACTATTTGGGGATCCTTAACGGTAATATCAATATATATATATATTTTTGAATTCTTAGGAGCAAACGTGATTTACCAAATCCTCTTCGTTTCATGGGAGCGGCTTTTTCTTCTTTATTAGAAAAAAAATACTATATCGTTTATAGATTTGTTTCTAGGTTTGTTTCTAGATGTTCTTTTCTGTATCATTTTTGCTTTAACCATTGCATTTTCTGTATCCATACGCTTCTACGTTGCAGAGGTGATAACAACTACAGTCACTACTGCCAGGCCAACAACGACCACGTCTTTCACAACAACCGGGCAGAGACCTACTACTCTTCCAATCACCACTAGACCTACGACCGCTGTGCCTCCTACAACCACCACGCCTCCTACGACTCCAAGGCCCACAACCACCCCCAGGCCTCCTACAACCACCACTCTTCTCCCTACGACTCCAAGGCCCATAACCACGCCCAGGCCCCCTACAACCACTACTCTTCTCCCAACGACTCCAAGGCCCACAACCACCCCCAGGCCTCCAACAACCACCTCCCTTCTACCTACGACTCCAAGGCCCATAACCACCCCCAGGCCTCCTACAACCACCACTCTTCTCCCTACGACACCAAGGCCCACAACCACCCCCAGGCCTCCTACAACCACCACTCTTCTCCCTACGACTCCAAGGCCCATAACCACCCCCAGGCCTCCTACAACCACTACTCTTCTCCCTACGACTCCAAGGCCCACAACCACCCCCAGGCCTCCTACAACCACCCCCAGGCCTCCTACAACCACTACTCTTCTCCCTACGACTCCAAGGCCCACAACCACCCCCAGGCCTCCTACAACCACTACTCTTCTACCTACGACTCCAAGGCCCACAACCACCCCTAGGCCTCCTACAACCACTACTCTTCCTACGACTCCAAGGCCCACAACCACATCCAGGCCTCCTACAACCACCAGGCTTCCTACAACCAGCACTCCTCCTTCAACCACCATCAATCTTCCGACTTTAAATATCACAACCAGGCCTTCTACAACCATCCGAACTCCTACAACCACCATGCTTCCTACGACAACCAGGCGTCCTACAACCGCCAGGCCTCCAACGACTTTAAATATCACGACCAGGCCTGCTACAACCACGAGTCCTCCAACGACTCCACAACCCACAACCACCCTCAGGCCTCCTACAACCACCACTCTTCTCCCTACGACTCCAAGGCCCACAACCACCCCCAGGCCTCCTACAACCACCAGGCTTCCAACAACTTCAACAATTCTAACCAGGCCTTCTACAACCACCAGGCCTCCAACGACTTTAAATATCACAACCAGGCCTGCTACAACCACGATTCCTCCGACCACTATAAGACCCACAACGACCCCCAGGCCTCCTACAACTACCATTACAGCTATAACATCCACGCCTACCACCACTACACCAGGTAATATATAAGTATATTTTACAAGTTCAGCGAAGGGCATCAATTATAAAAAATAACTGCTTCCTTTAATTGGTGTTATTTACCGTTTATATTTTAAAAACATATACATTTTAAAATTCTTAGTAGCATACATGATTAACCAAATCCTCTTTGTTTTATGGAACTATGAATAGCATACACTCTCTCCTCAATCAAAAGAGTTAGGGTTGATTAAAAGGTGAAGGGTAAATTGAAATTAGCATGATTATTTTGAATGGAGAGAAAAGTATGCGACATTAGCAAAAACAACAAATACAGAGATTTCTTTTTGTTTAATCTTTTCAGAGGTTTGTGCTGAACCCCTGGTAGAATTGAACGGAGTCGTGAGTGTCAACGATTTGAGCGCTGTTCCAAGTGACAGCATTTCAGACCTGGGTGCACAGGCTTGGGAATCTGATTCCGGTAATCCATCATCCGGGATTGTAGCTAGTTTCTTGCAGCCAGTACGGGTAACACGTCTAGCAGTTCAAGGGTTGACTAGTTCCTTTAGAGTGCAGTACAGAACTGCCCAGACTAGTAGCCAACAGTATGTAGGTGGCAATGAAACGCCAACGGTGAGTTTTCAGAACTTATTTCCCTCCAAAATACACACAGGGCAAAAAACAAAGAAAGTGGAAACTCTTAAATCATAAAACAGAGCAAATACCTGTTGAATTGTTAACGGACTTGTGCAGCTGTAAGACATTCTAGTTCAACAATGAAAACAAAGATTGAGAAACAATGAGGATTAAGCTATAGATGTCAACCGTAGTCTCGCGACTGCATGGTTTTGACTAAAACTTTCAAGATGCCTCTCCGTTCTACCCAAAATCGTGGACGAGCCGTAGGATCTCTCCAATACCCTTCAACATTTGAATGGCCTGATGCCCAATTTTTTTTTGGGGGGGCAATATTATTTCAGAGACCCATTTATTGTTGAATGGCTATTCTCACTGATGTTTTGTGTTGTTGGCAGTGTAGGTAGCAAACAATTTTCAATGGAATAAAAGCATTTCGGCTCAAATAAAAACAAAAACCTGTTAGTCATTACGGCTGGTATGACATTTCTGTCAAATATTTTCAGCCCACGTGGTCCACTTATTAATACCAACAGTGAGTTCGGGAGAACGTTAACCACCTATTACCAAAGAATAAAAACATTAATGAACACACATACAATTCAGTGAAGGGTACCTTAAGAGCACAAGTTGTATTCATGCATGTACCATTTTGCAGGAGTTTGACGTCGATGGATCGGAAGAAAGTGCGGATCGAGTTTATATCAACATTCCTGATGCAGTAACCAATCTATTGATTACACCGGTTGATGCAACAAACGTTACCTGGAGATTACAAATCTACGGTTGTGCAGGTGAGAGTTTTTTTTAAAGGCTCCTTCATGACTAGGTCACATTTGCGCTACGGTTAGGATACGGCGGCCGTACGCCCCCGAAATCGAGACATAATTGCGGCAGCCTCAGGGTCACCCTTGGGCGTATCCCTATCTTTACAGGCCGTACAGGTCGCCGTGGGATTATAACGCAGAGTTATAACTGTTTTCATTTCTAGGTTCGCCTTAGCGATTAGACACGCCGAAGCCATGCCATAGTGCGGTTCCACGGCGACCGTACGTCGGGCGTACGATAGCCTTGCGTTTTAAATACTCCAGGGGTTAAGCGGAAGCATCAGTCTGGCCGCACGGTCGCCGTATGGTTCCCCTTCAGCCGCCTTGCGGGCACCTTGCGGCTACATTGAGTCTGCCTTAGTATTTGTCAAAAAGCTACGGCCGCCGCAGGGATGCCCTAATGCGACCGTGCGTTATCACTTTAAAGGCCGTACGTTAGTCGCAGATCTTCTGTCTGCACAAATTCAAAAGACGCCGTGCAGCTACCCTAACATATATGACCGCTACCGTATGTCGTCATAGGAATGCTGCGGCGGTCCTAGCCTATAATTGTTATTGGCCGTATATATTTCAGACCGTACGGCCGCGGTGGAAAATGTGACCTAGGCATCAGACGTGAAGCGTTAAACCACAGTTGCTTATTTCTTTTTTTGAGCGACAAATGGTCAGAAAGAAATATTATTTCTTGTCGAGTCGACAGGTGTCATGTTTGGATTGAAAATAGTTTCATAAAATATGATGAAGGATATACATAATGTGCTCTGCATTTCATTATCATTTTCTATTGTGCCTTGCTTTCAGAAATTGAGACAACCGTGGTTACAACGAGTCAAGGTGTAGAAACAACAACAATAACTTCTACCACTTTTGAACCGAATGAGACCATTGTTACCACGAGTGAGTACAGTGATGATGATGATCATACTAATGATAAAAATGATAATAATAATAATAATACTGATGATAATAGTAATAATAATGAATATTTCAACAATGAATATAATAATTATAATTAACAAAAATAATAATGATTATAATGATAACAAAAATTATAATATCATGGTCTTTGTTAGACGAATATTCATACACCTTTTCCTGTAATCAGATTAAAGGTAAAGACCAGTTATGGTCATGCGATTGCATTGTGAAAGAAACGTTGTGGAGTCGATCAGAAAAGGTTGATCATCTAGCATTTAAGTATTGGTGTGTACTGCACTGAAATTTGGCCCAGTCTTCGTAAAGTTACAAGCACTGCACACAGAAAGATGTACATGGGACTATACGCACACGTACGCGACACGCGCGTTTATCTCTCACAGACCGTGTTGATAAACTAATTTACCAAATATATCAATTGAGTAGGCGGTTTCCCGGCAAAATTTGTATCATCATATATTAGTCAAAACATATTCTTTCACATAATTGGTAAAAAGAGCTTCCATTTCATTTTTTAAAATTGGGGCGTTTCCAATATTGATCTTCATCTTTAAACCCGTTATTTAATACTTCTACCTCGTTCCCAATACGTCCACACCCATTCGAACTAGTTTGTAACCCGACCATGCCATTCAAAGACAGTTCAACTCGTCCTCATCTCGTTCTTAGTACATTAGAACGCGCTCCTAGAGCGTGTGAAATCCCGTCCGAGCTGCGATTTTTTTTCCTAAACAGGTTTGCCAATGCTAATATAGCTGGTCATCTGATTGGCTGATAGGTTACGTCATTAACAATGACGTAACCGTTAGGTTGAGTGATAGGGTTATAGAAATCATGCAGAATCACTTTTAACAACCCATCGTTGGCTCAATCGGTAAGGACAGCGTGTTACTAATAGCACCTTTGAAGTTGACTTGAGGGTTCAAAACTCAGTTTATTCAGTTTGTTTGACTTTATAAATAGTGAGGCAAAGCGTAATAGGTCCATAGGCAAAGCAATAAATAATCAAAGTCTAATTGTGACCTCTTTTCAAGCTGCTAATGACGTAGAACCTATCAGCCAATCAGAAGAACGGAAATATAAGAAATTGCAAACCTGTTTGGGAATAAAAATTTCGCGTCCGGGCTCGAGGGCTATAAAAACCGAGCGAATTCTTGCCATTCCTCATTCCCGTTCAACTTCAGCGCTTCAAGCTGGGCTGTGCATCATAAAATTATATTTTTTGATCCTTTTCAACCATGAGTCTGTTGTGTTTCAATATGATTGTTTTATCAACTATTTATTAAGTTTTAATGCTTTTATAGATGTAATAGCATTGAGAGCTCGCATTGTAACGGAAGCAAATAACGTTTACACTAATGGTAACATACTTTTCGCGATATTCCAGACTCGAATTATTAGTAAACCAATTAGTACTACCAAACCAGCTCGCCCTGTTTACATAAGTTTTTACTAGTACTGGACATTATGAAACATAAGTCATGGATCAAGATGAAGTTTAGAGTATAATTCATTTTATAATGCGTACTGGATTTTTTAGCCAATTGTTTTTAAAATGGCTAATGCAGATATACATGTTTGATGTTAAGATTGATACATTTCGATAACGTATGAATAATTACTTTATTTGTCACATTACATTTACAACAGCATCCTCCACTACAAGAGCTCCAACAACAGCAGGTACAAACCCTTGTTAGTCTCGTATTTCACCATCCTATCATAATTGCACTCAGCTTTAATGAATATCTACTTACCTGCAAATTACCTTAAGACCATCGTTAATTTTTTTAATGTGGTCTCAATACATCTCGCAATAATATTTGCTGATGTAAGCACTTTGTCATTTACAACCGAGCAAATTGATAACTGTATTTGTATTATTATTATAATATAGATATATCGACTGCTATGAGAGGCCTGGTTTTTTTATATGCTCAAGAGGACTTCAGAGGCAGCCGAGCGACTTCCACAGTGGGGGAGGGGGAGCACCACGAAAAAGGGCACTTTCTGGACAAATATGGCACCTACAAAGGGAAATCTCAAAGCGAAATTATACAATTCTTTAGACATTTGTATATACCCCTACATTGTGATTACATTATCATTGATGATTTCAATATTTGTTTCACTTTATATACCATACAAGATATTGCTTAAGCATCATGCTTTGCAGTTGGGTGGGATGGTCTGAACAAAATTTTGAGAGCGAGCGAAGCGAGAGAGGAAAATTTGATAGATTTGTGAGGTAGCAGTGCGAAAAATTACACCTTATATGAGGGAAAACCCAATCCTAATGGGTTATAACCACTTTCTCATAACGAAAGACTGAAAAGATCTTTGATAAGTAACATAAGTATATCATCTATAGATTCGTGCGAGCGTAGCAAACGAGCTTTGGTGGAAATCGCTCTTAGTCGCTTGAAATTAGGAGCGCCTTTAATGATGAGAGGAAAAAGGGTCCCTTATAAGAAAAGAAAGGGGCACGTATCATTGTTAAAAGGAAAATTATCAGAGGTGAAAAGAGGCTCTCATCGCACCTGAAAAGGGACAATGACCAGATATGAAAAGGAGCAATTACGTGAATTAAGAAGGGGCACTTATCCAAGTTAAAATGGGAGTAGTTATTAAAAGGGGGAGGGGCATTTGTCAAAGTAAAAGAGGCATCTCTCAGAATTGAATAGGGCAAACATCAGAGGTGAAGGGGGCACTTATAAAAAGTGAAAAAGCCACTTCTCGTAAATGAAAATGAGCACTTACTAGAGATTTAAAAGGGCACTTATGAGAATGGAAAATGGACACTTATTGCAAAGAAAAATGAGAACTTGGCGAAGGAAAAGAGGCACGTGTCCAATTAAAAGGGGCACTTATCAGAGTTTAAAAGTGAAAGGGGCACTTTTACTAATTAATAGGGGCGCTTTTAGGGTGCTTAAAAAAAGGGGCACTGTGCCCCCCGGGAGGGCCGCCTCAAGGGACGTTGTATCCTGCCATGACCCGGAGGCGCGCCTGGCCGGGCGTAACCGAAAGCCAGTATACAATCAGCCAGGCCTCGAATATTAAAGCAGTCGATATATCTTTTATATACCGAATTCACACAAAAATTTACCAAGAATTCTTACCTTATCCTTTTCTTGAGTAAAGATTGGTTAAAACATCACAGGAAATGTGAGACACTATCTGTTAATCTTCGCTGGAAAGATGACTGAATGTTACAATCATTTGCGAATGGCAGACAAAAAGTACTGTATGGTATCCGCGCTCGCTCAAAGTAACTTTGAAAACTTACACCAATGGGGATCTCATCAACATTTTACTATTTTCCCGGTACCCGGAATCTTTGGGGAATCTCACTCATGAGACCGTTACTGGCATTGTTCGTTTCTTTACGGGACCTGGCTAAAATCACGACTCCAATCTCGACCAATCAAATGGCTAGATTTCTAAAGAGGGGTTTATAATTATTAACAATAAAATTGTCACTGGATTGAATTAATATTCCCGACATTCAAGCCCAAATTCTCTACTCCTTGGGGAGCGTTCCCATAGGTGGGTGAACACAAACTAGTCTAATCACATTCATACTTGAATCCTACCGGGAACCAATTTTGGATCGCGTGGAGAAGAGCTTTGTAATTTATCTTACTTCATTTGCACTCTCTCATTTATGTTAAAGATCATTTCAAATTGATAAATTACCTTAACGAATAACCATTACCCTCCTTTCTCATTCAACAGAACCAACCGAAAGGAGCGACACGGGTAAGTACAAATGTCGATATTTTTGTCTATACAATCTAGTTTTGATTTGCTTTACAAAGTGATAGCAACTCTCAGCTGGATTACCATCAGACTGGATGTGGAACTTTTATATAGGCGCTTGAAACTAATGTAGGCCTATATCACGTTGAAACCAGAAATCATACAACAGCCTCTCAAATATTTAAAGCATGTGTACATGCAAATGAACAATCAAAATTTTGTTCATTATTCAAGGTTATTCTACATTAGAATTCGCTTAGAAAAATCACCTGCCTCACTTGGCTTTCTTTGAATCTTTTTGTCCAATTATTGCTGCCCTCATGTCACAGAAACTACAACACAGAGGACCCGAACATCAGCTGTGACTACGCCCACAACATCAAGCAGTGAGACTACCACCCTGTCTACAACTACTTCTGGCCAAACAACGCCTGGTAGGATTTTGGAATTTTGTTTATACTAAATTTTTGCCCATAATACCCCCTTCACATACACGGATTTGCCTTACGAGTCCTTAGTGATCGCACAAATTCACATATTTTTCACGGATTATTACAATTTGCCCACTTTTACAACCGATTTAAGATTGCAACGAGTTATTGAGAGCTATTTACGGTTTATTACGATTTATTACATCGTACTTTATACGTCAAAATGTCACGATTTAGATCGTGTTGTCACGGATAACTACGAGCAACTTACGGGCATTTTACTAGCTCTTTACGGATCGTTAGAAGTATATTACGAATATTACAATTCATCAAAGCTTTTACGTGTGAGTTACGACCTATTTACGTGTTGTTACGAATAGTAACCAGTTAGTTACGTGTCCTTCAGACTTTGCATGTATTTTACCTTTCCCTAAATCGTAAACAATACTCAAGAATACGTACAGTATACGTATATATTCGTAAAGTACTCGTAATTAAACGTTAAGTGCTGCTATTAACTCGTAACGATCTGTAAAGCCATCGCAAAATGACCTGAATGAAATCGTAAAAAACACGAAGGGCGAATGGTTCTGTAAGTTAATCACATTCTGCCATTGCTCTATTCTGCTTGTTGATTACAATATAGCACATGTTGAATTCTGCAAAAGGAAATGCGGGATAATGCAACAACTTTACAGCGCCCCACTGTGCCTAATTGCTGTATGTCTCTTTTCTTTTGTGTGACATTTGATATCGTGTCAGGTGATTGCGCGGAAAACCTGAATGATGATAGTAAGCCGGATCCAGTGATAACACTCCAGACATCCGACATGGCTAACGTTACTCCAGATCAAACTGTCACACTTTCCAGTGGGACATCGTCAATCACCGTTCGATTCGGAAGTAGTGATGCTGGATACAAGGTCCTGACCAGAGTGACAGCCGTCATCCTGAGTGTTGACGATGCAACAACAGGAAGTCCGCCCATGATGATTCGTCTCGACAGCGTCACCTTTTCAAACGGAACGACAGCTCAAGACATTGGTGAAGTTAATTCAAGTGGGCCTACCACCGGAATGTTTAGACTTGGGGCACTCGGAGAAGAACCCGTGGATGCTTTGGTCTTTTCCGTGCCCGACATTGTCCCTCAAAACGCTTCTTCAGTAGACGTTGTCGTCCGATTTGATGGATGCATCGAGACAGGTGAACGTAACTTTCTTTCTATAAAACAAAATGTTTTCCGTATGTTAATAGGCAACATGGGCAGCATCATATCCCGCATTTTCCTTCGAGTCCTGTACCATGTATAACATGTAAACTATGCATGTTACTCGTTAGAAGGAAACAATGAGAATGAAAGTTGATACTATTATCCTGTTTACTTTCTAGATGTACAAAAATCGCAGCAGAATGAACTTAACCTCGGTTTAAATATGGTTTTTTTTAACACAAGACACGGATCAAAGCATTTCATTTTCTGGTATATGTACAATAGATCATTTCTGCTTGTTCTTCCAAATGTGTGTATACAGAGACCATAACTACAGTGGTGACCACGAGTGTTGCTACCACCACCACACCAGCAACCACTACAACACCGGCTACCACTACCACGACAGAAGTGACGACTGCAGTCATGACAACAGGAAGTACCACAGCTGTCGAAGAGACAACCACCGTCACGACAACGACACCTGAAGTCACCACCACTGAAACAACTACTAGATTGGCAACAACAACTCCAGGTATTTATCCTTTTCACCTCCAAATAATCACTTTATATTCCCAGAGTATAAAAAAACATGTACTAAAAATACTTCACCTTGTTAACTTGGCTTAAAATTGTATTATCATTGAGGTATCTAAATGCAGAAGGAAGTGTACAGTTTAGAATTTATGATGTAGCATTGGCCACACAGAGATAACATTTTTCAGAAATTTAGATGGAGCTGTTTATAACATACTTAATTATTCGTGCTTGTTGTGCCTTGTTCTGTTTGGTGATATCAATATAGTACATGTTGTGTTCTGCAAAGGGAAATGCGGGATAATGCAACAACTTTACAGCGCCCCTCTGTGTCTAATTGCTGTGTGTCTCTTTTCTTTTGTGTGACATTTGATTTCGTGTCAGGTGATTGCGCGGAAAACCTGAATGATGATAGTAAGCCGGATCCAGTGATAACACTCCAGACATCCGACATGGCTAACGTTACTCCAGATCAAACTGTCACACTTTCCAGTGGGACATCGTCAATCACCGTTCGATTCGGAAGTAGTGATGCTGGATACAAGGTCCTGACCAGAGTGACAGCCGTCATCCTCAGTGTTGACGATGCAACAACAGGAAGTCCGCCCATGATGATTCGTCTCGACAGCGTCACTTTTTCAAACGGAACGACAGCTGAAGACATTGGTGAAATTAATTCAAGTGGGCCAACCACCGGAATGTTTAGACTTGGGGCACTCGGAGAAGAACCCGTGGATGCTTTGGTCTTTTCCGTGCCCGACATTGTCCCTCAAAACGCTTCTTCAGTAGACGTTGTCGTCCGATTTGATGGATGCATCGAGACAGGTGAATATAATTTACTTTCTTAACAAAAATTGGTTTCCGTATGTTAATAGGCCACATGGGCAGCATCATATCCCGCATATTCCTTTAAGTCCTGTACCAGGTAAAGCAAGCTCCAGTGATCATTGCCATGTATATCAGGTAAACAATGCATGTTACCCGTTAGAAGGAAACAATGCATGTTACTCGTTAGAAGGAAACAATGAGAAAGAAAGTTGATACTATTATCCTGTTTACTTTCTAGATGTACAAAAATCGCAGCAGAATGAATGAATGAATGGTTTAAATATGGATTCTTTTTAAAACAAGACACGGATCAAAGCATTTCATTTCATGGTATATGCACAATAGATCATTTCTGCTTGTTCTTCCAAATGTTTTTATACAGAGACCATAACTACAGTGGTGACCACGAGTGTTGCTACCACCACCACACCAGCAACCACTACAACACCGGCTACCACTACCACGACAGAAATGACGACTGCAGTCATGACAACAGGAAGTACCACAGCTGTCGAAGAGACAACCACCGTCACGACAACGACACCTGAAGTCACCACCACTGAATCAACTACCACAATGACAACAACAACTCCAGGTATTTATATTTTCCAAATCCGAATAAGGACTTCAAACTACTAGTGTAAAACATTTACAAGGGGATCACACCGGTATATTTTGCTGTAAAGGGTATAATCTTGAAGTATCTACTTCCAAAAAAAGGTGTATGGGGTTCGCAACGTGTAATTTATTCGTGCCTAAAAATAGGTTAAGGCGTTGCAGAGTTTCAAGAAAAAAATATATGGTGAAAAACTTAGAAATAAAGGAATTGATATGAGTAAGTTATAGCGATTGTTCGTATTTCGTGATTACTATTTCAAGAAGTTCAATACATTGTGCAAGGCTCAATTACGGTTTTGATTTTAGAGTATTGAAATGTTATCTTGAAGAGCGGGTTATCCATTACAGTTGGAAAAAAGCAACTCCTGGAATATCTAGAGCAATTTGTTACAAGTCTGTAGTATCTAGCATAGTGGGGGTAGGCAGGCAGATATGAAGGCGAGAAAACAGAGCTCAAACGGACAAAATGGTGCCTGAACGTTCATGCAGGAATAATTTAGTAGAAAAGAAAGAACTCAGTAACCATGATGATATGCTATAAAATATGCATGGGAAATTTGAACAGAACAGAGAAGATGAATGGACCTAGATAAGGCTCATATATAAGCACTTAAGAAGAATGAAAGTTTGAAAGAAGAAGAAGGAGAATAGGTATATATATACATACGTTGAATAATAAAAGGCACGACTAAGGGCTTCAATGCAATACTAATTACGATATTAATAATTATAATAATAAATAGCATTCATAATACAGGTGTTTTTCCTCAAAAAGAACACTTGTCTTGAGGATCCAGCATCAGTACCCTCATCATGGCCGAGATGCCAAATATACAGTGCTCTAGCATATTGTGTAACTGATAACACCTGACTGGAGTGTGGCAAAAAATGGATTAACGTCCTGCAAAAGGATTTTAATGTCAGACTGGGATTCAACCTCCAAACCTTGGATTGGCAGATACAAAAACAAATCACTATACCACCAAATTCCCATTCGTTCCTTTTCCAGAGTGTACACTCTGTTTCAACATCTTTCCTCGTGCTACAAGGGAGATGTTCAAAACGTAACAAAGATTTAAATTTTATATTTAATTTCTTGTAGGTACTACACTAAAACAGATAACTCTCTTTTACCCTTCCCTCTTCTTCAAGGGAAGTGAAAGTAGTGCCAAACTTGGATTATCTATGAACGATCCTCATTTTTGTTGAACATCATTTCAAATTGATAAATTACCTTAACAATAACAATTACTCTCCTGTCTCATTCAACAGAACCAACCGATAGGGGTGACACGGGTAAGTACAAATGTCGTTATTTTGTCTATACAATCTAGTTTCGAATTGCTTTACAAAGTAATAGCAACTCTCAGCTGGATTACCTTAGACTGGATATGGAACTTTTATATAGGCGCTTGAAACTAATGTAGGCCTATATCACTTTGAAACCAGAAATCATACAACAGTCTCTCAAATATTTAAAGCATGTGTACATGCAAATGAACAATCAAAATTTTGTTCATTATTCAAAGTTATTCTACATTAGAATTCGCTTAGAAAAATCACCTGCCTCCCTTGGCTTTTCTTCGAATCTTTTTGTCCAATTATTGCTGCCCTCATGTCACAGATACTACCACACAGAGGACCCGAACATCAGCTGTGACTACGCCCACCACATCAAGCAGTGAGACTACCACCCTATCTACAACTACTTCTGGCCAAACAACGCCTGGTAGGATTTTGGAATTTTGTTTATACTAAATTTTTGCCCATAATACCCCCTTCACATACACGGATTTGCCTTACGAGTCCTTACTGATCGCACAAATTCACATATTTTTCATGGATTATTACAATTTGCCCACTTTTACAACCGATTTAAGATTGCAACGAGTTATTGAGAGCTATTTACGGTTTATTACGATTTATTACATCGTACTTACGTCAAAATGTTACGATTTAATACGTGTTGTCACGGATAACTACGAGCAACTAACGGGCATTTTACTAGCTTGTTACGGATCGTTACGAGTATATTACGGAATATTACAATTCATCAAAGCCTTTACGTCTGAGCTACGACCTATTTACGTGTTGTTACAATAGTTTCGAGTTGGTTACGTGTCCTTCAGACTTTGCATGTTTTATACTTTTCCCTAAATCGTAAACAATACTTAAGAATACGTACAGTATACGTATATATTCGTAAAGTACTCGTAATTAAACGTAAAGTGCTGCTATTAACTCGTAACGATCTGTAAAGCCATCGCAAAATGACCCGAATGAAATCGTAAAAAACACGAAGGGCGAATGGTTCTGTAAGTTAATCACATTCTGCCATTGCTCTATTCTGCTTGTTGATTACAATATAGCACATGTTGAATTCTGCAAACGGAAATGTGGGATAATGCAACAACTTTACAGCGCCCCACTGTGCCTAATTGCTGTGTGTCTCTTTTCTTTTGTGTGACATTTGATATCGTGTCAGGTGATTGCGCGGAAAACCTGAATGATGATAGTAAGCCGGATCCAGTGATAACACTCCAGACATCCGACATGGCTAACGTTACTCCAGATCAAACTGTCACACTTTCCAGTGGGACATCGTCAATCACCGTTCGATTCGGAAGTAGTGATGCTGGATACAAGGTCCTGACCAGAGTGACAGCCGTCATCCTGAGTGTTGACGATGCAACAACAGGAGGTCCGCCCATGATGATTCGTCTCGACAGCGTCACCTTTTCAAACGGAACGACAGCTCAAGACATTGGTGAAGTTAATTCAAGTGGGCCTACCACCGGAATGTTTAGACTTGGGGCACTCGGAGAAGAACCCGTGGATGCTTTGGTCTTTTCCGTGCCCGACATTGTCCCTCAAAACGCTTCTTCAGTAGACGTTGTCGTCCGATTTGATGGATGCATCGAGACAGGTGAACGTAACTTTCTTTCTATAAAACAAAATGTTTTCCGTATGTTAATAGGCAACATGGGCAGCATCATATCCCGCATTTTCCTTCAAGTCCTGTACCATGTATAACATGTAAACTATGCATGTTACTCGTTTGAAGGAAACAATGAGAATGAAAGTTGATACTATTATCCTGTTTACTTTCTAGATGTACAAAAATCGCAGCAGAATGAACTTAACCTCGGTTTAAATATGGATTTTTTTTAACACAAGACACGGATCAAAGCATTTCATTTTCTGGTATATGTACAATAGATCATTTCTGCTTGTTCTTCCAAATGTGTGTATACAGAGACCATAACTACAGTGGTGACCACGAGTGTTGCTACCACCACCACACCAGCAACCACTACAACACCGGCTACCACTTCTACGACAGAAGTGACGACTGCAGTCATGACAACAGGAAGTACCACAGCTGTCGAAGAGACAACCACCGTCACGACAACGACACCTGAAGTCACCACCACTGAAACAACTACTAGATTGGCAACAACAACTCCAGGTATTATCCTTTTCACCTCCTAATAATCACTTTATAATCCCAGAGTATAAAAAAACATGTACTAAAAATACTTCACCTTGTTAACTTGGCTTAAAATTGTATTATCATTGAGGTATCTAAATGCAGAAGGAAGTGTACAGTTTAGAATTTATGATGTAGCATTGGCCACACAGAGATAACATTTTTCAGAAATGTAGATGGAGCTGTTTATAACATACTTAATTATTCGTGCTTGTTGTACCTTGTTCTGTTTGATGATATCAATATAGTACATGTTGTGTTCTGCAAAGGGAAATGCGGGATAATGCAACAACTTTACAGCGCCCCTCTGTGTCTAATTGCTGTGTGTCTCTTTTCTTTTGTGTGACATTTGATTTCGTGTCAGGTGATTGCGCGGAAAACCTGAATGATGATAGTAAGCCGGATCCAGTGATAACACTCCAGACATCCGACATGGCTAACGTTACTCCAGATCAAACTGTCACACTTTCCAGTGGGACATCGTCAATCACCGTTCGATTCGGAAGTAGTGATGCTGGATACAAGGTCCTGACCAGAGTGACAGCCGTCATCCTGAGTGTTGACGATGCAACAACAGGAGGTCCGCCCATGATGATTCGTCTCGACAGCGTCACCTTTTCAAACGGAACGACAGCTCAAGACATTGGTGAAGTTAATTCAAGTGGGCCTACCACCGGAATGTTTAGACTTGGGGCACTCGGAGAAGAACCCGTGGATGCTTTGGTCTTTTCCGTGCCCGACATTGTCCCTCAAAACGCTTCTTCAGTAGACGTTGTCGTCCGATTTGATGGATGCATCGAGACAGGTGAACGTAACTTTCTTTCTATAAAACAAAATGTTTTCCGTATGTTAATAGGCAACATGGGCAGCATCATATCCCGCATTTTCCTTCGAGTCCTGTACCATGTATAACATGTAAACTATGCATGTTACTCGTTAGAAGGAAACAATGAGAATGAAAGTTGATACTATTATCCTGTTTACTTTCTAGATGTACAAAAATCGCAGCAGAATGAACTTAACCTCGGTTTAAATATGGATTTTTTTTAACACAAGACACGGATCAAAGCATTTCATTTTCTGGTATATGTACAATAGATCATTTCTGCTTGTTCTTCCAAATGTGTGTATACAGAGACCATAACTACAGTGGTGACCACGAGTGTTGCTACCACCACCACACCAGCAACCACTACAACACCGGCTACCACTACCACGACAGAAGTGACGACTGCAGTCATGACAACAGGAAGTACCACAGCTGTCGAAGAGACAACCACCGTCACGACAACGACACCTGAAGTCACCACCACTGAAACAACTACTAGATTGGCAACAACAACTCCAGGTATTTATCCTTTTCACCTCCAAATAATCACTTTATATTCCCAGAGTATAAAAACCATGTACTAAAAATACTTCACCTTGTTAACTTGGCTTAAAATTGTATTATCATTGAGGTATCTAAATGCAGAAGGAAGTGTACAGTTTAGAATTTATGATGTAGCATTGGCCACACAGAGATAACATTTTTCAGAAATGTAGATGGAGCTGTTTATAACATACTTAATTATTCGTGCTTGTTGTGCCTTGTTCTGTTTGGTGATATCAATATAGTACATGGTGTGTTCTGCAAAGGGAAATGCGGGATAATGCAACAACTTTACAGCGCCCCTCTGTGTCTAATTGCTGTGTGTCTCTTTTCTTTTGTGTGACATTTGATTTCGTGTCAGGTGATTGCGCGGAAAACCTGAATGATGATAGTAAGCCGGATCCAGTGATAACACTCCAGACATCCGACATGGCTAACGTTACTCCAGATCAAACTGTCACACTTTCCAGTGGGACATCGTCAATCACCGTTCGATTCGGAAGTAGTGATGCTGGATACAAGGTCCTGACCAGAGTGACAGCCGTCATCCTGAGTGTTGACGATGCAACAACAGGAAGTCCGCCCATGATGATTCGTCTCGACAGCGTCACTTTTTCAAACGGAACGACAGCTCAAGACATTGGTGAAATTAATTCAAGTGGGCCAACCACCGGAATGTTTAGACTTGGGGCACTCGGAGAAGAACCCGTGGATGCTTTGGTCTTTTCCGTGCCCGACATTGTCCCTCAAAACGCTTCTTCAGTAGACGTTGTCGTCCGATTTGATGGATGCATCGAGACAGGTGAATATAATTTACTTTCTTAACAAAAATTGGTTTCCGTATGTTAATAGGCCACATGGGCAGCATCATATCCCGCATATTCCTTTAAGTCCTGTACCAGGTAAAGCAAGCTCCAGTGATCATTGCCATGTATATCAGGTAAACAATGCATGTTACCCGTTAGAAGGAAACAATGCATGTTACTCGTTAGAAGGAAACAATGAGAAAGAAAGTTGATACTATTATCCTGTTTACTTTCTAGATGTACAAAAATCGCAGCAGAATGAATGAATGAATGGTTTAAATATGGATTCTTTTTAAAACAAGACACGGATCAAAGCATTTCATTTCATGGTATATGCACAATAGATCATTTCTGCTTGTTCTTCCAAATGTTTTTATACAGAGACCATAACTACAGTAGTGACCACGAGTGTTGCTACCACCACCACACCAGCAACCACTACAACACCGGCTACCACTACCACGACAGAAATGACGACTGCAGTCATGACAACAGGAAGTACCACAGCTGTCGAAGAGACAACCACCGTCACGACAACGACACCTGAAGTCACCACCACTGAATCAACTACCACAATGACAACAACAACTCCAGGTATTTATATTTTCCAAATCCGAATAAGGACTTCAAACTACTAGTGTAGAACATTTACAAGGGGATCACACCGGTATATTTTGCTGTAAAGGGTATAATCTTGAAGTATCTACTTCCAAAAAAAGGTGTATGGGGTTCGCAACGTGTAATTTATTCGTGCCTAAAAATAGGTTAAGGCGTTGCAGAGTTTCAAGAAAAAAATATATGGTGAAAAACTTAGAAATAAAGGAATTGATATGAGTAAGGAATAGCGATTGTTCGTATTCCGTGATTACTATTTCAAGAAGTTCAATACATTGTGCAAGGCTCAATTACGGTTTTGATTTTAGAGTATTGAAATGTTATCTTGAAGAGCGGGTTATCCATTACAGTTGGAAAAAAGCAACTCCTGGAATATCTAGAGCAATTTGTTACAAGTCTGTAGTATCTAGCATAGTGGAGGTAGGCAGGCAGATATGAAGGCGAGAAAACAGAGCTCAAACGGACAAAATGGTGCCTGAACGTTCATGCAGGAATAATTTAGTAGAAAAGAAAGAACTCAGTAACCATGATGATATGCTATAAAATATGCATGGGAAATTTGAACAGAACAGAGAAGATAAATGGACCTAGATAAGGCTCATATATAAGCACTTAAGAAGAATGAAAGTTTGAAAGAAGAAGAAGGAGAATAGGTATATATATACATACGTTGAATAATAAAAGGCACGACTAAGGGCTTCAATGCAATACTAATTACGATATTAATAATTATAATAATAAATAGCATTCATACTACAGGTGTTTTTCCTCAAAAAGAACACTTGGCTTGAGGATCCAGCATCAGTACCCTCATCATGGCCGAGATGCCAAATATACAGTGCTCTAGCATATTGTGTAACTGATAACACCTGACTGGAGTGTGGCAAAAAATGGATTAACGTCCTGCAAAAGGATTTTAATGTCAGACTGGGATTCAACCTCCAAACCTTGGATTGACAGATACAAAAACAAATCACTATACCACCAAATTCCCATTCGTTCCTTTTCCAGAGTGTACACTCTGTTTCAACATCTTTCCTCGTGCTACAAGGGAGATGTTCAAAACGTAACAAAGATTTAAATTTTATATTTAATTTCTTGTAGGTACTACACTAAAACAGATAACTCTCTTTTACCCTTCCCTCTTCTTCAAGGGAAGTGAAAGTAGTGCCAAACTTGGATTATCTATGAACGATCCTCATTTTTGTTGAACATCATTTCAAATTGATAAATTACCTTAACAATAACAATTACTCTCCTGTCTCATTCAACAGAACCAACCGATAGGGGTGACACGGGTAAGTACAAATGTCGTTATTTTGTCTATACAATCTAGTTTCGAATTGCTTTACAAAGTAATAGCAACTCTCAGCTGGATTACCTTAGACTGGATATGGAACTTTTATATAGGCGCTTGAAACTAATGTAGGCCTATATCACTTTGAAACCAGAAATCATACAACAGTCTCTCAAATATTTAAAGCATGTGTACATGCAAATGAACAATCAAAATTTTGTTCATTATTCAAAGTTATTCTACATTAGAATTCGCTTAGAAAAATCACCTGCCTCCCTTGGCTTTTCTTCGAATCTTTTTGTCCAATTATTGCTGCCCTCATGTCACAGATACTACCACACAGAGGACCCGAACATCAGCTGTGACTACGCCCACCACATCAAGCAGTGAGACTACCACCCTATCTACAACTACTTCTGGCCAAACAACGCCTGGTAGGATTTTGGAATTTTGTTTATACTAAATTTTTGCCCATAATACCCCCTTCACATACACGGATTTGCCTTACGAGTCCTTACTGATCGCACAAATACTCATATTTTTCATGGATTATTACAATTTGCCCACTTTTACAACCGATTTAAGATTGCAACGAGTTATTGAGAGCTATTTACGGTTTATTACGATTTATTACATCGTACTTACGTCAAAATGTTACGATTTAATACGTGTTGTCACGGATAACTACGAGCAACTAACGGGCATTTTACTAGCTTGTTACGGATCGTTACGAGTATATTACGGAATATTACAATTCATCAAAGCCTTTACGTCTGAGCTACGACCTATTTACGTGTTGTTACAATAGTTTCGAGTTGGTTACGTGTCCTTCAGACTTTGCATGTTTTATACTTTTCCCTAAATCGTAAACAATACTTAAGAATACGTACAGTATACGTATATATTCGTAAAGTACTCGTAATTAAACGTAAAGTGCTGCTATTAACTCGTAACGATCTGTAAAGCCATCGCAAAATGACCCGAATGAAATCGTAAAAAACACGAAGGGCGAATGGTTCTGTAAGTTAATCACATTCTACCATTGCTCTATTCTGCTTGTTGATTACAATATAGCACATGTTGAATTCTGCAAACGGAAATGTGGGATAATGCAACAACTTTACAGCGCCCCACTGTGCCTAATTGCTGTGTGTCTCTTTTCTTTTGTGTGACATTTGATATCGTGTCAGGTGATTGCGCGGAAAACCTGAATGATGATAGTAAGCCGGATCCAGTGATAACACTCCAGACATCCGACATGGCTAACGTTACTCCAGATCAAACTGTCACACTTTCCAGTGGGACATCGTCAATCACCGTTCGATTCGGAAGTAGTGATGCTGGATACAAGGTCCTGACCAGAGTGACAGCCGTCATCCTGAGTGTTGACGATGCAACAACGGGAGGTCCGCCCATGATGATTCGTCTCGACAGCGTCACCTTTTCAAACGGAACGACAGCTCAAGACATTGGTGAAGTTAATTCAAGTGGGCCAACCACCGGAATGTTTAGACTTGGGGCACTCGGAGAAGAACCCGTGGATGCTTTGGTCTTTTCCGTGCCCGACATTGTCCCTCAAAACGCTTCTTCAGTAGACGTTGTCGTCCGATTTGATGGATGCATCGAGACAGGTGAGCGTAACTTTCTTTCTATAAAACAAAATGGTTTCCGTATGTAAATAGGCCACATGGGCAGCATCATATCACGCATATTCGTTCGAGTCCTGTAGCAGGAAAAGCAAGCCCCTGTGATTCTTGCCATGTATAGCAGGTTAACAATGCATGTAATACTCGTTAGAAGGAAACAATGAGAATGAAAGTTGATATTGTTATCCTGTTTACTTTCTAGATGTACACAAATCGCAGCAAAATAAACTTAACCTTGGTTTAAATATGGATTCTTTTTAACACAAGGACACGGATCAAAGCATTTCATTTTCTGGTATATGCACAATAGATCATTTATGCTTGTTCTTCCAAATGTGTGTATACAGAAATCATAACTACAGTGGTGACCACGAGTGTTGCTACCACCACCACACCAGCAACCACTACAACGCCGGCTACCACTACCACGACAGAAATGACGACTGCAGTCATGACAACAGGAAGTACCACAGCTGTCGAAGAGACAACCACCGTCACGACAACTACACCTGAAGTCACCACCACTGAAACAACTACTAGATTGGCAACAACAACTCCAGGTATTTATCCTTTTCACCTCCAAATAATCACTTTATATTCCCAGAGTATAACAAACATGTACCAAAAATACTTCACCTTGTTAACTTGGCTTAAAATGGTATTATCATTGAGGTTTCTAAATGCAGAAGGAAGTGTACAGTTTAGAAAGTATGATGTAGCATTGGCCACACAGAGATAACATTTTTCAGAAATTCAGATGGAGCTGTTTATAACATGCTTGATTATTCGTGCTTGTTGTGCCTTGTTCTGTTTGGTGATTACAATATAGTACATGTTGTGTTCTGCAAAGAGAAATGCGGGATAATGCAACAACTTTACAGCAACCCTCTGTGTCTAATTGTTGTGTGTCTCTTTTCTTTTGTGTGACATTTGATTTCGTGTCAGGTGATTGCGCGGAAAACCTGAATGATGATAGTAAGCCGGATCCAGTGATAACACTCCAGACATCCGACATGGCTAACGTTACTCCAGATCAAACTGTCACACTTTCCAGTGGGACATCGTCAATCACCGTTCGATTCGGAAGTAGTGATGCTGGATACAAGGTCCTGACCAGAGTGACAGCCGTCATCCTCAGTGTTGACGATGCAACAACAGGAAGTCCGCCCATGATGATTCGTCTCGACAGCGTCACTTTTTCAAACGGAACGACAGCTCAAGACATTGGTGAAATTAATTCAAGTGGGCCAACCACCGGAATGTTTAGACTTGGGGCACTCGGAGAAGAACCCGTGGATGCTTTGGTATTTTCCGTGCCCGACATTGTCCCTCAAAACGCTTCTTCAGTAGATGTTGTCGTCCGATTTGATGGATGCATCGAGACAGGTGAATATAACTTACTTTCTAAACAAAAATGGTTTCCGTATGTTAATAGGCCACATGGGCAGCATCATATCCCGTATATTCCTTCGAGTCCTGTACCAGGTAAAGCAAGCCCCTGATATTATTGCCATGTATAGCAGGTAAACAATGCATGCTACTCGTTAGAAGGAAACGATGAGAATGAAAGTTGATACTATTATCCTGTTTACTTTCTAGATGTACACAAATTGCAGCAGAATGAACTTAGCCTTGGTTTAAATATGGATTCTTTTTAACACAAGACACGGATCAAAGTATTTCATTTTCTGGTATTTGCACAATAGATCATTTCTGCTTGTTCTTTTAAATGTGTGTATACAGAGACCATAACTACAGTGGTGACCACGAGTGTTGCTACCACAACCACACCAGCAACCACTACAACGCCGGCTACCACTACCACGGCAGAAATGACGACTGCAGTCATGACAACAGGAAGTACCACAGCTGTCGAAGAGACAACCACCGTCACGACAACGACACCTGAAGTCACCACCACTGAAACAACTACTAGATTGGCAACAACAACTCCAGGTATTTATCCTTTTCACCTCCAAATAATCACTTTATATTCGCAGAGTATAAAAAACATGTACCAAAAATACTTCACCTTGTTAACTTGGCTTAAAATGGTATTATCATTGAGGTATCTAAATGCAGAAGGAAGTGTACACTTTAGAAAGTATGATGTAGCATTGGCCACACAGAGATAACATTTTTCAGAAATTCAGATGGAGCTGTTTATAACATGCTTGATTATTCGTGCTTGTTGTGCCTTGTTCTGTTTGGTGATTACAATATAGTACATGTTGTGTTCTGCAAAGAGAAATGCGGGATAATGCAACAACTTTACAGCAACCCTCTGTGTCTAATTGTTGTGTGTCTCTTTTCTTTTGTGTGACATTTGATTTCGTGTCAGGTGATTGCGCGGAAAACCTGAATGATGATAGTAAGCCGGATCCAGTGATAACACTCCAGACATCCGACATGGCTAACGTTACTCCAGATCAAACTGTCACACTTTCCAGTGGGACATCGTCAATCACCGTTCGATTCGGAAGTAGTGATGCTGGATACAAGGTCCTGACCAGAGTGACAGCCGTCATCCTGAGTGTTGACGATGCAACAACAGGAAGTCCGCCCATGGTGATTCGTCTCGACAGCGTCACTTTTTCAAACGGAACGACAGCTCAAGACATTGGTGAAATTAATTCAAGTGGGCCAACCACCGGAATGTTTAGACTTGGGGCACTCGGAGAAGAACCCGTGGATGCTTTGGTCTTTTCCGTGCCCGACGTTGTCCCTCAAGACGCTTCTTCAGTAGACGTTGTCGTCCGATTTGATGGATGCATCGAGACAGGTGAATATAACTTACTTTCTAAACAAAAATGGTTTCCGTATGTTAATAGGCCACATGGGCAGCATCATATCCCGCATATTCCTTCGAGTCCTGTACCAGGTAAAGCAAGCCCCTGATATTATTGCCATGTATAGCAGGTAAACAATGCATGTTACTCGTTAGAAGGAAACGATGAGAATGAAAGTTGATACTATTATCCTGTTTACTTTCTAGATGTACACAAATTGCAGCAGAATAAACTTAACCTTGGTTTAAATATGGATTCTTTTTAACACAAGACACGGATCAAAGTATTTCATTTTCTGGTATTTGCACAATAGATCATTTCTGCTTGTTCTTCCAAATGTGTGTATACAGAGACCATAACTACAGTGGTGACCTCGAGTGTTGCTACCACCACCACACCAGCAACCACTACAACGCCGGCTACCACTACCACGACAGAAATGACGACTGCAGTCATTACAACAGGAAGTACCACAGCTGTCGAAGAGACAACCACCGTAACGACAACGACACCTGAAGTCACCACCACTGAATCAACTACCACAATGACAACAACAACTCCAGGTATTTATATTTTTTCAAACCCGAATAAGCACTTCAAACTTCTAGTGTAAGAACATTTACAAGGGGATCACACCGGTATATTTTGCTGTAAAGGGTATAATCTTGAAGTATCTACTTCCAAAAAAAGGTGTATGGGTTTCGCAACGTGTAATTTATTCGTGCCTAAAAATAGGTTAAGGCGTTGCAGAGTTTCAAGAAAAAAATATATTGTGAAAAACTTAGAAATAAAGAAATTGATATGAGAAAGTTATGGCGATTGTTCGTATTTCGGGATTACTATTTCAAGAAGTTGAATACATTGTGCGAGGCTCAATTACGGTTTTGATTTTAGAGTAATAATAATAACTTTTATTTACCCAGGGTAGCAACTTCAGTTATGAAACTGTTCTTGCAGCGGGCCCTGCATAACATAATATGTTATTACTACCCTTCTCCAATCTAATATGCTGAGTGCCTAGCTAGAAGGCAGAAGGTCCCATTGTTATAAGTCTTTGGTATGACTCGGCCGGGGTGTGAACCCACGACCTCCCGTTCATGAGGCGGGCGCTATAACGACTGAGCAACCATGCCCGGTTGAACTGTTATCTTGAAGAGCAGGTTATCCATCACAGTTGGAAAAAAGCAACTCCTGGAATATCTAGAGCAATTTATTACAAGTCTGTAGTATCTAGCATAGTGGAGGTAGGCAGGCAGATATAAAGGCGAGAAAACAGAGCTCAAACGGACAAAATGGCGCCTGAACGTTCATGCAGGAATAATTTAGTAGAAAAGAAAGAACTCAGTAACCACGATGATATGCTATAAAATATGCATGGGAAATTTGAACAGAACAGAGAAGATGAATGGACCTACATAAGGCTCATATATAAGCACTTAAGAAGAATGAAAGTTTGAAAGAAGAAGAAGGAGAATAGGTATATATATATACATACGTTGAATAATAAAAGGCACGACTAAGGGCTTCAATGCAATACTAATTACGATATTAATAATTATAATAATAAATAGCATTCATACTACAGGTGTTTTTCCTCTAAAAGAACACTTGTCTTGAGGATCCAGCATCAGTACCCTCATCATGGCCGAGATACCAAATATACAGTGCTCTAGCATATTGTGTAACTGATAACACCTGACTGGAGTGTGGCAAAAAATGGATTAACGTCCTGCAAAAGGATTTTAATGTCAGACTGGGATTCAACCTCCAAACCTTGGATTGGCAGATACAAAAACAAATCACTATACCACCAAATTCCCATTCGTTCCTTTTCCAGAGTGTACACTCTGTTTCAACATCTTTCCTCGTGCTACAAGGGAGATGTTCAAAACGTAACAAAGATTTAAATTTTATATTTAATTTCTTGTAGGTACTACACTAAAACAGATAACTCTCTTTTACCCTTCCCTCTTCTTCAAGGGAAGTGAAAGTAGTGCCAAACTTGGAATGTCTATGAACAATCCCTCATTTTTGTTGAACATCATTTCAAATTGATAAATTACCTTAACAAAAACCATTACTGTCCTTTCTCATTCAACAGAACCAACCGATAGGGGTGACACGGGTAAGTACAAATGTCGATATTTTGTCTATACAATCTAATTTCGAATTGCTTTACAAAGTAATAGCAACTCTCAGCTGGATTACCTTAGACTGGATATGGAACTTTTATATAGGCGCTTGAAACTAATGTAGACCTATATCACTTTGAAACCAGAAATCATACAACAGTCTCTCAAATATTTAAAGCATGTATACATGCAAATGAACAATCAATATTTGTTCATTATTCAAAGTTATTCTACATTAGAATTCGCTTAGAAAAATCACCTGCCTCCCTTGGCTTTTCTTTGAATCTTTTTGTCCAATTATTGCTGCCCTCATGTCACAGATACTACCACACAGAGGACCCGAACATCAGCTGTGACTACGCCCACCACATCAAGCAGTGAGACTACCACCCTGTCTACAACTACTTCTGGCCAAACAACGCCTGGTAGGATTTTGGAATTTTGTTTATACTAAATTTTTGCCCATAATACCCCCTTCACATACACGGATTTGTCTTACGAGTCCTTACTGATCGCACAAATTCACATATTTTTCACGGATTATTACAATTTGCCCACTTGTACAACCGATTTAAGATTGCAACAAGTTATTAAGAGCTATTTACGGTTTATTACGATTTATTACATCGTACTTACGTCAAAATGTTACGATTTTAATACGTGTTCTCACGGATAACTACGAGCAACTAACGGGCATTTTACTAGCTCTTTACGTATCGTTACAAGTATATTACAGAATATGACAATTCATCAAAGCTTTTACGTCTGAGCTACGACCTATTTACGTGTTGTTACGAAAAGTTACGAGTTAGTTACGTGTTCTTCAGACTTTGCATGTTTTATACCTTTCCCTAAATCGTAAACAATACTTAAGAATACGTACAGTATACGTATATATTCGTAAAGTACTCGTAATTAAACGTAAAGTGCTGCTATTTACTCGTAACGATCTGTAAAGCCATCGCAAAATGACCCGAATGAAATCGTAAAAAACACGAAGGGCGAATGGTTCTGTAAGTTAATCACATTCTGCCATTGCTCTATTCTGCTTGTTGATTACAATATAGCACATGTTGTATTCTGCAAAAAGATATGCAGAATAATGCAAAAACTTTACAGCGCCCCACTGTGCCTAATTGCTGTGTGTCTCTTTTCTTTTGTGTGACATTTGATATCGTGTCAGGTGATTGCGCGGAAAACCTGAATGATGATAGTAAGCCGGATCCAGTCATAACACTCCAGACATCCGACATGGCTAACGTTACTCCAGATCAAACTGTCACACTTTCCAGTGGGACATCGTCAATCACCGTTCGATTCGGAAGTAGTGATGCTGGATACAAGGTTCTGACCAGAGTAACAGCCATCATCCTGAGTGTTGACGATGCAATAACAGGAAGTCCGCCCATGATGATTCGTCTCGACAGCATCACTTTTTCAAATGGAACGACAGCTCAAGACATTGGTGAAATTAATTCAAGTGGGCCAACCACCGGAATGTTTAGACTTGGGGCACTCGGAGAAGAACCCGTGGATGCTTTGGTCTTTTCCGTGCCCGACGTTGTCCCTCAAAACGCTTCTTCAGTAGACGTTGTCGTCCGATTTGATGGATGCATCGAGACAGGTGAATATAACTTACTTTCTAAACAAAAATGGTTTCCGTATGTTAATAGGCCACATGGGCAGCATCATATCCCAAATATTCCTTCGAGTCCTGTACCAGGTAAAGCAAGCCCCTGTGATTCTTGCCATGTATAGCAGGTAAACAATGCATGTTACTCGTTAGAAGGAAACAATGAGAATGAAAGTTGATACTATTATCCTGTTTACTTTCTAGATGTACACAAATCGCAGCAGAATGAACTTAACCTTGGTTTAAATATGGATTCTTTTTAACACAAGACACGGATCAAAGCATTTCATTTTCTGGTATATGCACAATAGATCATTTCTGCCTGTTCTTTTAAATGTGTGTATACAGAGACCATAACTACAGTGGTGACCACGAGTGTTGCTACCACCACCACACCAGCAACCACTACAACGCCGGCTACAACTACCACGACAGAAATGACGACTGCAGTCATGACAACAGGAAGTACCACAGCTGTCGAAGAGACAACCGCCGTCACGACAACGACTCCTGAAGTCACCACCACTGAAACAACTACTAGAGTGGCAACAACAACTCCAGGTATTTATCCTTTTCACCTCCAAATAATTACTTTATATTCCCAGAGTATAAAAAACATGTACCAAAAATACTTCACCTTGTTAACTTGGCTTAAAATGGTATTATCATTGAGGTATCTAAATGCAGAAGGAAGTGTACAGTTTAGAAAGTATGATGTAGCATTGGCCACACAGAGATAACATTTTTCAGAAATTCAGATGGAGCTGTTTATAACATGCTTGATTATTCGTGCTTGTTGTGCCTTGTTCTGTTTGGTGATTACAATATAGTACATGTTGTGTTCTGCAAAGGGAAAAGCTGGATAATGCAACAAATTTACAGCAACCCTCTGTGTCTAATTGCTGTGTGTCTCTTTTCTTTTGTGTGACATTTGATTTCGTGTCAGGTGATTGCGCGGAAAACCTGAATGATGATAGTAAGCCGGATCCAGTGATAACACTCCAGACATCCGACATGGCTAACGTTACTCCAGAACAAACTGTCACACTTTCCAGTGGGACATCGTCAATCACCGTTCGATTCGGAAGTAGTGATGTTGGATACAAGGTCCTGACCAGAGTGACAGCCGTCATCCTGAGTGTTGACGATGCAATAACAGGAAGTCCGCCCATGATGATTCGTCTCGACAGCGTCACTTTTTCAAACGGAACGACAGCTCAAGACATTGGTGAAATTAATTCAAGTGGGCCAACCACCGGAATGTTTAGACTTGGGCCACTCGGAGAAGAACCCGTGGATGCTTTGGTCTTTTCCGTGCCCGACGTTGTCCCTCAAAACGCTTCTTCAGTAGACGTTGTCGTCCGATTTGATGGATGCATCGAGACAGGTGAATATAACTTACTTTCTAAACAAAAATGGTTTCCGTATGTTAATAGGCCACATGGGCAGCATCATATCCCACATATTCCTTCGAGTCCTGTACCAGGTAAAGCAAGCCCCTGTGATTCTTGCCATGTATAACAGGTAAACAATGCATGTTACTCGTTAGAAGGAAACAATGAAAATGAAAGTTGATACTATTATCCTGTTTACTTTCTAGATGTACACAAATCGCAGCAGAATGAACTTAACCTTGGTTTAAATATGGATTCTTTTTAACACAAGACACGGATCAAAGCATTTCATTTTCTGGTATATGCACAATAGATCATTTCTGCCTGTTCTTTTAAATGTGTGTAAACAGAGACCATAACTACAGTGGTGACCACGAGTGTTGCTACCACCACCACACCAGCAACCACTACAACGCCGGCTACCACTACCACGACAGAAATGACGACTGCAGTCATGACAACAGGAAGTACCACAGCTGTCGAAGAGACAACCACCGTCACGACAACGACACCTGAAGTCACCACCACTGAAACAACTACTAGAGTGGCAACAACAACTCCAGGTATTAATCATTTTCACCTCCAAATAATTACTTTATATTCCCAGAGTATAAAAAACATGTACCAAAAATGCTTCACCTTGTTAACTTGGCTTATAATGGTATTATCATTGAGGTATCTAAATGCAGGAGGAAGTGTACATTTTAGAATATATGATGTAGCATTGGCCACACAGAGATAACATTTTTCAGAAATTCAGATGGAGCTGTTTATAACATGCTTGATTATTCGTGCTTGTTGTGCCTCGTTCTGTTTGGTGATTACAATATAGAACATGTTGTGTTCTGCAAAGGGAAATGCGGGATAATACAACAACTTTACAGCACCCCTCTGTGTCTAATTGCTGTGTGTCTCTTTTCTTTTGTGTGACATTTGATTTCGTGTCAGGTGATTGCGCTGAAAACCTGAATGATGATAGTAAGCCGGATCCAGTGATAACACTCCAGACATCCGACATGGCTAACGTTACTCCAGAACAAACTGTCACACTTTCCAGTGGGACATCGTCAATCACCGTTCGATTCGGAAGTAGTGATGTTGGATACAAGGTCCTGACCAGAGTGACAGCCGTCATCCTGAGTGTTGACGATGCAATAACAGGAAGTCCGCCCATGATGATTCGTCTCGACAGCGTCACTTTTTCAAACGGAACGACAGCTCAAGACATTGGTGAAATTAATTCAAGTGGGCCAACCACCGGAATGTTTAGACTTGGGCCACTCGGAGAAGAACCCGTGGATGCTTTGGTCTTTTCCGTGCCCGACGTTGTCCCTCAAAACGCTTCTTCAGTAGACGTTGTCGTCCGATTTGATGGATGCATCGAGACAGGTGAATATAACTTACTTTCTAAACAAAAATGGTTTCCGTATGTTAATAGGCCACATGGGCAGCATCATATCCCACATATTCCTTCGAGTCCTGTACCAGGTAAAGCAAGCCCCTGTGATTCTTGCCATGTATAACAGGTAAACAATGCATGTTACTCGTTAGAAGGAAACAATGAAAATGAAAGTTGATACTATTATCCTGTTTACTTTCTAGATGTACACAAATCGCAGCAGAATGAACTTAACCTTGGTTTAAATATGGATTCTTTTTAACACAAGACACGGATCAAAGCATTTCATTTTCTGGTATATGCACAATAGATCATTTCTGCCTGTTCTTTTAAATGTGTGTAAACAGAGACCATAACTACAGTGGTGACCACGAGTGTTGCTACCACCACCACACCAGCAACCACTACAACGCCGGCTACCACTACCACGACAGAAATGACGACTGCAGTCATGACAACAGGAAGTACCACAGCTGTCGAAGAGACAACCACCGTCACGACAACGACACCTGAAGTCACCACCACTGAAACAACTACTAGAGTGGCAACAACAACTCCAGGTATTAATCATTTTCACCTCCAAATAATTACTTTATATTCCCAGAGTATAAAAAACATGTACCAAAAATGCTTCACCTTGTTAACTTGGCTTATAATGGTATTATCATTGAGGTATCTAAATGCAGGAGGAAGTGTACATTTTAGAATATATGATGTAGCATTGGCCACACAGAGATAACATTTTTCAGAAATTCAGATGGAGCTGTTTATAACATGCTTGATTATTCGTGCTTGTTGTGCCTCGTTCTGTTTGGTGATTACAATATAGAACATGTTGTGTTCTGCAAAGGGAAATGCGGGATAATACAACAACTTTACAGCACCCCTCTGTGTCTAATTGCTGTGTGTCTCTTTTCTTTTGTGTGACATTTGATTTCGTGTCAGGTGATTGCGCTGAAAACCTGAATGATGATAGTAAGCCGGATCCAGTGATAACACTCCAGACATCCGACATGGCTAACGTTACTCCAGATCAAACTGTCACACTTTCCAGTGGGACATCGTCTATCACCGTTCGATTCGGAAGTAGTGATGCTGGATACAAGGTCCTGACCAGAGTGACAGCCGTCATCCTGAGTGTTGACGATGCAACAACAGGAAGTCCGCCCATGATGATTCGTCTCGACAGCGTCACTTTTTCAAACGGAACGACAGCTCAAGACATTGGTGAAATTAATTCAAGTGGGCCAACCACCGGAATGTTTAGACTTGGGGCACTCGGAGAAGAACCCGTGGATGCTTTGGTCTTTTCCGTGCCCGACGTTGTCCCTCAAGACGCTTCTTCAGTAGACGTTGTCGTCCGATTTGATGGATGCATCGAGACAGGTGAATATAACTTACTTTTTAAACAAAAATGGTTTCCGTATGTTAATAGGCCACATGGGCAGCATCATATCCCGCATATTCCTTCGAGTCCTGTACCAGGTAAAGCAAGCCCCTGTGATTCTTGCCATGTATAGCAGGTAAACAATGCATGTTACTCGTTAGAAGGAAACAATGAGAATGAAAGTTGATACTATTATCCTGTTTACTTTCTAGATGTACAAAAATCGCAGCAGAATGAACTTAACCTTGGTTTAAATATGGATTCTGTTTAACACAAGACAGGGATCAAGGCATTTCATTTTCTGGTATATGCACAATAGATCATTTCTGCTTGTTCTTCCAAATGTGTGTATACAGAGACCATAACTACAGTGGTGACCACGAGTGTTGCTACCACCACCACACCAGCAACCACTACAACGCCGGCTACCACTACCACGACAGAAATGACGACTGCAGTCATGACAACAGGAAGTACCACAGCTGTCGAAGAGACAACCACCGTAACGACAACGACACCTGAAGTCACCACCACTGAATCAACTACCACAATGACAACAACAACTCCAGGTATTTATATTTTTCCAAATCCGAATAAGCAATTTAAACTACTAGTGTAGAACATTTACAAGGGGATGACACCCGTATATTTTGCTGGAAAGGGTATAATCTTGAAGTATCTACTTCCAAAAAAGGTGTATGGGTTTCGCAACGTGTAATTTATTCGTGCCTAAAAATAGGTTAAGGGATTGCAGTGTTTGAAGTAAAAAATATATGAAGAAAAAAATATATGGTGAAAAACTTAGAAATAAAGAAATTGATATAAGAAAGTTATAGCGATTGTTCGTATTCCGGGATTACTATTTCAAGAAGTTCAATAAATTGTGCAAGGCTCAATTACGGTTTTGATTTTAGAGTAATAATAATAACTTTTATTTACCCAGGGTAGCAACTTCAGTTATGAAACTGTTCTTGCAGCGGGCCCTGCATAACATAATATGTTATTACTACACTTCTCCAATCTAATATGCTGAGCGCCTAGCCAGAAGGCAGAAGGTCCCATTGTTATAAGTCTTTGGTATGACTCGGCCGGGGTGTGAACCCACGACCTCCCGTTCATGAGGCGGGCGCTCTAACGACTGAGCCACCATGCCCGGTTGAAATGTTTTCTTGAAGAGCAGGTTATCCATCACAGTTGGAAAAAAGCAACTCCTGGAATATCTAGAGCAATTTGTTACAAGTCTGTAGTATCTAGCATAGTGGAGGTAGTCAGGCAGATATAAAGGCGAGAAAACAGAGCTCAAACGGACAAAATGGCGCCTGAACGTTCATGCAGGAATAATTTAGTAGAAAAGAAAGAAATAAGTAACCACGATGATATGCTATAAAAATGCATGGGAAATTTGAACAGAACAGAGAAGATGAATGGACCTAGATAAGGCTCATATATAAGCACTTAAAAAGAATGGGAGTTTGAAAGAAGAAGGAGAATAGGTATATATATATATATATATACAAACGTTGAATGATAAAAGGCACGACTGAGGGCTTCAATGCAATACTAATTACCATATTAATAATTATAATAATATATAGCATTCATACTACAGGTGTTTTTCCTCAAAAAGAACACTTGTCTTGAGGATCCAGCATCAGTACCCTCATCATGGCCGAGATACTAAATATACAGTGCGCTAGCATATTGTGTAACTGATAACACCTGACTGGAGTGTGGCAAAAAACGGATTAACGTCCTGCAAAAGGATTTTAATGTCAGACTGGGATTCAACCTCCAAACCTTGGATTGACAGATACAAAAATAAATCACTATACCACCAAATCCCCATTCGTTCCTTTTCCAGAGTGTACACTCTGTTTCAACATCTTTCCTCATGCTACAAGGGAGATGTTCAAAATGTAACAAAGATTTAAATTTTATATTTAATTTCTTGTAGGTACTACACTAAAACAGATAACTCTCTTTTACCCTTCCTTCTTCTTCAAGGGAAGTGAAAGTAGTGCCAAACTTGGATTATCTATGAACTATCCCTCATTTTTGTTGAACATCATTTCAAATTGATAAATTACCTTAACAAAAACCATTACTCTCCTTTCTCATTCAACAGAACCAACCGATAGGGGCGACACGGGTAAGTACAAATGTCGATATTTTGTCTATACAATCTAATTTCAATTTGCTTTACAAAGTAAAAGCAACTCTCAACTGGATTACCATCAGACTGGATATGGAACTTTTATATAGGCGCTTGAAACTAATGTAGGCCTATATCACTTTGAAACCAGAAATCATACAACAGTCTCTCAAATATTTAAAGCATGTGTACATGCAAATGAACAATCAAAATTTTGTTCATTATTCAAAGTTATTCTACATTAGAATTCGCTTAGAAAAATCACCTGCCTCACTTGGCTTTCTTTGAATCTTTTTGTCCAATTATTGTTGCCCTCATGTCACAGATACTACCACACAGAGGACCCGAACATCAGCTGTGACTACGCCCACCACATCAAGCAGTGAGACTACCACCCTGTCTACAACTACTTCTGGCCAAACAACGCCTGGTAGGATTTTGGAATTTTGTTTATACTAAATTTTTGCCCATAATACCCCCTTCACATACACGGATTTGCCTTACGAGTCCTTACTGATCGCACAATTTCACAGATTTTTCACGGATTATTACAATTTGCCCACTTTTACAACCGATTTAAGATTGCAACGAGTTATTGAGAGCTATTTACGGTTTATTACGATTTATTACATCGTACTTACGTCAAAATGTCACGATTTAATACGTGTTGTCACGGATGATTACGAGCAACTTACGGGCATTTTACTAGCTCTTTACGGATCGTTACGAGTATATTACGGAATATTACAATTCATCAAAGCCTTTACGTCTGAGCTACGACCTATTTACGTGTTGTTACGAATAGTTTCGAGTTAGTTACGTGTCCTTCAGACTTTGCATGTATTATACCTTTCCCTAAATCGTAAACAATACTTAAGAATACGTACAGTATACGTATATATTCGTAAAGTACTCGTAATTAAACGTAAAGTGCTGCTATTAACTCATAACGATCTGTAAAGCCATCGCAAAATGACCCGAATGAAATCGTAAAACAAACGAAGGGCGAATGGTTCCGTAAGTTAATCACGTTCTGCCATTGCTCTATTCTGCTTGTTGATTACAATATAGCACATGATGTTTTCTGCAAAGGGAAATGCGGGATAATGCAACAACTTTACAGCGCCCCACTGTCCTAATTGCTGTGTGCCTCTTTTCTTTTGTGTGACATTTGATATCGTGTCAGGTGATTGCGCGGAAAACCTGAATGATGATAGTGTGCCAGATCCAGTGATAACACTCCAGACATCCGACATGGCTAACGTTACTCCAGATCAAACTGTCACACTTTCCAGTGGGACATCGTCAATCACCGTTCGATTCGGAAGTAGTGATGCTGGATACAAGGTCCTGACCAGAGTGACAGCCGTCATCCTCAGTGTTGACGATGCAACAACAGGAAGTCCGCCCATGATGATTCGTCTCGACAGCGTCACCTTTTCAAACGGAACGACAGCTCAAGACATTGGTGAAGTTAATTCAAGTGGGCCAACCACCGGAATGTTTAGACTTGGGGCACTCGGAGAAGAACCCGTGGATACTTTGGTCTTTTCCGTGCCCGACATTGTCCCTCAAAACGCTGCTTCAGTAGACGTTGTCGTCCGATTTGATGGATGCATCGAGACAGGTGAATGTAACTTATTTTCTATAAAAAAAATGGTTTCCGCATGTTAATAGGCCACATGGGCAGCATCATTTCCCGCATATTCCTTCGAGTCTTGTACAATGTATAACATGTAAACAATGCATGTTACTCGTTAGAAGGAAACAATGAGAATGAAAGTTGATACTATTATCCTGTCTACTTTCTAGATGTACACAAATCGCAGCAGAATGAACTTAACCTTGGTTTAAATATGGATTCTTTTTAACAAAAGACACGAATCAAAGCATTTCATTTTCTGGTATATGCACAATAGATCATTTATGCTTGTTCTTCCAAATTTGTGTTTACAGAGACCATAACTACAGTGGTGACCACGAGTGTTGCTACCACCACCACACCAGCAACAACTACAACGCCGGCTACCACTACCACGACAGAAATGACGACTGCAGTCATGACAACAGGAAGTACCACAGCTGTCGAAGAGACAACCACCGTCACGACAACGACACCTGAAGTCACCACCACTGAAACAACTACTAGAGTGGCAACAACAACTCCAGGTATTTATCCTTTTCACCTCCAAATAATCACTTGATATTCCCAGAGTATAAAAAACATGTACCAAAAATAATTCACCTTGTTAACTTGGCTTAAAATGGTATTATCATTGAGGTATCTTAATGCAGAAAGAAGTGTACAGTTTAGAAAGTATGATGTAGCATTGGCCACACAGAGATAAGATTTTTCAGAAATTCAGATGGAGCTGTTTATAACATGCTTGATTATTCGTGCTTGTTGTGCCTTGTTCTGTTTGGTGATTATAATATAAACAACTAATTATTTCATTCTGGACTATTTCTTCATTTCTGGACTGTAAAAAATACAGAAAATGCTATGAAATCCTTGTTTTAATTGATCTTTTATTAACCATCAAGTCACAAATCTCTGTTATTAATTGGTAGAAATAAAGGTAAATGTTCCTTTTTATTTCCTATCTTTTGCAAGAACAAAATAAAATTCATCTCAACCTCTCTACATGACCATGCATTCACTCTCTTTCCTTGTACCTCATCTTAAAACACAAAGCAATTAAAACAAACCAGAAAATTGTATTCATACAGGGATGCATTTTATTTTTATTTTATTGTTTAAATCACCAATTGACAGGTAACATATTTACAAATGTCATATTCATTCCTGATCAAAATAATAATGAATAAAAAATATAATAGACAGGTAACATAATTACAAATGTCATATTCATTCCTTATCAAAATAATAATGAATAAAAAAGATATTACCATTCTACAGGGCACTAAATGGTATAAGCGTTATACCAATCTACAGAGCACTAAAAAGTATAAGCGTTATACCAACCTACAGGGCACTAAATGGTATAAGCGTTATACCAATCTACAGAGCACTAAATGGTATAAGCGTTTTACCAATGTACAGGACACTAAATGGTATAAGCGTTATACCAATCTACAGAGCACTAAATGGTATAAGCGTTATACCAACCTACAGGGCACTAAATTGTATAAGCGTTATACCAATCTACAGGGCACTAAATGGTATAAGCGTTCTACCAACCTACAGGGCACTAAATGGTATAAGCGTTATACCAATCTACAGGGCACTGAGTGGTATAAGCGTTATACCAGGGACTTGTTAGTTCCAAGTCCCTGGTTATACCAACCTACAGGGCGCTAAATGGTATAAGCGTTATACCACTTACTGCCCTGCAGGTTTGTACAACGCTTATACCATTTAGTGCCCTGTAGGTTGGTATAACGCTTATACCATTTAGTGCCCTGTTGTTTGGTATAACGCTTATACCATTTAGTGCTCAATTGATAGATGTAACATTTATCCAGGGACTTGTGTTGCTATAGTAATAAGAGTCATGAGTCTTAAAATTAACTTTTTTTGTTTGTATTTCTGAAATTATTATGCCCTTTGCTTTACTATGCTTATTTTTCAATACTGAATGTCTTGCTTTACAAAGAAAAATAAAATTACCGAAACAAAATGATTGAAAGCCTGTTTTATTATTCGTTGCCATTGTAACACATTAACAATTCATGTGTAATTTATGAATTTGTTAATTTTGCAATTCATGAAATATTTAAATATTAGGCAGAACCCTCACTTAAAGGGTAATGATACATTTGTAATTAATTCTGGCTACTGGTTTCTTTCACATAGCCTTGAAGAAAAGTAAAAGAGAAATCTAGAACCTGAAAACTAAATAATTTCGGTGTAAATCTGGATTTCTGCTGTCCAGATTGATCATAGTACATGTTGTGTTCTGCAAAGGGAAATGCGGGATAATGCAACAACTTTACAGCGCCCCTCTGTGTCTAATTGCTGTGTGGCTCTTTTCTTTTGTTTGACATTTGATTTCGTGTCAGGTGATTGCGCGGAAAACCTGAATGATGATAGTAAGCCGGATCCAGTGATAACACTCCAAACATCCGACATGGCTAACGTTACTCCAGATCAAACTGTCACACTTTCCAGTGGGACATCGTCAATCACCGTTCGATTCGGAAGTAGTGATGCTGGATACAAGGTCCTGACCAGAGTGACAGCCGTCATCCTGAGTGTTGACGATGCAACAACAGGAAGTCCGCCCATGATGATTCGCCTCGACAGCGTCACTTTTTCAAACGGAACGACAGCTCAAGACATTGGTGAAGTTAATTCAAGTGGGCCAACCACCGGAATGTTTAGACTTGGGGCACTCGGAGAGGAACCCGTGGATGCTTTGGTCTTTTCCGTGCCCGACATTGTCCCTCAAAACGCTTCTTCAGTAGACGTTGTCGTCCGATTTGATGGATGCATCGAGACAGGTGAATGTAACTTATTTTCTATGAAAAAAATGTTTTCCGCATTTTGATAGGCCACATGGGCAGCATCATTTCCCGCATATTCCTTCGAGTCTTGTACCATGTATAACATGTAAACAATGCATGTTACTCGTTAGAAGGAAACAATGAGAATGAAAGATGATTTTATTATCCTGTTTACTTTCTAGATGTACACAAATCGCAGCAGAATAAACTTAACCTTGGTTTAAATATGGATTCTTTTTAACACAAGACACGGATCAAACCATTTCATTTTCTAGTATATGCACAATAGATCATTTTTGCTTGTTCTTCCAAATGTTTGTAAACAGAGACCATAACTACAGTGGCGACCACGAGTGTTGCTACCACCACCACACCAGCAACAACTACAACACCGGCTACCACTACCACGACAGAAATGACGACTGCAGTCATGACAACAGGAAGTACCACAGCTGTCGAAGAGACAACCACCGTCACGACAACGACACCTGAAGTCACCACCACTGAAACAACTACTAGAGTGGCAACAACAACTCCAGGTATTTATCCTTTTCACCTCCAAATAATCACTTTATATTCCCAGAATATAATAAACATGTAGCAAAAATACTTCACCTTGTTAACTTGGCTTAAAATGGTATTATCATTGAGGTATCTAAATGCAGAAGGAAGTGTACAGTTTAGAATGTTTGATGTAGCATTGGCCACAGAAAGATCACATTTTTCAGAAAATCAGATGGAGCTGTTTATAACATGCTTGATTATTCGTGCTTGTTGTGCCTTGATCTGTTTGGTGATAACAATTTAGTACATGTTGTGTTTTGCAAAGGGAAATGCGGGATAATGTAACAACTTTACAGCGCCCCTATGTGTCTAATTGCTGTGTCTCTTTTCTTTTATGTGACATTTGATTTTTTGACAGGTGATTGCGCGGAAAACCTGAATGATGATAGTAAGCCGGATCCAGTGATAACACTCCAGACATCCGACATGGCTAACGTTACTCCAGATCAAACTGTCACACTTTCCAGTGGGACATCGTCAATCACCGTTCGATTCGGAAGTAGTGATGCTGGATACAAGGTCCTGACCAGAGTGACAGCCGTCATCCTGAGTGTTGATGATGCAACAACAGGAAGTCCGCCCATGATGATTCGTCTCGACAGCGTCACTTTTTCAAACGGAACGACAGCTCAAGACATTGGTGAAGTTAATTCAAGTGGGCCAACCACCGGAATGTTTAGACTTGGGGCACTCGGAGAAGAACCCGTGGATGCTTTGGTCTTTTCCGTGCCCGACATTGTCCCTCAAAACGCTGCTTCAGTAGACGTTGTCGTCCGATTTGATGGATGCATCGAGACAGGTGAATGTAACTTATTTTCTATAAAAAAAAATGTTTTCCGCATGTTGATAGGCCACATGGACAGCATCATTTCCCGCATATTCCTTCGAGTCTTGTACCATGTATAACATGTAAACAATGCATGTTACTCGTTAAAAGGAAACAATGAGAATGTTAGTTGATACTATTATCCTGTTTACTTTCTAGATGTACACAAATCGCAGCAGAATGAACTTAACCTTGGTTTAAATATGGATTCTTTTTAACACAAGACACGGATCAAAGCATTTCATTTTCTAGTATATGCACAATAGATCATTTCTGCTTGTTCTTCCGAATGTTTGTAAACAGAGACCGTAACTACAGTGGCGACCACGAGTGTTGCTACCACCACCACACCAGCAACAACTACAACACCGGCTACCACTACCACGACAGAAATGACGACTGCAGTCATGACAACAGGAAGTACCACAGCTGTCGAAGAGACAACCACCGTCACGACAACGACACCTGAAGTCACCACCACTGAAACAACTACTAGAGTGGCAACAACAACTCCAGGTATTTATCCTTTTCACCTCCAAATAATCACTTTATATTCCCAGAATATAATAAACATGTAGCAAAAATACTTCACCTTGTTAACTTGGCTTAAAATGGTATTATCATTGAGGTATCTAAATGCAGAAGGAAGTGTACAGTTTAGAATGTTTGATGTAGCATTGGCCACAGAAAGATCACATTTTTCAGAAAATCAGATGGAGCTGTTTATAACATGCTTGATTATTCGTGCTTGTTGTGCCTTGATCTGTTTGGTGATAACAATTTAGTACATGTTGTGTTTTGCAAAGGGAAATGCGGGATAATGTAACAACTTTACAGCGCCCCTCTGTGTCTAATTGCTGTGTCTCTTTTCTTTTATGTGACATTTGATTTTTTGACAGGTGATTGCGCGGAAAACCTGAATGATGATAGTAAGCCGGATCCAGTGATAACACTCCAGACATCCGACATGGCTAACGTTACTCCAGATCAAACTGTCACACTTTCCAGTGGGACATCGTCAATCACCGTTCGATTCGGAAGTAGTGATGCTGGATACAAGGTCCTGACCAGAGTGACAGCCGTCATCCTGAGTGTTGACGATGCAACAACAGGAAGTCCGCCCATGATGATTCGTCTCGACAGCGTCACTTTTTCAAACGGAACGACAGCTCAAGACATTGGTGAAGTTCATTCAAGTGGGCCAACCACCGGAATGTTTAGACTTGGGGCACTCGGAGAAGAACCCGTGGATGCTTTGGTCTTTTCCGTGCCCGACATTGTCCCTCAAAACGCTTCTTCAGTAGACGTTGTCGTCCGATTTGATGGATGCATCGAGACAGGTGAATGTAACTTATTTTCTATAAAAAAAAATGTTTTCCGCATGTTGATAGGCCACATGGGCAGCATCATTTCCCGCATATTCCTTCGAGTCTTGTACCATGTATAACATGTAAACAATGCATGTTACTCGTTAAAAGGAAACAATGAGAATGAAAGTTGATACTATTATCCTATTTACTTTCTAGATGTACACAAATCGCAGCAGAATGAACTTAACCTTGGTTTAAATATGGATTCTTTTTAACACAAGACACGGATCAAAGCATTTCATTTTCTAGTAGATGCACAATAGATCATTTCTGCTTTTTTTTCCAAATGTTTGTCAACAGAGACCATAACTACAGTGGTGACCACGAGTGTTGCTACCACCACCACACCAGCAACAACTACAACACCGGCTACCACTACCACGACAGAAATGACGACTGCAGTCATGACAACAGGAAGTACCACAGCTGTCGAAGAGACAACCACCGTCACGACAACGACACCTGAAGTCACCACCACTGAAACAACTACTAGAGTGGCAACAACAACTCCAGGTATTTATCCTTTTTACCTCCAAATAATCACTTTATATTTTCAGAGTATAAAAAACATGCACCAAAAATGCTTCACCTTGTTAACATGGCTTAAAATGGTATTATCATTGAGGTATCTAAATGCAGAAGGAAGTTTACAGTTTGGAATGTTTGATGTAGCATTGCCCACACAGAGATCACATTTTTCAGAAAATCAGATGGAGCTGTTTATAACATGCTTGATTATTCGTGCTTGTTGTGCCTTGTTCTGTTTGGTGATTACAATTTAGTACATGTTGTGTTCTGCAAAGGGAAATGCCGGATAATGTAACAACTTTACAGCGCCCCTCTGTGTCTAATTGCTGTGTCTCTTTTTTTATATGTGACATTTGATTTTTTGACAGGTGATTGCGCGGAAAACCTGAATGATGATAGTAAGCCGGATCCAGTGATAACACTCCAGACATCCGACATGGCTAACGTTACTCCAGATCAAACTGTCACACTTTCCAGTGGGACATCGTCAATCACCGTTCGATTCGGAAGTAGTGATGCTGGATACAAGGTCCTGACCAGAGTGACAGCCGTCATCTTGAGTGTTGACGATGCAACAACAGGAAGTCCGCCCATGATGATTCGTCTCGACAGCGTCACTTTTTCAAACGGAACGACAGCTCAAGCCATTGGTGAAGTTAATTCAAGTGGGCCAACCACCGGAATGTTTAGACTTGGGGCACTCGGAGAAGAACCCGTGGATGCTTTGGTCTTTTCCGTGCCCGACGTTGTCCCTCAAAACGCTTCTTCAGTAGACGTTGTCGTCCGATTTGATGGATGCATCGAGACAGGTGAATATAACTTACTTTCTAAACAAAAATTGGTTTCCATATGTTAATAGGCCACATGGGCAGCATCATATCCCGCATATTCCTTCGAGTCCTGTACCAGGTAAAACAAGCTCCAGTGATTCTCGCCATGTATAGCAGATTAACAATGCATGTTACTCGTTAGAAGGAAACAATGAGAATGAAAGTTGATACTATTATCCTGTTTACTTTCTAGATGTACAAAAATCGCAGGAGAATAAACTTAACCATGGTTTAAATATGGATTCTTTTTAACACAAGACACGGATCAAAGCATTTCATTTTCTGATATATGCACAATAGATCTTTTCTGCTTGTTCTTCCAAATGTGTGAATACAGAGACCATAACTACAGTGGTGACCACGAGTGTTGCTACCACCACCACACCAGCAACCACTACAACACCGGCTACCACTACCACGACAGAAATGACGACTGCAGTCATGACAACAGGAAGTACCACAGCTGTCGAAGAGACAACCACCGTAACGACAACGACACCTGAAGTCACCACCACTGAATCAACTACCACGATGACATCAACAACTCCAGGTATTTATATTTTCCAAATCCGAAGAAGCACTTCAAACTACTAGTGTAGAACATTTACAAGGGGATCACACCCGCATGTTTTGCTGGAAAGGGTATAATCTTGAAGTGTCTACTTACAAAAAAGGTGTATGGGTTTCGCAACGTGTAATTTATTCGTGCCTAAAAATAGGTTAAGGCGTTGCAGTGTTTGAAGAAAAAAAAATATGGTGAAAAACATAGAAATAAAGGAATTGATATGAGAAAGTTATAGCGATTGTTTGTATTCCATGATTACTATTTCAAGAAGTTTAATACATTGTGCAAGGTTCAATTACGGTTTTGATTTTAGAGTATTGAAATGTTATCTTGAAGAGCAGGTTATCCATCACAGTTGTAAAAAAGCAACTCCTGGAATATCTAGAGCATTTTGTTACAAGTCTGTAGTATCTAGCATAGTGGAGGTAGGCAGGCAGATATAAAGGCGAGAAAACAGGGCTCAAACGGACAAAATGGCGCCTGAACGTTCATGCAGGAATAATTTAGTAGAAAAGAAAGAACTCAGTAACCATGATGATATGCTATAAAATATGCATGGGAAATTTGAACAGAACAGAGAAGATGAATGGACCTAGATAAGTCTCATATATAAGCACTTAAAAAGAATGGGAGTTTGAAAGAAGAAGAAGGAGAATAGGTATATATATACACACGTTGAATGATAAAAGGCACGACTGAGGGCTTCAATGCAATACTAATTACGATATTAATACTTATAATAATATATAGCATTCATACTACAGGTGTTTTTCCTCAAAAAGACGCTTGTCTGGAGGATCCAGCATCAGTACCCTCATCATGGCCGAGATACCAAATATACAGTGCTCTAGCATATTGTGTAACTGATAACATCTGACTGGAGTGTGGCAAAAAATGGATTAACGTCCTGCAAAAGGATTTTAATGTCAGACTGGGATTCAACCTCCAAATCTTGGATTGACAGATACAAAAATAAATCACTATACCACCAAATTCCCATTCGTTCCTTTTCCAGAGTGTACACTCTGTTTCAACAGCTTTCCTCATGCTACAAGGGAGATGTTCAAAATGTAACAAAGATTTAAAATGTTATATTTAATTTCTTGTAGGTACTACACTAAAACAGATAACTCTCTTTTACCCTTCCCTCTTCGTCAAGGGAAGTGAAAGTAGTGCCAAACTTGGATTATCTATGAACAATCCCTCATTTTTGTTGAACATCATTTCAAATTGATAAATTACCTTAACGAATAACCATTACTCTCCTTTCTTATTCAACAGAACCAACCGATAGGGGCGACACGGGTAAGTACAAATGTCGTTATTTTGTCTATACAATCTAATTTCGAATTGCTTTGCAAAGTAATAGCAACTCTCAGCTGGATTACCATCAGACTGGATATGGAACTTTTATATAGGCGCTTGAAACTAATGTAGGCCTATATCACTTTGAAACCAGAAATCATACAACAGTCTCTCAAATATTTAAAGCATGTGTACATGCAAATGAACAATCAAAATTTTGTTCATTATTCAAAGTTATTCTACATTAGAATTCGCTTAGAAAAATCACCTGCCTCTCTTGGCTTTTCTTTGAACCTTTTTGTCTAATTATTGCTGCCTTCATGTCACAGATACTACCACACAGAGGACCCGAACATCAGCTGTGACTACGCCCACCACATCAAGCAGTGAGACTACCACCCTGTCTACAACTACTTCTGGCCAAACAACGCCTGGTAGGATTTTGGAATTTTGTTTATACTAAATTTTTGCCCATAATACCCCCTTCACATACACGGATTTGCCTTACGAGTCCTTACTGATCGCACAAATTCACAGATTTTTCACGGATTATTACAATTTGCCCACTTTTACAACCGATTTAAGATTGCAACGAGTTATTAAGAGCTATTTACAGTTTATTACGATTTATTACATCGTACTTACGTCAAAATGTCACGATTTAATACGTGTTGTCACGGATAACTACGAGCAACTTACGGGCATTTTACTAGCTTTTTACGTATCGTTACGAGTATATTACGGAATATTACAATTCATCAAAGCTTTTACGTGTGAGCTACGACCTATTTACATGTAGTTACGAATAGTTACGAGTTAGTTACGTGTCCTTCAGACTTTGCAAGTTTGATACCTTTCCCTAAATCGTAAACAATACTTAAGAATACGTACAATATACATATATATTCGTAAAGTACTCGTAATTAAACGTAAAGTGCTGCTATTAACTCGTAACGATCTGTAAAGCCATCGCAAAATGACCCGAATGAAATCGTATAAAACAGGAAGGGCGAATGGTTCTGTAAGTTAACCACATTCTGCAATTGCTCTAGTCTGCTTGTTGATTACAATATAGCACATGTTATATTCTGCAAAGGGAAATGCGGGATAATGCAAAAACTTTACAGCGCCCCACTGTGCCTAATTGCTGTGTGTCTCTTTTCTTTTGTGTGACATTTGATATCGTGTCAGGTGATTGCGCGGAAAACCTGAATGATGATAGTAAACCGGATCCAGTGATAACACTCCAGACATCCGATATGGCTAACGTTACTCCAGATCAAACTGTCACACTTTCCAGTGGGACATCGTCAATCACCGTTCGATTCGGAAGTAGTGATGCTGGATACAAGGTCCTGACCAGAGTGACAGCCGTCATCCTGAGTGTTGACGATACAACAACAGGTAGTCCGCCCATGATGATTCGTCTCGACAGCGTCACCTTTTCAAACGGAACGACAGCTCAAGACATTGGTGAAATTAATTCAAGTGGGCCAACCACCGGAATGTTTAGACTTGGGGCACTCGGAGAAGAACCCGTGGATGCTTTGGTCTTTTCCGTGCCCGATATTGTCCCTCAAAACGTTTCTTCAGTAGACGTTGTCGTCCGATTTGATGGATGCATCAAGACAGGTGAATATAACTTACTTTCTAAACAAAAATGGTTTCCGTATCTTAATAGGCCACATGGGCAGCATCATATCCCGCATATTCCTTCGAGTCCTGTACCAGGTAAAGCAAGCCCCTGTGATTCTTGCCATGTATAGCAGGTAAACAATGCATGTTACTCGTTAGAAGGAAACAATGAGAATGAAAGTTGATACCATTATCCTGTTTACTTTCTAGATGTACACAAATCGCACCAGAATGAGCTTAACCTCGGTTGAAATATGGATTTTTTTTTTAACACAAGACACGGAACGAAGCATTTCATTTTCTGGTATATGCACAATAGATCATTACCTCTTGTTCTTTTAAATTTGTGTACACAGAGACCATAACTACAGTGGTGACCACCAGTGTTGCTACCACTACCACACCAGCAACCACTACAACACCGGCTATCACTACCACGACAGAAATGACGACTGCAGTCATGACAACAGGAAGTACCACAGCTGTCGAAGAGACAACCACCGTCACGACAACGACACCTGAAGTCACCACCACTGAAACAACTACCACAAAGACAACAACTCCAGGTATTTATATTTTTTCAAATCCGAATAAGCACTTCAAACTACTAGTGTAGAACATGTACAAGGTGATCACACCCATATATTTGGCTAGAAAGGGTATACTTTTAAAGTATCTACTTCACAAAATACGTTGTATAGGGTTTCGCAACGTATGATCAAGCTGCAGCCTGACAAAGATAACCATTTTCAGAACTTTAGATGGCACTATTTATATTCCCCATGGTTATTTGTGCGTAAAATTAGGCTAAGGCGTTGCAGTGTTTGAAGAAAAAAAATACATGGTGAAAAATTTAGAATATATGGAAATGGTATCTTGAAGGGCAGGTTATCCATCACAGTTGGAAAAGCAACTCCTGGAATATCTAGAGCAATTTGTTACAAGACTGTTATATCTAGCATAGTGGAGGTAGGCAGGCCGATATAAAGGCATGAGAATAGGGCTCAAACGGACAAAATGGCGCCTTGACGATCATGCATGAATAATTTAGTAGAAAAGAAAGAACTCAATAACCACGATGATATGTTAAGGAATATGCATCGGAAATTTGAACATAATCGGATAAGACGAATGGACCTACATAGGGGTCACAAGTATTTGAAATGGTAGGGATTTTGGGAGAAGAAGAAGGAGAAATAATAAACACGCGTTAAATAAGTAAAAAGTCATTACATATTACCATATTAATTATTCTAATAAGTTGTTATGTGCATTAACATTAAAGGTGTTTTTCATCATCAAGAACACGTGTCAGGCACATTGAGCCGGTCTTGAGGCTCCAACGTCAGTTCATGGCTGTGATGCCAACTATTAAGAGTGATAGCATGTTGCGTAGCCGTTAACAGCTGCCTGGAGAGAGGCAATTATGGATTATCGTCGTGCAAAGGGATTTTAATATCGGAAAGGGATTCAGAAACCCAAACCTTTGATTGACAGATACAGAAATTAATCACTATACCACCACATTCCCATTTGTTCACGCTCCATATTGTACACTCTATTTCATTCTTTCCTCATGCTACGGAGGTGATGTTCAAAATGTTACAAAGATTTAAACTTCATATTTTATTTATTATTGTTACTACACTAAAAGGACAGAAAAGTATGTGACATTGGCAAGAGAGAAACATACAGAAATTTCTCTTTGTTTAATCTTTTCAGAGGTTTGTGCTGAACCCCTGGTAAAATTGGACGGAGTCGTGAGTATCACCGATTTGAGCGCTGCTCCAAGTGATCCCTCTAATCCATCATCCGGGTTTATAGCTACTTTCTCGCAGCCAGTACGGGTAACAAGTTTAGCAGTTCAAGGATTGACTAGTTCCTTTAGAGTGGAGTACAGAACTGCCCCGACTGATAGCCTACAGTATGTAGGTGGTGATGAATCGCCAACGGTGAGATTTTAAACTTATTTCCCACCAAATTACACACACAGCAAAGTTAAAGAAAGTGGACACTCTTAAATCATACATAGAGCCAATAGCTATTCAAATTTGAACGGCCTTGTGCATCTGTAAGCATCTAGTTCAACAATGAAATCAAAGAATGAGAAACAATGAAGATTAAGCTATGGATGTCAACCGTAGTCTCAAGTCAAGATGCCTCTACCCCCCCCCCCCCAAGATCGTGGAAGAGCCATACGATATATCCAATAGCCATCAACATTTGGATGGCCTGATGCCCCATTTCTTTACAATTGTTTTTCTTCAGAGACCCATTTATTATTCAATGGCTATTCTAACTGATATTTTCTTTTGTTGTTGCTGAGTGTATAGGCAGCAAAGAATGTTCACTGGAATGACCGATCGGAATGGATAAAAGCAAAGATTGTTAGTCAATACGGCTGGTATTACATTTCTGTACAATATTTTCAAAACGCGTGGGTCACGTAATAATGCCAACAGTGAGTTTTGGGGAATGCTAACCACCATTTACCAAAGAATTAAAACATTAATTAACAAACAGACAATTAAGGGAATGGCACAAATTGTGAGAAGAAATTTTTAAAAAAATCACTGGGACTGCCTCTTTAAAAAGTATAATTTATTTTAGAAAATTATTCAAAATGTCTGCAGTTGCTTTAAATGAATTAAAGAGGAATATATATGTTAAAGTATTCAAACATGTACCATTTTGCAGGAGTTTGCAGTCGATGCATCAGAACAAAGTATGGATCGAGTTTATATCAACATTCCTAATATGATAACCAATCTATTGGTTACACCGGTTGATACCGAAGATGTTATCTGGAGATTACAAATCTACGGTTGTACAGGTGAGAGTTTTGTTTAAGGCTCCTTCAGCCACGAAGCGGTAAACCGCCGTTGTGATATCTTTTTGAGGAAAAAAAAAGGTTCAAAAGAAATATTGTTTCTAATTGAGTCTACAGATGTCAAGTTTGTATTGAAAATATATTCATGAAATATGATGAAGGATATACATAATGTGCTCTGCATTTCATTATCATTTTCTACTGTGCCTTGTTTCATAAATTGAGACAACCGTGGTTACCATGAGTCAAGGTGTAAAAACAACAGCAATGACTTCTACCAATTTTGCATTGTTACAACGAGTGAGTACTGTGATGATTATGGTGATCATGAATATTAATGATAATGATTGTAACAAAAATAATAATGATAATAATACTAATAATGATAATACTGATAACAATACTAATCATGATAATACTGATATAATTTCAACAATGATAATAACAATTTCAATTAACACTACTGATACTACTAAAATTAACAATGAAAATAATATTATCGTCTTTGTTTGACTAGTAGTAGGAACTTTTAGATTTACACGACGAGAGCGTGGGCTGCCGCGTGTGACATTGTGTTAAGACACTGGGCCGTGCCCGGCAGTGCCTTAAAAGCACGTAACATTGCCTTTAAGGATGTGGCGGTCCACGTTCTCGTCGTGTAAATCTAAAAGTCCCTATTAAATGCCGTGTAGCTCGGCGAATACTGATTAATGCCATCTACGTCTTCTTTTGGACAACTGCACGTAAGCGAATGGACTTGATTAACGGTAGTCAGTGACTAAATGGTCAGCGTTCGCGAAACAGGCCGAAGTTCTCCTCACGGTTCGGTTTCGCGTATGTTGCAAGCACGTGATAGCTGCGGTCGGGTCGTCCGTAGTCGTATATTACCCAATAAGCCAGTTCACGGTTGCAGTCTGAGCATGAGCAGATCAAGGTCATTGCAGAACAAATTTGAAATACACGGAGACGGAATACTGGATACGTGCTCATGAAAGTTATGTAATCGTTATTCATTCTTGCACATTCAGTGCAATCCATGATACACAGGTGGAAGTATTCTTTGAAAAGGGGAAACAAAGACTAGCACCTCCATCGCTGTAGGAGTGATTATTCCAAAATGTAAAAAGTGGGACCTCTTCATGTTTTGAAGATCTGTGGATATTCGGGGTCATTGCAGTAATGTGCTAACCGTGAACTGGTCTATTGACCACGAGTCAGGCTACGCTGAAAAACACGTTTATATGTAGTTTAAACGTCAGTTTACACTCCCTTAAATACTTCTTTTCCTGTGGGCCCAACAGTGATCATTACTAAAGATATGTAATGCACCTGGGTCAACAAGGACGAATGAAAGAAAAGGAATAGACTAAAGATGCAAGCACCGGGAAAGACCGTTGGATATAAATGTCTTCATGAAATAGTTTCCTAATGTTAATAGGTCTGATGGGCAGTATCTACTCCGGAAACTTACTTCAAATCTTGATCAAAGCAACATTTTCTGCGATGAAATCATTCCCAATAGTGTAACTTAGTAGAAAAAAAAAATAGAACGACGCAGTTTGATCTTTATCTCCGGTTCATGTGTAGATGTATCAGTACCTTGCCAAAATAAGCAATACTTCGGATAAGATATGCAAATTGTTGTACACAAGACGCTGATCGTACCATTTGATCTTCTAGAATTTGCACAATTGATATTTTTTTCTTCCCAATTTGTATTGACATACAGAGACCATATCTACTGTGGTGACCACGAGTGTTTCTACCACTACCACCCCAGCAACCACTACAACGCCGGCTACCACTACCACGACAGAAATGGCGACTGCAGTCATGACAACAGGAAGTACCACAGCTATTGAAGAGACAACCACCGTCACGACAACGACACCTGAAGTCACCACCACTGAAGCAACTACAACAATGGCTACAACAACTTCAGGTACTCATCCTGTTCACCTCAAAATAATCACTGTATATTCCCAGAGTAAAACATTTCCAAAGTTATTTCACCTTTTCTACTTGGCTGGAAATGGTATTATCATTGAAGTACCTAAATGCAGAAAGAAGCGTACGGTTTAGCAATGTTTGATGTATCCTTGGCCACACAGAGATAACAGTTTTCAGAAATTCAGATGGAACTGTTTATAACGTGCTTCATTATTCGTGCTTGTTGTGCCCTGTTCTGCTTGTTGAATACAATATAGCACATGTTGTATTCTGCAAACGAAAAAGCGAGAAAATCCACATATTATACAGCGCCCTACTGTGCCTAATTATTGTGTGTTTCATTTCGTTTATGTGAATTTTGATATCGTTTAAGGTGACTGCGCGAAAAACCTGAATGATAATAGTCAGCCGGATCCGGTGATCACCCTCCAGACATCCGACATGACTGACGTTACTCCAGATCAAACTGTCACACTTTCCAGTGGGACATCGTCAATCACCGTTCGATTCGGAAGTAGTGATGCTGGATACAAGGTCCTGACCAGAGTGACAGCCGTCATCCTGAGTGTTGACGATGCAACAACTGGAAGTCCGCCCATGATGATTCGTCTCGACAGCGTCACCTTTTCAAACGGAACGACAGCTCAAGACTTTGGTGAAGTTAATTCAACTGGCCCAACCACCGGAATGTTTAGACTTGGGGCACTGGGAGAAGAACCCGTGGATGCTTTGGTCTTTTCCGTGCCCGACATTGTCCCTCAAAACGCTTCTTCAGTAGACGTCGTCGTCCGATTTGATGGATGCATCAAGACAGGTGAATATAACCTGCTTCATAATAATTGGCTTCCGAACGTAATTAGGCCACATGGAAAGTATCATTTCCCGCATATTCCGTCGGGTCCTGTACCAGGCAAAGCAAGCTCTTGTGATTCTTGCCATGTATAACATGTAAACAATGTGTGTAACTCATTAGAAGGGGAAAATGAGAATAAAACTCGATACTATTATCCTGTTTACTTTCTAGATGTACAAAAATCGCATCAGAATGAGCATTACCTCAGTTGAAATATGCATTCTTTGAACACAAGACACGGATCGAGGGCATTTCATTTTCTGGTATATGCACAACAGATCATTACTGCTTGTTCTTCCAAATGTGTGTTGACATACAGAGACCATAACTACTGTGGTGACCACGAGTGTTGCTACCACTACCACACCAGCAACCACTACAACGCCGGCTACCACTACCACGACAGAAATGGCGACTACAGTCATGACAACAGGAAGTACCACAGCTGTCGAAGAGACAACCACCGTCACGACAACGACACCTGAAGTCACCACTACTGAAACAACTACCACAATGACAACAACAACCCCAAGTATTTATCTTTTCCAACTCCAAATAAGCACTTCAAATAAGTAGTGTAAAACATGTACAAGGTGATCACACCCATATATTTGGCTGGAAAGGGTATAATCTTGAAGTATCTACTTAAAAAACACGGTGTATAGGTTTTGCAACGTATGATCAAGCTGCGGCCTCACAAAGATAACCATTTTCAGAACTTTAGATGCCATTATTTATATCCGTCATGGTTATTCTTGCCTAAAATGAGGTTAAGGCGTTGCAGTGTTTGAAGAAAAAAATATATTGTGACAAATTTAGAAATAAAGGAATTAATATGAGAAAGTTGAAGCGATTGTTCGTATTCCAGGAATATATTTCACGAACTTCAATACATTTTGCAAGGCTCAATTACGCTTTTGAATTTAGAGTGTGCAAATGGTTTCTTGAAGGGCAGGTTATCCATCACAGTTGGAAAAGCTACTCCTGGAATATCTAGAGCAATTTGTTACAAGTCTGTAGTATCTAGCATAGTGGAGGTAGGCAGGCAGATATAAAAGCGAGAAAACAGGGCTCAAATGGACAAAATGGCGCCTGAACGTTCATGCAGGAATAATTTAGTAGAAAAGAAAGAACTCAGTAACCACGATGATATGCTAAAGAATATGCATGGGAAATTTGAACAGAACAGAAAACATGAATGGACCGAGATAAGTCTCATATATAAGCACTTAAAAAGAATGGGAGTTTGAAAGAAGAAGAAGGAGGATATGCATGCCAAACACACGTTGAATGATAAAAGGCATGGCAGGGGGCTTCAATGCAATACTAATTATGATATTACTAATTATAATAATATATAGCATTCATACTACAGGTGTTTTTCCTCAAAAAGAACACGTGTCTGGCAAATCGAGTCAGTCTTGAGGATCCAGCATCAGTACCCTCAGTAGTAAAAGTAGTGCCAAACTTCTATTATTTATGAACAATCCCTCATTTTTGTTGAACATCATTTCAAATTGATAAATAACCTTAACGAATAACCATTACCCTCCTTCCTCATTTAACAGAAACAACTGAAAAGGGCGATACCGGTATGTACAAAAGTTTCTTTTGTAATATTTTCTTAATCCAAATTTATTTGGATCTGATAGGAACTCTGTTAGCTGGATTAACTGTAGACCGGATATTGTGCATTCATACAGGCGCTTAAAACAAACGTATATCACTTCGACGGGCGATTTTAGTTCCACTGATCATACAACAATCTCTTAAATTCGGTCAAAATTTGTACAAGCAAATGTGTAACCAGAATTCTGTTCATAACACTACAATGAGCTTTGAAAATTAATCACTAACTTGAAAGATAACGGCCATTCCAAAAAATGCGTTATTTTTGTTTTTCTCATATAAAGCATTGGGACGGATTTTTTTTTTTACATAATTACAATTTTACATTTTGAGCAGAATATTTCGTCCTCCGGAAATGACCTGATGCAATGGCACAAATTATGAAATAGCCTCATAATACCCTTAATATTGACGTTTCTGCAAAAGGATCCAGGTTTCCAACATCATTTTAGGTTGGTGGCATGTATACAAATTCGATGTTAGAACGATCGGACGTTGCAAAATCTAATTCATTCATAAGTATGTGTTGACATACAACTTCAACTGGCATTTCTCTTGCTGCCCTCATGTCATAGAAACTACCACAACGAGGACCCGAACATCAGGTTTGACTACGCCCACCACATCAAGCAGTGATACTACCACCCTGTCTACAACTACTTCTGGCAAAACAACACCAGGTAGGATTTTTGAAAATTGTGTACACTTTCTTTGTGTCTTACATATCAATTTTTTAGGAAATCAAAGTCAGGTGACTTTACACCTCATCAACTTTATACAAAGAAATGTCCTGATGTCCATTTAAAACGTAGTACAAGGTGATCCAATACTGGATTTCAGTCCAAGTCAGCGACAGGTATTCATTTTTGAAACCTCCTTCTTTATCGTATTCAAATTAAGGGTTCTGTAAATTCTTGGAATTCTGTTCAGCTCTGTTCTGCTTGTTTATTACAATATAGCACATTTTGTATTATGCAAAAAGAAATGCGGGACAATGCAGAATCTTTACAGCGCCCCACTGTGCCTAATTGCTGTGTGTCTCTTTTCTATTGTGTGACATTTGATATCGTGTCAGGTGACTGCGCGGAAAACCTGAATGATGATAGTCAGCCGGATCCAGTGATCACCCTCCAGACATCCGACATGACTGACGTTACTCCAGATCAAACTGTCACACTTTCCAGTGGGACATCGTCAATCACCGTTCGATTCGGAAGTAGTGATGCTGGATACAAGGTCCTGACCAGAGTGACAGCCGTCATCCTGAGTTTTGTCGATCCAACAACAGGAAGTCCGCCCATGATGATTCGTCTCGAAGGCGTCACTTTTTCAAACGGAACGACAGCTGAAGACATTGGTGAAATTAATTCAACTGGCCCAACTACCGGAATGTTTAGACTTGGGGCACTCGGAGAAGAACCCGTGGATGCTTTGGTCTTTTCCGTGCCCGACATTCTCCCTCAAGACGCTTCTTCAGTAGACGTTGTCGTCCGATTTGATGGATGCATCAAGAAAGGTGAATATAACTTACTTCATAACAATTGGCTTCTGTACGTAATTAGGCCACATCGGCAGTATCATTTCCCGCATATTCCGTCGAGTCTTGTACCAGGCAAAGCAAGCTCCTGTGATTATTGCCATGTATAACATGTAAACAATGTATGTAACTCGTTAGAAGGGAAAAATGAGAATGAAAGTCGATACTATCATCTTGTCTACTGTCTAGATGTACAAAAATCGCATCAGAATTAGCATTACCTCTGTTGAAATATGCATTCTTTTGAACACAAGACACAGATCGAAGCATTCAATTTTCTGGTATATGCACAATAGACCATAACTGCTTGTTCTCCTAAATGTGTGTTGACATACAGAGACCATAACTACTGTGGTGACCACGAGTGTTGCTACAACTACCACACCAGCGACCACTACAACGCCGGCTACCACTACCACGACAGAGATGGAGACTGCAGTCATGACAACTGGAAGTACCACAGCTGTCGAAGAGACAACCACCGTCACAACAACGACACCTGAAGTCACCACCACTGAGGCAACTACAACAATGGCAACAACAACTCCAGGTACTCATCCTTTTCACCTCAAAATAATCACTGTATATTCCCAGAGTAAAACATTTCCAAAGATATTTCACCTTTTCTACTTGGCTGGAAATGGTATTATCATTGAAGTACCTAAATGCAGAAAGAAGCGTACGGTTTAGCAATGTTTGATGTATCCTTGGCCACACAGAGATAACAGTTTTCAGAAATTCAGATGGAGCTGTTTATAACATGCTTCATTATTCGTGCTTGTTGTGCCCTGTTCTGCTTGTTGAATACAATATAGCACATGTTGTATTCTGCAAAGGGAAATGCGGGATAATGCAAAAACTTTACAGCAACCCTCTGTGTCTAATTGCTGTGTGTCTCTTTTCTTTTGTGTGACATTTGATTTCGTGTCAGGTGATTGCGCAGAAAACCTAAATGATGATAGTAAGCCGGATCCAGTGATAACACTCCAGACATCCGACATGGCTAACGTTACTCCAGGTCAAACTGTCACACTTTCCAGTGGGACATCGTCAATCACCGTTCGATTCGGAAGTAGTGATGCTGGATACAAAGTCCTAACCAGAGTGACAGCCGTCATCCTGAGTGTTGACGATGCAACAACTGGAAGTCCGCCCATGATGATTCGTCTCGACAGCGTCACCTTTTCAAACGGAACGACAGGTCAAGACTTTGGTGAAGTCAATTCAACTGGCCCAACCACCGGAATGTTTAGACTTGGGGCACTCGGAGAAGAACCCGTGGATGCTTTGGTCTTTTCCGTGCCCGACATTCTGCCTCAAAACGCTTCTTCAGTAGACGTTGTCGTCCGATTTGATGGATGCATCAAGACAGGTGAATATAACCCATTTCATAATAATCGGCTTCAGTACGTAATTAGGCCACATGGGAAGTATCATTTCCCGCATATTCCGTCGAGGCTTTTACCAGGCAAAGCAAGCTCCTGTGATTCTTGCTACGCATAACATGTAAACAATGTATGTAACTCATTATAAGGGAAAAATGAGAATGAAAGTCGATACTGTTATCCTTTTTACTTTCTAGATGTACAAGAATCGCATCAGAATGAGCATTACCTCAGTTGAAATATGCATTCTTTTGAACACAAGACACGGATCAAGGCATTTAATTTTCTGGTATAAGCACCATAGATTATTACTGCTTGTTCTTCCAAATGTGTGTTGACATACAGAGACCATAACTACTGTGGTGACCACGAGTGTTGCTACCACTACCACACCAGCAACCACTACAACGCCGGCTACCACTACCACGACAGAAATGGCGACTACAGTCATGACAACAGGAAGTACCACAGCTGTCGAAGAGACAACCACCGTCACGACAACGACACCTGAAGTCACCACTACTGAAACAACTACCACAATGACAACAACAACCCCAAGTATTTATCTTTTCCAACTCCAAATAAGCACTTCAAATAAGTAGTGTAAAACATGTACAAGGTGATCACACCCATATATTTGGCTGGAAAGGGTATAATCTTGAAGTATCTACTTCAAAAACACGGTGTATAGGTTTTGCAACGTATGATGCGGCCTCACAAAGATAACCATTTTCAGAACTTTAGATGCCACTATTTATATCCGTCATGGCTATTCGTGCCTCAAATTAGGTTAAGGCGTTGCAGTGATTGAAGAAAAAAAAATATTGTGACAAATTTAGAAATAAAGGAATTGATATGAGAAAGTTATAGCGATTGTTCGTATTCCAGGTATATATTTCACGATATTCAATACATTTTGCAAGGCTCAATTACGCTTTTGAATTTAGAGTGTGGAAATGGTATCTTGAAAGGCAGGTTATCCATCACAGTTGGAAAAGCAACTCCTGGAATATCTAGAGCAATTGGTTACAAGTCTGTAGTATCTAGCATAGTGGAGGAAGGCAGGCAGATATAAAGGCAAGAAAACAGGGCTCAAACGGAAAAAAATGGCGCCTGAACGTTCATGCAAGAATAATTTAGTAGCAAAGAAAGAACTCAGTCACCACGATGATGTGCTAAAGAATATGCATTGGAAATTTGAACAGAACAGAAATATGAATGGACCGAGATAAGTCTCATATATTAGCACTTAAAAAGAATGGGAGTTTGAAAGAAGAAGAAGGAGGATATACCTACCATACACACATTGAATGAGAAAAGGCATGGCTGGGGGCTTCAATGCAATACTAATTATGATATTACTAATTATAATAATATATAGCATTCATACTACAGGTGTTTTTCCTCAAAAAGAACACGTGTCTGGCCAATCGAGTCAGTCTTGAGGATCCAGCATCAGTACCCTCAGTAGTAAAAGTAGTGCCAAACTTCTATTATTTATGAACAATCCCTCATTTTTGTTGAACATCATTTCAAATTGATGAATAACCTTAACGAATAACCATTACCCTACTTCCTCATTCAACAGAACCAACTCAAAAGGGCGATACCGGTATGTACAAAAGTTTCTTTTGTAATATTTTCTTAATCCAAATTGATTTGGATCTGATAGGAACTGTGTTAGCTGGATTAACTGTAGACCGGATATTGTGCATTCATACAGGCGCTTAAAACAAACGTATATCACTTCGACGGGCGATTTTAGTTCCACTGATCATACAACAGTCTCTTAAATTCGGTCAAAATTTGTACAAGCAAATGTGTAACCAGAATTCTGTTCATAACACTACAATGAGCTTTGAAAATTAATCACTAACTTGAAAAATAACGGCCATTCCAAAAAAGCGTTATTTTTGTTTTTCTCCCATAGAACATTGGGACGGATTTTTTTTACATAATTACAATTTTATATTTTGAGCAGAATATTTTGTCCTCCGGAAATGACCTGATGCAATGGCACAAATTACGAAATAGCCTCATAATACCCTTAATATTGACGTTTCTGCAAAAGGATCCAGGTTTCCAACATCATTTTAGGTTGGTGGCATGTATACAAATTCGATGTTAGAACGATCGGACGTTGCAAAATCTAATTCATTCATAAGTATGTGTTGACATACAACTTCAACTGGCATTTCTCTTGCTGCCCTCATGTCATAGAAACTACCACAACGAGGACCCGAACATCAGGTTTGACTACGCCCACCACATCAAGCAGTGATACTACTACCCTGTCTACAACTACTTCTGGAAAAACAACACCAGGTAGGATTTTTGAAAATTGTGTACACTTTCTTTGTGTCTTATATATCAATTTTTTAGGAAATCTAAGTCAGGTGACTTTACACCTCATCAACTTTATACATAGAAATGTCCTGATGTCCATTTACAACGTAGTACAAAGTGATCCAATACTGGATTTCTATCCAAGTCAGCGACAGGTATTCATTTCTAAAACCTCCATCTACATCATATTCAAATCTAGGGTTCTGTAAATTCTTGAAATTCTGTTCTGCTCTCTTCTGCTTGTTGATTAGAATATAGCACATGTTGTATTCTGCAAAGGGAAAGGCGAGAAAATGCAGAATCTTTACAGCGCCCCACTGTCCCTAATTGCTGTGTGTCTCTTTTCTTTTGTGTGACATTTGATATCATGTCAGGTGACTGCGCGGAAAACCTGAATGATGATAGTCAGCCGGATCCGGTGATCACCCTCCAGACATCCGAAATGACTGACGTTACTCCAGATCAAACTGTCACACTTTCCAGTGGGACATCGTCAATCACCGTTCGATTCGGAAGTAGTGATGCTGGATACAAGGTCCTGACCAGAGTGACAGCCGTCATCCTGAGTTTTGTCGATCCAACAACAGGTAGTCCGCCCATGATGATTCGTCTCGAAAGCGTCACTTTTTCAAACGGAACGACAGCTCAAGACATTGGTGAAATTAATTCCACTGGCCCAACCACCGGAATGTTTAGACTTGGGGCACTCGGAGAAGAACCCGTGGATGCTTTGGTCTTTTCCGTGCCCGACATTCTGCCTCAAAACGCTTCTTCAGTAGACGTTGTCGTCCGATTTGATGGATGCATCAAGACAGGTGAATATAACTTACTTCATAATAACTGGCTTCCGTACGTAATTAGGCCACATGGGAAGTATCATTTCCCGCATATTCCGTCGGGTCTTGTACCAGGCAAAGCAAGCTCTTGTGATTCTTGCCATGTATAACATGTAAACAATGTATGTAACTCATTAGAAGGGAAAAATGAGAATGAAACTCGATATTATTATCCTGTTTACTTTCTAGATGTACAAAAATCGCATCAGAATGAGCATTACCTCAGTTCAAATATGCATTCTTTTGAACACAAGACACGGATCGAGGGCATTTCATTTTCTGGTATATGCACAATAGATCATTACTGCTTGTTCTTCCAAATGTGTGTTGACATACAGAGACCATAACTACTGTGGTGACCACGAGTGTTGCTACCACTACCACACCAGCAACCACTACAACACAGGCTACTAGTACCACGACAGAAATGGCGACTACAGTCATGACAACAGGAAGTACCACAGCTGTCGAAGAGACAACCACCGTCACGACAACGACACCTGAAGTCACCACCACTGAAGCAACTACAACAATGGGAACAACAACTCCAGGTACTCATCCTTTTAAACTCAAAATAATCACTTTATATTCCCAGAGTAAAACATTTCCAAAGATTCTTCACATTTTCTACTTGGCTGGAAATGGTATTATCATTAAAGTACCTAAATGCAGAAAGGAGCGGACGGTTTAGCAATGTTTGATGTAGCCTTGGCCACACAGAGATAACAGTTTTTCAGAAATTCAGATGGAACTGTTTATAACATGCTTCATTAACCGTGCTTGTGTTGCCCTGTTCTGCTTGTTCAATACAATATAGCACATGTTGTATTCTGCAAACGAAAAAGCGAGAAAATGCAGATACTTTACAGCGCCCTACTGTGCCTAATTATTGTGCGTTTCATTTCTTTTATGTGAATTTTGATATCGTTTTAGGTGACTGCGCGAAAAACCTGAATGATGATAGTCAGCCGGATCCGGTGATCACCCTCCAGACATCCGACATGACTGACGTTACTCCAGATCAAACTGTCACACTTTCCAGTGGGACATCGTCAATCACCGTTCGATTCGGAAGTAGTGATGCTGGATACAAGGTTTTGACCAGAGTGACAGCCGTCATCCTGAGTGTTGACGATGCAACAACTGGAAGTCCGCCCATGATGATTCGTCTCGAAGGCGTCACCTTTTCAAACGGAACGACAGCTCAAGACATTGGTGAAATTAATTCCACTGGCCCAACCACCGGAATGTTTAGACTTGGGGCACTCGGAGAAGAACCCGTGGATGCTTTGGTCTTTTCCGTGCCCGACATTCTGCCTCAAAACGCTTCTTCAGTAGACGTTGTCGTCCGATTTGATGGATGCATTAAGACAGGTGGATATAACTTACTTCATAATAATTGGCTTCCGTACGTAATTAGGCCACATGGGCAGTATCATTTCCCGTACATTCCGTCGAGTCCTGTACCAGGCAAAGCAAGCACTTGTGATTCTTGCCATGTATTATAGTATTAATGACTGCTTTGAGAGAAATAGTTGTTTTTATACGCTCAAGGGAAGGTTAGAATTGTGCTATTGCCCCGAGGCGTGCCGAGGGCAATAGCCCAATTGTAACCTTCCCGAGAGCGTATAAAAACAACTTTTTCTCGAATATTAAAGCAGTCATTAATACTTTTATATGCCAAAAAACATAGACTAAAAAATAAAAAATAAAAAATAAAAAAACTTTTGTCGAAGATGGGATTCGATCTCTTGCGTACAAAAGGTGATGTAACTAAATTCAGCGCATTATACCGCTCGGCCAACGCGCTCTGTTAACATACTTTGCAGTTTTCTCTAATATATAGATTAAAAAGGATTGAAAACGGCTTCGAGTGGTGGATGCTTCGCGGCTGCTCGATTGAACGGGCCCTTCTTTTACTTTTACAATGCATATTGGCACGAACTTAGATCAAGATCTATCGGCAGATGTTGTTTTTTTTGTTTTTGGAAGTTTATTTTCGTCTTCATGTCAACAATGCAAGATAAAATTGTCGGTAAGATTGATCGAGATTCAATTGTATTGAAATTACCGACCAATTCTTCGCACACGTACGGTATCCTCGATCGCTCAAACCATTTTTTAACATGTAAACCTATGGGGTAACCATGGAGACTGACCTATTTTCCCAATAACCATGGTTATTGGGAAAATAGGTCTGTTTTTACAGGAACAGCTAAAGTTTATGAATGCAATTTCGACCAATCAGATTGCTGGATTACTTAAGTGAGGTATATAAAACATGTTAACAATGTATGTAACTCATTAGAAGGGAAATGAGTATGAAAGTCGATACTATTATCCTGTTTACTTTCCAGATGTACAAAAATCGCATCAGAATGAGCATTACCTCAGTTGAAATATGCATTCTTTTGAACACAAGACACGGATCAAGGCATTTCATTTTCTAGTATATGCACAATAGATCATTACTGCTTGTTCTTCCAAATGTGTGTTGACATACAGAGACCATAACTACTGTGGTGACCACGAGTGTTGCTACCACTACCACACCAGCAACCACTACAACACCGGCTACCACTACCACGACAGAAATGGCGACTACAGTCATGACAACAGGAAGTACCACAGCTGTCGAAGAGACAACCACCGTCACGACAACGACACCTGAAGTCACCACCACTGAAGCAACTACAACAATGGCAACAACAACTCCAGGTACTCATCCTTTTCAACTCAAAATAATCACTTTATATTCCCAGAGTAAAACATTTTCAAAGATATTTCACCTTTTCTACCTCGCTGGAAATGGTATTATCATTGAAGTACTTAAATGCAGAAAGGAGCGTGCGGTTTAGCAATGTTTAATGTAACTTTGGCCACACAGAGATAACAGTTTTCAGAAATTCAGATGGAGCTGTTTATAACATGCTTCATTAATCGTGCTTGTTGTGCCCTGTTCTGCTTGTTGAATACAATATAGCACATGTTGTATTCTGCAAACGAAAAAGCGAGAAAATGCAGATACTTTACAGCGCCTTACTGTGCCTAATTATTGTGTGTTTCATTTCTTTTATGTGAATTTTGATATCGTTTAAGGTGACTGCGCTAAAAACCTGAATGATGATAGTCAGCCGGATCCGGTGATCACCCTCCAGACATCCGACATGACCGACGTTACTCCAAATCAAACTGTCACACTTTCCAGTGGGACATCGTCAATCACCGTTCGATTCGGAAGTAGTGATGCTGGATACAAGGTCCTGACCAGAGTGACAGCCGTCATCCTGAGTGTTGACGATGCAACAACTGGAAGTCCGCCCATGATGATTCGTCTCGACAGCGTCACCTTTTCAAACGGAACGACAGCTCAAGACTTTGGTGAAGTTAATTCAACTGGCCCAACCACCGGAATGTTTAGACTTGGGGCACTCGGAGAAGAACCCGTGGATGCTTTGGTCTTTTCCGTGCCCGACATTCTGCCTCAAAACGCTTCTTCAGTAGACGTTGTCGTCCGATTTGATGGATGCATCAAGACAGGTGAATACAACCTACTTCATAAAAATTGGCTTCCGAACGTAATTAGGCCACATGGGAAGTATCATTTTCCGCATATTCCGTTGGGTCTTGTACCAGGCAAAGCAAGCTCTTGTGATTCTTGCCATGTATAACATGTTAACAATGTATGTAACTCATTAGAAGGGGAAAATGAGAATGAAAGTCGATACTGTTATCCTTTTTATTTTCTAGATGTACAAAAATCGCATCAGAATGAGCATAACCTCAGATGAAATATGCATTCTCTTGAACACAAGACACGGATCAAGGCATTTCATTTTCTGGTATATGCACCATAGATCATTACTGCTTGTTCTTCCAAATGTGTATTGACATACAGAGACCATAACTACTGTGGTGACCACGAGTGTTGCTACCACTACCACACCAGCAACCACTACAACGCAGGCTACCACTACCACGACAGAAATGGCGACTACAGTCATGACAACAGGAAGTACCACAGCTGTCGAAGAGACAACCACCGTCACGACAACGACACCTGAAGTCACCACTACTGAAACAACTACCACAATGACAACAACAACCCCAAGTATTTATCTTTTCCAACTCCAAATAAGCACTTCAAATAAGTAGTGTAAAACATGTACAAGGTGATCACACCCATAATTATATTTGGCTGGAAAGGGTATAATCTTGAAGTATCTACTTCAAAAACACGGTGTAAAGGTTTTGCAACGTATGATCAAGCTGCGGCCTCACAAAGATAACAGGGCTCAAACGGACAAAATGGCGCCTGAACGTTCATGCAGGAATAATTTAGTAGCAAAGAAAGAACTCAGTAACCACGATGATATGCTAAAGAATATGCATGGGAAATTTGAACAGAACAGAAAATATGAATGGACCGAGATAAGTCTCATATATAAGCACTTAAAAAGAATGGGAGTTTGAAAGAAGAAGAAGGAGGATATGCATGCCAAACACACGTTGAATGATAAAAGGCATGGCAGGGGGCTTCAATGCAATACTAATTATGATATTACTAATTATAATAATATATAGCATTCATACTACAGGTGTTTTTCCTCAAAAAGAACACGTGTCTGGCAAATCGAGTCAGTCTTGAGGATCCAGCATCAGTACCCTCAGTAGTAAAAGTAGTGCCAAACTTCTATTATTTATGACAATCCCTCATTTTTGTTGAACATCATTTCAAATTGATGAATCACCTTAACAAATAACCATTACCCTCCTTCTTAATTCAACAGAACCAACTGAAATAGGCGACACCGGTATGTACAAAAGTTTCTTCTGTAATATTTTCTAAATTCAAATTGATTTGGATCTGATAGGAACTCTATTAGCTGGATTAACTGTAGACTGGATATTGTACTTTTATACAGGAGCTTAAAACAAACGTATATCACTTCGACAGGCGATTTTAGTTCCACTGATCATACAACAGTCTCTTAAATTCGGTCAAAATTTGTACAAGCAAATGTGTAACCAGAATTCTGTTCATAATACTACAATGAGCTTTAAAAGATAATCACTAACTTGAAAGATAATGGCCATTCCAAAAAAAAACGTTATTTCTGTTTTTCTCCCATAGAGCATTGGGACGGATTTTTTTCTTCATAATTACAATTTTACATTTTGAGCAGAATATTTCGTCTACCGGAAATGACCTGATGCAATGGCACGAATTACAAAATAGCCTCATAATACCCTTAATATTGACGTTTCTGCAAAAGGATCCAGGTTTCCAACATCATTTTAGGTTGGTGGCATGTATACAAATTCGATGTTAGAACGATCGGACGTTGCAAAATCTAATTCATTCATAAGTATGTGTTGACATACAACTTCAACTGGCATTTCTTTTGCTGCCCTCATGTCATAGAAACTACCACACAGAGGACCCGAACATCAGTTTTGACCACGCCCACCACATCAAGCAGTGAGACTACCACCCTGTCTATAACTACTTCTGGCCAAACAACGCCAGGTAGGATTTTTGAAAATTGTGTACACTTCCTTTGTGTCTTATATATCAATCTTTTAGGAAATCAAAGTCAGGCGACTTTACACCTCATCAACTTTATACAAAGAAATGTCCTGATGTCCATTTACAACGTAGTACAAAGTGATCCAATACTGGATTTCTGTCCAAGTCAGCGACAGGTATTCATTTCTAAAACCTCCATCTACATCCTATTCAAATCTAGGGTTCTGTAAATTCTTGGAATTCTGTTCTGCTCTCTTCTGCTTGTTGATTAGAATATAGCACATGTTGTATCTGCAAAGGGAAATGCGGGACAATGCAGAATCTTTACAGCGCCCCACTGTCCCTAATTGCTGTGTGTCTCTTTTCTTTTGTGTGACATTTGATGTCGTGTCAGGTGACTGCGCGGAAAACCTGAATGATGATAGTCAGCCGGATCCGGTGATCACCCTCCAGACATCCGAAATGACTGACGTTACTCCAGATCAAACTGTCACACTTTCCAGTGGGACATCGTCAATCACCGTTCGATTCGGAAGTAGTGATGCTGGATACAAGGTCCTGACCAGAGTGACAGCCGTCATCTTGAGTTTTGTCGATCCAACAACAGGAAGTCCGCCCATGCTGATTCGTCTCGAAAGCGTCACTTTCTCAAACGGAACGACAGCTGAAGACATAGGTGAAATTAATTCCACTGGCCCAACCACCGGAATGTTTAGACTTGGGGCACTCGGAGAAGAACCCGTGGATGCTTTGGTCTTTTCCGTGCCCGACATTCTGCCTCAAAACGCTTCTTCAGTAGACGTTGTCGTCCGATTTGATGGATGCATCAAGACAGGTGAATATAACTTACTTCTTAATAATTGGCTTCCGTACGTAATTAGGCCACATGGGCAGTATCATTTCCCGTACATTCCGTCGAGTCCTGTACCAGGCAAAGCAAGCACTTGTGATTCTTGCCATGTATAACATGTTAACAATGTATGTAACTCGTTAGAAGGGAAAAATGAGAACGAAAGTCAATACTATTATCCTGTTTACTTTTTAGATGTACAAAAATCGCATCAGAATGAGCATTACCTCTGTTGAAATATGCATTCTCTTGAACACAAGACACAGATCAAAGCATTTCATTTTCTTATATATGCACAATAGATCATTACTGCTTGTTCTTCCAAATGTGTGTTGACATACAGAGACCATAACTACTGTGGTGACCACGAGTGTTGCTACCACTACCACACCAGCAACCACTACAACTCCGGCTACCACTACAACAACAGAAAAGAAGACTGCAGCTATGACAACAGGAAGTACCACAACTGTCGAAGAGACAACCATGGTCATGACAACGACACCTGAAGTCACCACCACTGAAGCAACTACAACAATGGCAACAACAACTCCAGGTACTCATCCTTTTCAACTCAAAATAATCACTTTATATTCCCAGAGTAAAACATTTCCAAAGATATTTCACCTTTTCTACTTGGCTTGAAATGGTATTATCATTAAAGTACCTAAAGGCAGAAAGAAGCGTACGGTTTAGCAATGTTTGATGTAGCCTTGGCCACACAGAGATAACAGTTTTCAGAAATTCAGATGGAGCTGTTTATAACATGCTTCATTAATCGTGCTTGTTGTGCCCTGTTCTGCTTGTTGAATACAATATAGCACATGTTGTATTCTGCAAACGAAAAAAGCGAGAAAATGCACATATTATACAGCGCCCTACTGTGCCTAATTATTGTGTGTTTCATTTCGTTTATGTGAATTTTGATATCGTTTTAGGTGACTGCGCGAAAAACCTAAATGATGATAGTCAGCCGGATCCGGTGATCACCCTCCAGACATCCGACATGACTGACGTTACTCCAGATCAAACTGTCACACTTTCCGGTGGGACATCGTCAATCACCGTTCGATTCGGAAGTAGTGATACTGGATACAAGGTCCTGACCAGAGTGACAGCCGTCATCCTGAGTTTTGTCGATCCAACAACAGAAAGCCCGCCCATGATGATTCGTCTCGAAGGCGTCACTTTTTCAAACGGAACGACAGCTGAAGACATTGGTGAAATTAATTCAAGTGGCCCAACCACCGGAATGTTTAGACTTGGGGCACTCGGAGAAGAACCCGTGGATGCTTTGGTCTTTTCCGTGCCCGACATTCTGCCTCAAAACGCTTCTTCAGTAGACGTTGTCGTCCGATTTGATGGATGCATCAAGACAGGTGAATATGACTTACTTCATAATGATTGGCTTCCGTACGTAATTAGGCCACATGGGCAGTATCATTTCCCGTACATTCCGTCGAGTCCTGTACCAGGCAAAGCAAGCACTTGTGATTCTTGCCATGTATAACATGTTAACAACGTATGTAACTCATTAGAAGGGAAAATGAGAATGAAAGTCGATACTATTATCCTGTTTACTTTCTAGATGTACAAAATTGCATCAGAATGAGCATTACCTCGGTTGAAATATGCATTCTTTTGAACACAAGACACGTATCGAAGCATTTCATTTTCTGGTATATGCACAATAGATCATTACTGCTTGTTCTTCCAAATGTGTGTTGACATACAGAGACCATAACTACTGTGGTGACTACGAGTGTTGCTACCACTACCACACCAGCAACCACTACAACTCCGGCTACCACTACAACAACAGAAAAGACAACTACAGCTATGACAACAGGAAGTACCACAACTGTCGAAGAGACAACCATGGTCATGACAACAACACCTGAAGTCACCACCACTGAAGCAACTACAACAATGGCAACAACAACTCCAGGTACCCATCCTTTTCAACTCAAAATAATCACTTTATATTCCCAGAGTAAAACATTTCCAAAGATATTTCACCTTTTCTACTTGGCTTGAAATGGTATTATCATTAAAGTACCTAAATGCAGAAAGAAGCGTACGGTTTAGCAATGTTTGATGTAGCCTTGGCCACACAGAGATAACAGTTTTCAGAAATTCAGATGGAGCTGTTTATAACATGCTTCATTAATCGTGCTTGTTGTGCCCTGTTCTGCTTGTTGAATACAATATAGCACATGTTGTATTCTGCAAACGAAAAAGCGAGAAAATGCACATATTATACAGCGCCCTACTGTGCCTAATTATTGTGTGTTTCATTTCGTTTATGTGAATTTTGATATCGTTTTAGGTGACTGCGCGGAAAACCTGAATGATGATAGTCAGCCGGATCCGGTGATCACCCTCCAGACATCCGACATGACTGACGTTACTCCAGATCAAACTGTCACACTTTCCGGTGGGACATCGTCAATCACCGTTCGATTCGGAAGTAGTGATACTGGATACAAGGTCCTGACCAGAGTGACAGCCGTCATCCTGAGTTTTGTCGATCCAACAACAGAAAGCCCGCCCATGATGATTCGTCTCGAAGGCGTCACTTTTTCAAACGGAACGACAGCTGAAGACATTGGTGAAATTAATTCAAGTGGCCCAACCACCGGAATGTTTAGACTTGGGGCACTCGGAGAAGAACCCGTGGATGCTTTGGTCTTTTCCGTGCCCGACATTCTGCCTCAAAACGCTTCTTCAGTAGACGTTGTCGTCCGATTTGATGGATGCATCAAGACAGGTGAATATGACTTACTTCATAATGATTGGCTTCCGTACGTAATTAGGCCACATGGGCAGTATCATTTCCCGTACATTCCGTCGAGTCCTGTACCAGGCAAAGCAAGCACTTGTGATTCTTGCCATGTATAACATGTTAACAACGTATGTAAGTCATTAGAAGGGAAAATGAGAATGAAAGTCGATACTATTATACTGTTTACTTTCTAGATGTACAAAAATTGCATCAGAATGAGCATTACCTCGGTTGAAATATGCATTCTTTTGAACACAAGACACGTATCGAAGCATTTCATTTCCTGGTATATATGCACAATAGATCATTACTGCTTGTTCTTCCAAATGTGTGTTGACATACAGAGACCATAACTACTGTGGTGACTACGAGTGTTGCTACCACTACCACACCAGCAACCACTACAACTCCGGCTACCACTACAACAACAGAAAAGACAACTACAGCTATGACAACAGGAAGTACCACAACTGTCGAAGAGACAACCATGGTCATGAAAACAACACCTGAAGTCACCACCACTGAAGCAACTACAACAATGGCAACAACAACTCCAGGTACCCATCCTTTTCAACTCAAAATAATCACTTTATATTCCCAGAGTAAAACATTTCTAAAGATATTTCACCTTTTCTACTTGGCTTGAAATGGTATTATCATTAAAGTACCTAAATGCAGAAAGAAGCGTACGGTTTAGCAATGTTTGATGTAGCCTTGGCCACACAGAGATAACAGTTTTCAGAAATTCAGATGGAGCTGTTTATAACATGCTTCATTAATCGTGCTTGTTGTGCCCTGTTCTGCTTGTTGAATACAATATAGCACATGTTGTATTCTGCAAACGAAAAAGCGAGAAAATGCACATATTATACAGCGCCCTACTGTGCCTAATTATTGTGCGTTTCATTTCGTTTATGTGAATTTTGATATCGTTTTAGGTGACTGCGCGGAAAACCTGAATGATGATAGTCAGCCGGATCCGGTGATCACCCTCCAGACATCCGACATGACTGACGTTACTCCAGATCAAACTGTCACACTTTCCAGTGGGACATCGTCAATCACCGTTCGATTCGGAAGTAGTGATACCGGATACAAGGTCCTGACCAGAGTGACAGCCGTCATCCTGAGTCTTGTCGATCCAACAGCAGAAAGTCCGCCCATGATGATTCGTCTCGAAGGCGTCACTTTTTCAAACGGAACGACAGCTGAAGACATTGGTGAAATTAATTCAAGTGGCCCAACCACCGGAATGTTTAGACTTGGGGCACTCGGAGAAGAACCCGTGGATGCTTTGGTCTTTTCCGTGCCCGACATTTTGCCTCAAAACGCTTCTTCAGTAGACGTTGTCGTCCGATTTGATGGATGCATCAAGACAGGTGAATATAACCTACTTCATAATAATTGGCTTCCAAACGTAATTAGGCCACATGGGAAGTATCATTTCCCGCATACTCCGTCGGGTCTTGTACCAGGCAAAGCAGGCTCTTGTGATTCTTGCCATGTATAACATGTAAACAATGTATGTAACTCATTAGAAGGGGAAAATGAGAATGAAAGTCGATACTGTTATCCTGTTTACTTTCTAAATGTTCAAAAATCGCATCAGAATGAGCATTACCTCAGTTGAAATATGCATTCTTTTGAACACAAGACACAGATCGAAGCATTTCATTTTCTGGTATATGCACAACAGATCATTACTGCTTGTTCTTCCAAATGTGTGTTGACATACAGAGACCATAACTACTGTGGTGACCACGAGTGTTGCTACCACTACCACACCAGCAACCACTACAACACCGGCTACCACTACCACGACAGAAATGGCGACTACAGTCATGACAACAGGAAGTACCACAGCTGTCGAAGAGACAACCACCGTCACGACAACAACACCTGAAGTCACCACTACTGAAACAACTACAACAATGACAACAACAACCCCAAGTATTTATCTTTATCAACTCCAAATAAGCAATTCAAATTACTAGTGTAAAACATGTACATGTGATCACACCCATATATTTGGCTGGAAAGGGTATAATCTTGAAGTATCTACTTCAAAAACACGGTGCATAGGTTTTGCAACGTATAATCAAGCTGCGGCCTCACAAAGATAACCATTTTCAGAACTTTAGATTCCACTATTTATATCCGTCATGGCTATTCGTGCCTCAAATTAGGTTAAGGCCTTGCAGTGTTTGATGAAAAAAATATATTGTGACAAATTTAGAAATAAAGGAATTGATATGAGAAAGTTACAGCGATTGTTCGTATTCCAGGTATATATTTCACGAACTTCAATACATTTTGCAAGGCTCAATTACGCTTTTGAATTTAGAGTGTGGAAATGGTATCTTAAAGGGCAGGTTATCCATCACAGTTGGAAAAGCAACCGTCCTGGAATATCTAGAGCAATTTGTTACAAGCCTGTAGTATCTAGCATAGTGGAGGTAGGCAGGCAGATATAAAGGCAAGAAAACAGGGCTCAAACGGACAAAATGGCGCCTCAACGTTCATGCAGGAATAATTTAGTAGCAAAGAAAGAACTCAGTAACCACGATGATATGCTAAAGAATATGCATGGGATAATTGAACAGAACAGAAAATATGAATGGACCGAGATAAGTCTCATATATTAGCACTTAAAAAGAATGGGAGTTTGAAAGAAGAAGATGGAGGATATGCATACCATACACGCGTTGAATGATAAAAGGCATGGCTGAGGGCTTCAATGCAATACTAATTATAATATTAATAATTACAATAATATATAGTATTCAAGTATTCATACTACAGGTGTTTTTCCTCAAAAAGAACACGTGTCTGGCAAATCGAGAAAGTCTTGAGGATCTAGCATCAGAACCCTCAGTAGTGAAAGTAGTGCCAAACTTCCATTAGTTATGAACAATCCCTCATTTTTGTTGAACATCATTTCAAATTGATGAATCGCCTTAACAAATAACCATTACCCTCCTTCCTCATTCAACAGAACCAACTGAAATAGGCGACACCGGTATGTACAAAAGTTTCTTCTGTAATATTTTCTAAATTCAAATTGATTTGGATCTGATAGGAACTCTATAAGCTGGATTAACTGTAGACTGGATATTGTACTTTTATACAGGAGCTTAAAACAAACTTATATCACTTCGACAGGCGATTTTAGTTCCACTGATCATACAACAGTCTCTTAAATTCGGTCAAAATTTGTACAAGCAAATGTGTAACCAGAATTCTGTTCATAATACTACAATGAGCTTTGAAAGATAATCACTAACTTGAAAGATAACTGCCATTAAAAAAAAAAGCGTTATTTCTCTTTTTCTCCCATAGAGCATTAGGACGGAATTATGTGTACATAGTTACAATTTTACATTTGAGCAGAATATTTCGTCCTCCGGATATGACCTGATGCAATGGCACGAATTACGAAATAGCCTCATAATACCCTTAATATTGACGTTTCTGCAAAAGGATCAAGGTTTCCAACATCATTTTAGGTTGGTGGCATGTATACAAATTCGATGTTAGAACGATCGGACGTTGCATAATCTAATTCATTCATAAGTATGTGTTGAAATACAACTTCAACTGGCATTTATCTTGCTGCCCTCATGTCATAGAAACTACCACACAGAGGACCCGAACATCAGGTTTGACCACGCCCACCACATCAAGCAGTGAGACTACCACCCTGTCTACAACTACTTCTGGCCAAACAACGCCAGGTAGGATTTTTTTTTAATTTTGTGTACACTTCCTTTGTGTCTTATATATCAATCTTTTAGGAAATCAAAGACAGGTGACTTTGCACCTCATCAACTTCATACAAAGAAATGTTCTGATCTCTATTTACAACGTAGGTACAAAGTGCTCCAATACTGAATTTCTGTCCAAGTGAGCGACAGGTATTCATTTTTAAAACCTCCATCTACATCCTATTCAAATCTAGGGTTCTGTAAATTCTTGGAATTTTGTTCTGCTCTGTTTTGCTTATTAATTACAAAATAGCACATGTTGTATTCTGCAAAGGGAAATGCGGGACAATGCAGAATCTTTACAGCGCCCCACTGTGCCTAATTGCTGTGTGTCTCTTTTCTTTTGTGTGACATTTGATGTCATGTCAGGTGACTGCGCGGAAAACCTGAATGATGATAGTCAGCCGGATCCAGTGATCACCCTCCAGACATCCGACATGACTGACGTTACTCCAGATCAAACTGTCACACTTTCCAGTGGGACATCGTCAATCACCGTTCGATTCGGAAGTAGTGATACCGGATACAAGGTCCTGACCAGAGTGACAGCCGTCATCCTGAGTTTTGTCGATCCAACAACAGAAAGTCCGCCCATGATGATTCGTCTCGAAGGCGTCACTTTTTCAAACGGAACGACAGCTGAAGACATTGGTGAAATTAATTCAAGTGGCCCAACCACCGGAATGTTTAGACTTGGGGCACTCGGAGAAGAACCCGTGGATGCTTTGGTCTTTTCCGTGCCCGACATTCTGCCTCAAAACGCTTCTTCAGTAGACGTTGTCGTCCGATTTGATGGATGCATCAAGACAGGTGAATATGACTTACTTCATAATGATTGGCTTCCGTACGTAATTAGGCCACATGGGCAGTATCATTTCCCGTACATTCCGTCGAGTCTTGTACCAGGCAAAGCAAGCACTTGTGATTCTTGCCATGTATAACATGTTAACAATGTATGTAACTCATTAGAAGGGAAAATGAGAATGAAAGTCGATACTATTATCCTGTTTACTTTCTGGATGTACAAAAATTGCATCAGAATGAGCATTACCTCGGTTGAAATATGCATTCTTTTGAACACAAGACACGTATCGAAGCACTTCATTTTCTGGTATATGCACAATAGATCATTACTGCTTGTTCTTTCAAATGTGTGTTGACATACAGAGACCATAACAACTGTGGTGACTACGAGTGTTGCTACCACTACCACACCAGCAACCACTACAACTCCGGCTACCACTACAACAACAGAAAAGACAACTACAGCTATGACAACAGGAAGTACCACAACTGTCGAAGAGACAACCATGGTCATGAAAACAACACCTGAAGTCACCACCACTGAAGCAACTACAACAATGGCAACAACAACTCCAGGTACTCATCCTTTTCAACTCAAAATAATCACTCATATTCCCAGAGTAAAACATTTCCAAAGATATTTCACCTTTTCTACTTGGCTTGAAATGGTATTATCATTAAAGTACCTAAATGCAGAAAGAAGCGTACGGTTTAGCAATGTTTGATGTAGCCTTGGCCACACAGAGATAACAGTTTTCAGAAATTCAGATGGAGCTGTTTATAACATGCTTCATTAATCGTGCTTGTTGTGCCCTGTTCTGCTTGTTGAATACAATATACACATGTTGTATTCTGCAAACGAAAAAGCGAGAAAATGCACAAATTATACAGCGCCCTACTGTGCCTAATTATTGTGTGTTTCATTTCGTTTATGTGAATTTTGATATCGTTTTAGGTGACTGCGCGAAAAACCTGAATGATGATAGTCAGCCGGATCCGGTGATCACCCTCCAGACATCCGACATGACTGACGTTACTCCAGATCAAACTGTCACACTTTCCAGTGGGACATCGTCAATCACCGTTCGATTCGGAAGTAGTGATACAGGATACAAGGTCCTGACCAGAGTGACAGCCGTCATCCTGAGTTTTGTCGATCCAACAACAGGAAGTCCGCCCACGATGATTCGTCTCGAAGGCGTCACTTTTTCAAACGGAACGACAGCTGAAGACATTGGTGAAATTAATTCAAGTGGCCCAACCACCGGAATGTTTAGACTTGGGGCACTCGGAGAAGAACCCGTGGATGCTTTGGTCTTTTCCGTGCCCGACATTTTGCCTCAAAATGCTTCTTCAGTAGACGTTGTCGTCCGATTTGATGGATGCATCAAGACAGGTGAATATAACCTACTTCATAATAATTGCCTTCCGAACGTAATTAGGCCACATGGAAAGTATCATTTCCCGTACATTCCGTCGAGTCTTGTACCAGGCAAAGCAAGCACTTGTGATTCTTGCCATGTATAACATGTTAACAATGTATGTAACTCATTAGAAGGGAAAATGAGAATGAAAGTCGATACTATTATCCTGTTTACTTTCTAGATGTACAAAAATTGCATCAGAATGAGCATTACCTCGGTTGAAATATGAGTTTTGAACACAAGACACGTATCGAAGCACTTCATTTTCTGGTATATGCACAATAGATCATTACTGCTTGTTCTTCCAAATGTGTGTTGACATACAGAGACCATAACTACTGTGGTGACTACGAGTATTGCTACCACTACCACACCAGCAACCACTACAACTCCGGCTACCACTACAACAACAGAAAAGACAACTACAGCTATGACAACAGGAAGTACCACAACTGTCGAAGAGACAACCATGGTCATGACAACAACACCTGAAGTCACCACCACTGAAGCAACTACAACAATGGCAACAACAACTCCAGGTACCCTTCTTTTTCAACTCAAAATAATCACTTCATATTCCCAGAGTAAAACATTTCCAAAGATATTTCACCTTTTCTACTTGGCTTGAAATGGTATTATCATTAAAGTACCTAAATGCAGAAAGAAGCGTACGGTTTAGCAATGTTTGATGTAGCCTTGGCCACACAGAGATAACAGTTTTCAGAAATTCAGATGGAGCTGTTTATAACATGCTTCATTAATCGTGCTTGTTGTGCCCTGTTCTGCTTGTTGAATACAATATAGCACATGTTGTATTCTGCAAACGAAAAAGCGAGAAAATGCACATATTATACAGCGCCCTACTGTGCCTAATTATTGTGTGTTTCATTTCGTTTATGTGAATTTTGATATCGTTTTAGGTGACTGCGCGGAAAACCTGAATGATGATAGTCAGCCGGATCCGGTGATCACCCTCCAGACATCCGACATGACTGACGTTACTCCAGATCAAACTGTCACACTTTCCGGTGGGACATCGTCAATCACCGTTCGATTCGGAAGTAGTGATACCGGATACAAGGTCCTGACCAGAGTGACAGCCGTCATCCTGAGTCTTGTCGATCCAACAACAGAAAGTCCGCCCATGATGATTCGTCTCGAAGGCGTCACTTTTTCAAACGGAACGACAGCTGAAGACATTGGTGAAATTAATTCAAGTGGCCCAACCACCGGAATGTTTAGACTTGGGGCACTCGGAGAAGAACCCGTGGATGCTTTGGTCTTTTCCGTGCCCGACATTTTGCCTCAAAACGCTTCTTCAGTAGACGTTGTCGTCCGATTTAATGGATGCATCAAGACAGGTGAATATAACCTACTTCATAATAATTGGCTTCCAAACGTAATTAGGCCACATGGGAAGTATCATTTCCCGCATACTCCGTCGGGTCTTGTACCAGGCAAAGCAGGCTCTTGTGATTCTTGCCATGTATAACATGTAAACAATGTATGTAACTCATTAGAAGGGGAAAATGAGAATGAAAGTCGATACTGTTATCCTGTTTACTTTCTAAATGTTCAAAAATCGCATCAGAATGAGCATTACCTCAGTTGAAATATGCATTCTTTTGAACACAAGACACAGATCGAAGCATTTCATTTTCTGGTATATGCACAACAGATCATTACTGCTTGTTCTTCCAAATGTGTGTTGACATACAGAGACCATAACTACTGTGGTGACCACGAGTGTTGCTACCACTACCACACCAGCAACCACTACAACACCGGCTACCACTACCACGACAGAAATGGCGACTACAGTCATGACAACAGGAAGTACCACAGCTGTCGAAGAGACAACCACCGTCACGACAACAACACCTGAAGTCACCACTACTGAAACAACTACAACAATGACAACAACAACCCCAAGTATTTATCTTTATCAACTCCAAATAAGCAATTCAAATTACTAGTGTAAAACATGTACATGTGATCACACCCATATATTTGGCTGGAAAGGGTATCATCTTGAAGTATCTACTTCAAAAACACGGTGCATAGGTTTTGCAACGTATAATCAAGCTGCGGCCTCACAAAGATAACCATTTTCAGAACTTTAGATTCCACTATTTATATCCGTCATGGTTATTCGTGCCTCAAATTAGGTTAAGGCCTTGCAGTGTTTGATGAAAAAAATATATTGTGACAAATTTAGAAATAAAGGAATTGATATGAGAAAGTTACAGCGATTGTTCGTATTCCAGGTATATATTTCACGAACTTCAATACATTTTGCAAGGCTCAATTACGCTTTTGAATTTAGAGTGTGGAAATGGTATCTTAAAGGGCAGGTTATCCATCACAGTTGGAAAAGCAACTCCTGGAATATCTAGAGCAATTTGTTACAAGCCTGTAGTATCTAGCATAGTGGAGGTAGGCAGGCAGATATAAAGGCAAGAAAACAGGGCTCAAACGGACAAAATGGCGCCTCAACGTTCATGCAGGAATAATTTAGTAGCAAAGAAAGAACTCAGTAACCACGATGATATGCTAAAGAATATGCATGGGATAATTGAACAGAACAGAAAATATGAATGGACCGAGATAAGTCTCATATATTAGCACTTAAAAAGAATGGGAGTTTGAAAGAAGAAGATGGAGGATATGCATACCATACACGCGTTGAATGATAAAAGGCATGGCTGAGGGCTTCAATGCAATACTAATTATAATATTAATAATTACAATAATATATAGTATTCAAGTATTCATACTACAGGTGTTTTTCCTCAAAAAGAACACGTGTCTGGCAAATCGAGAAAGTCTTGAGGATCTAGCATCAGAACCCTCAGTAGTGAAAGTAGTGCCAAACTTCCATTAGTTATGAACAATCCCTCATTTTTGTTGAACATCATTTCAAATTGATGAATCGCCTTAACAAATAACCATTACCCTCCTTCCTCATTCAACAGAACCAACTGAAATAGGCGACACCGGTATGTACAAAAGTTTCTTCTGTAATATTTTCTAAATTCAAATTGATTTGGATCTGATAGGAACTCTATTAGCTGGATTAACTGTAGACTGGATATTGTACTTTTATACAGGAGCTTAAAACAAACGTATATCACTTCGACAGGCGATTTTAGTTCCACTGATCATACAACAGTCTCTTAAATTCGGTCAAAATTTGTACAAGCAAATGTGTAACCAGAATTCTGTTCATAATACTACAATGAGCTTTGAAAGATAATCACTAACTTGAAAGATAACTGCCATTTAAAAAAAAAAGCGTTATTTCTCTTTTTCTCCCATAGAGCATTAGGACGGAATTATGTGTACATAGTTACAATTTTACATTTAAGCAGAATATTTCGTCCTCCGGAAATGACCTGATGCAATGGCACGAATTACGAAATAGCCTCATAATACCCTTAATATTGACGTTTCTGCAAAAGGATCAAGGTTTCCAACATCATTTTAGGTTGGTGGCATGTATACAAATTCGATGTTAGAACGATCGGACGTTGCATAATCTAATTCATTCATAAGTATGTGTTGAAATACAACTTCAACTGGCATTTATCTTGCTGCCCTCATGTCATAGAAACTACCACACAGAGGACCCGAACATCAGGTTTGACCACGCCCACCACATCAAGCAGTGAGACTACCACCCTGTCTACAACTACTTCTGGCCAAACAACGCCAGGTAGGATTTTTTTTTAATTTTGTGTACACTTCCTTTGTGTCTTATATATCAATCTTTTAGGAAATCAAAGTCAGGTGACTTTGCACCTCATCAACTTCATACAAAGAAATGTTCTGATCTCTATTTACAACGTAGGTACAAAGTGCTCCAATACTGAATTTCTGTCCAAGTGAGCGACAGGTATTCATTTTTAAAACCTCCATCTACATCCTATTCAAATCTAGGGTTCTGTAAATTCTTGGAATTTTGTTCTGCTCTGTTTTGCTTATTAATTACAAAATAGCACATGTTGTATTCTGCAAAGGGAAATGCGGGACAATGCAGAATCTTTACAGCGCCCCACTGTGCCTAATTGCTGCGTGTCTCTTTTCTTTTGTGTGACATTTGATGTCATGTCAGGTGACTGCGCGGAAAACCTGAATGATGATAGTCAGCCGGATCCAGTGATCACCCTCCAGACATCCGACATGACTGACGTTACTCCAGATCAAACTGTCACACTTTCAAGTGGGACATCGTCAATCACCGTTCGATTCGGAAGTAGTGATACCGGATACAAGGTCCTGACCAGAGTGACAGCCGTCATCCTGAGTTTTGTCGATCCAACAACAGAAAGTCCGCCCATGATGATTCGTCTCGAAGGCGTCACTTTTTCAAACGGAACGACAGCTGAAGACATTGGTGAAATTAATTCAAGTGGCCCAACCACCGGAATGTTTAGACTTGGGGCACTCGGAGAAGAACCCGTGGATGCTTTGGTCTTTTCCGTGCCCGACATTCTGCCTCAAAACGCTTCTTCAGTAGACGTTGTCGTCCGATTTGATGGATGCATCAAGACAGGTGAATATGACTTACTTCATAATGATTGGCTTCCGTACGTAATTAGGCCACATGGGCAGTATCATTTCCCGTACATTCCGTCGAGTCTTGTACCAGGCAAAGCAAGCACTTGTGATTCTTGCCATGTATAACATGTTAACAATGTATGTAACTCATTAGAAGGGAAAATGAGAATGAAAGTCGATACTATTATCCTGTTTACTTTCTAGATGTACAAAAATTGCATCAGAATGAGCATTACCTCGGTTGAAATATGCATGTTGTAGCCTTAAAAGAACAAAATCACACAGTGATTAACAGATTGTGTACCATTAAAAGAACAATAATGAAACATAATCAATTTGACAATCCCCCCCCCCCCCAAAAAAAAAAAAAAAAAAAAAAACAACAAAAAGCAACCTAGCAAATCTGATGTAGAAACCGAAGGAAAAACAAAAAAAAACAAAAAAAAAACCAAAAAAAACAACAAACAAACAAACATGATGTCAATATCATAAAACAAGCCCAATTAACCATCAACCTTGTCCACTACTACAGCCCCATCGTGTCACTTATTCAAGCCCAAACTCTAAGGCAATGACATACGCAGAACTACCAGTCCGGGCAAGTACCACTCCGGTCTCCCTATATACACTTTCTCAATAAAGGACCGCCCCCTCCCCCTGACAACCTCCTACCCAATAATCATGAGCCTAATCCTGCCCGTCCACAAGTCAGCAAGGAATTGAGGGGAGGGAGGGAGGGAAAAACACGACCAACTCAAACGAAGTATTAGCTGAGAATGACCCATTGATTAGTAAAAATACACGTCGTGGGAAACACTTGCCTTGCGACCCCGATATGTATTACAAAAGCGCGCCTATCATTGATATTTACAAAACACGCGTGGTAAAGATTCGGCTTTGTGACCTCAATGTAGGTTACAAAGAGATGCGCCTATGTTTGATATTTGCCGACCTGCTGGGAAACATTCGGTTATTGACCTCAAAATCATTTTACAAAAGAGGCGCGCTATCGTGTGTAGTCACCGGCTTGCCGCATATTTCCGGCCTACACTATTGCATTCTATTACAATTGGGTTTATTTTGATAACATCAAAATAAACGTATTGCAATAAGAAATACAATGAAAATGCTGTTATTGCCTTTTTCTCAACTTTTAATTCTTCCGTTTGAGTTGGCTTATTTCCAACTTGACATATTATCAACATAGATAAGAAATCATATAGAAACATTTCTATAATTCCGTTCGAGTTTTAGCGGTAGCATATTTCCAACTTGACATACTATTAACATAGATATAAAATCATACAAAAACCATTTACATATTTCCGTTCGAGTTTTTGCGGTAGCATATTTCCAACTTGACATATTATTACATAACATAGATATGAAATCATATAAAACCATTTCCATAATTATTTGTTTGCAATGGCGGAAGGCGACAGACTGCGATTCCACAAATATGGGAACCCGAGGGTCACGGGTCACGTGACCAGCTGGGAAGACGGTGCTCTACCCAGCAGGCCCAGTTTCCTGGGCCATTGGTTCCCTACACAAGATCTGGTAATCGCAGCCTGTCCCCACCGTCGGTTCATGGCGCTCTTGGCCATTCCTCTCCTTGAGGCATACTGGAAATGATTATAGTTCAGGAACGAAACAAAAGAACAAACTCCAAATCCCAACAACCCAATTTTTTTTTTTTTTTTTTTTTTTTTTTTTTTGCCTAGCGAAATAGAACCTGGGCATGTGGCAAAATTTATGCACGGCTAACAAAAATAACAAACAATTAACTTTGCGTTATTTTTGTGGCTCTATTAACATTTTGAGATGGACGCTTATTTTGCACATTTTGATTTTCTGGGTGTCATAACAAAATAACACAGATATATTGAATCATAAAAAATGCTTACAAATGCTAGGCCCCCCGTCTATGAAATCGAGTGATGCCAAGGCTAAACTTATATACATTAAGTCATTATATCAGCCCCCCGCCTATAAAATCGAGTGATGCCTAAAGTTATAGAAAATAGATGTATATATATACCAGCCTCTCCGCCTGTAAGATCGGATGATGCCTAAGATTAAAGCGTGACACCCTGAGTTTGAAAATGTGTAGGTACAACTAGGTCCCCCCGCATTCAAATCGAATGGGGGCCGGAAAACTAAGAATTGACATGCGAACAAATTCGACTGAATATACATTGGCAACCCCCTCGCATGTAAAAATTGAGTGGGGTCGAAAATTATTGGATGACAATTATTGATCAATAAACTTATCAGTACCATGTGATTAGTGATTTACCCATACAAAACCGGGTAGGGGCGAAACCCAATGGGAAAATTCCCCTACGGCCCACTGTCTTTGTGCACGACGCTTGATGTGCGACCAGGCCAAATGCCCCCGGCCCTGCATTAACTTCATAAATCACTGACCAATTTATTACATAAACCCTATCCGTACCTTTCATACCTGAAACCCTAAATCCTTTCCGTACTAATACGTATACCTTGGCTACTTCGAACCACCAAGCAATATTTAATTTATGCCACTAATATACTAAAAATACTTTTATTGGTGGAGATAATGGGGAGGTGGTGGGAATGTTTCAGACTCCGTACATTTTTCTTCTTGTCCATTCAAATGAAAGCCATAACTAGAATGAAAGCCCCTTCGTGCTATTTGTAATTTGCTGGCGGTATTTTCCGCGCTTGCTTGATAAGCGTACATACGCTTGTACATTTCCTTCCAATGTAATACAAAGTATTACATTTCCTAGCGCGTGAATTTCCCTCAAAAATGTAAACAACCTCTTGACCTACATTTTGTCAGCCTGTCAATAAACCATTTTAAATCGTAATCTACTCTTTAAATTTCAATATACTCCTGATTGCCCGCAATAAAACAAAGGGCATGCACAAAATAAAGTTTCAAAGATTAAGAGCAAATCGAACCGCTGACGCAAAGTTCTCCATGAGAAGATCACATCCCTCATCAGACAGATGCACGCCATCTCTGTGAAAATACCAGTGTTCTTGGACATTGAAATTGTGGCCTATGAATGATCCACTACACATACGCCGGACCCTCCGTCTGGCATACTTGTTGACACCTTTCCGCACATCATTGATGACGACCTGCGACGTGACGTGTACATCATGACCATAGTAATACAGGCGAGTAAGATGCTTGAAAATGAAATGTAGCATTGCGGCAACAATGACCGCGCTGTATTCAGTGCTTCATCCACCGCTTGTCGACAGTCCTTTGCAAAATAACGCCCCAAGTCGTTCGAGCCCGCATGGATGATTAGCTCCGATGGAGAAGGACCGAACCTCACTTGGCCCTGTAATTGACGCGGGAAATCGCGTATAGCGACGCCCCTCCTCGCCCGTGCCATGCCACCTCACAACCAGCGATTCCCAGGTCTCGACAGCCTCTGGTAAACGCCCGCTCACCAGCTCGCCTCACGAGAATGTCTCCGCACACCCAAACCCGGTGAGCCTGGGCACCTATTTGGAGAAAGATAAAAACCCAATTCCTTCCGAGTATGGCGTACCTTTTATGGGCTTATAGAACCAAAGGTTTCTAACATAATTACATAAGCGAAGCAAATTCAATCCTATATAGCATATTATCGCAATGACGACCTTCGTCATTGCCTTGTTTTCGCTCACATTCTGCCCCATTAATTGCAATGACGACCTTCGTCATTGCCTTGTTTTCGTTCACATTCTGCCCCATAAATATTCTTCTTAGTATCGTCAGGAAATCGCATTCGTTTTGCACGTAGTGCTTGTTATTGCAATGACGACCTTCGTCATTGCCTTGTTTTCGTTCACATTCTGCCCCATTAATATTCTCCTTTTCCTCCTTTTCCTTTTCCTTATCCTTATCCTTATCGTCAGGAAATCGCATTCGTTTTGCACGTAATGTTTGTTATTCCTAGTTGGTGCTTTTCTCATGTCCTTTTCCTTTCACATTTCATAGGCATAGTCTCTAACATCCCTTCAAGGTCACTACATTCTTCGATTTTCGAAATCACTCATGCATAACCGTCCAGGCGCCATTTTGTCCGTTTCTGGTCCATTTTAAGGCCTTTCTTTCTTCCTTCCTATCTCCACTATCCTAGATCCTACACATTTCTAACAAATTCCTCTAGATAGTCTAAGAGATGTTCTTTTATCTGCGACGTATAACCTGCCCTTCAAAATGCCATCTTCATACTCAAAATTCAAATCTGAAACCGACTCCGTCAACTATCTCTCAAATTCTTGAAAAATTGACACCTAAATAATCTAAAACTGCCATAACTTTCTCATATAAATTCCGTTTTGTATTTAAATCTCACAGTATCCTTATCTCATAATTGCACATAGCCATGCCAAATTTCACGCTCCAATGACTTTGCACAACATAAATAGCGCCCTCTAAAGTTCTGGGAATTGGCTTTCTCTCTGTGGCCGTATCTCCATAATGGCTTGGCAAACCCGTACCCTTTTTTGGATTTAGATACTTGAAGATATGCCCTTTCCAGCCATATACAAAATTATATACCCTATCACTGACCAAATTTGAGAAAATTGCCCTCCAAATTCGCCATTTTCAAGAAAATTCCAAAATAACTTCAACTTGCTCTAAAATTACGATCCTTTGACCTACGTCAATAAAACTTGGCACACACATGTATTTATATACGTGACAACTGTCCGCAAAGTTTGGTAAAATTTGATTATGTCAGCGCAAAGTTATCTCAAAAAATGATGTATTTACTATGCATTGCGTGATAGCGCGTTAAATGCGTGCAATACATTGCGCGAAGATAACAATGGTGTCAAACTGACCGCAATGAAGTGCCCTTTCGAATGATACCAAGTATAGTATATGTTCACACAGAAAATTGTGAATAAATCGCATTTGAACAAAGATCACTACACGAATTCCGCCGAGTTTCCGCCCGAATCTAACACGTATCGGCTATGACGTCATTTTTTCAGACT